ATAAATACATGAGGATATACATATGTATGTACATATATATAAGTGTATGTCCGTCGGCTAGTGTTTATGTGAATGCATATACGAGTTTGTCCAAGAGAACAGTGAACATGTACCGATGTTGTCCGTATGTATGGACGTATGTATGCGGCAAACAGCAACATCAGTGATAAATTAACTTACGTACCCAACATTATCGTCGCTTGATATCCAACTACGTCGGCGATTCAAGCAAATAACTGTATTAGGTGTAATAATTTTGCGATAAAAATAAAGTGGCAGAATCGGGTAGAATCGAGCATTAGATACTCACGTCGTTTTTTGAGGTTTATGAATGGAAAGAATTCCATACCACATTTTTTTTATTTAAAGCCATCGGCCCTAACGAATACGGCTTTGATTGCACATTTATGTAGATACTGAATAATCGTGTTTATTGTACATAGAGCACCTCCTCCATTTTGTGATTTGTTTCTTGATATTGTCTCCAGCAAAGTAAATATAATATAACAGGTTTTAGTCTAAAAATTATTATATTTAGTTATAAGATCTATATCACTGCATAGGAAGATATTTCATCCCTTGTAGTGTATGAGTGGCATAAGAATAACAATTCCTCAAGAAAATTCGAAAATTCACTTAATAGGCTATAAATCTACAATTATATACATATGTATCTTCACAAATATGTACGTATATAACGAAAACTGACTGATATTGTAGTCAGAAGCAGGTGCTGTTTCGAATTTAATCTGCATTTTCTTCAATTTTTACTCTTGTGATTATGCCACCAAATTTGGTGTTTACATCCTTATGGACACACAAAAACCTCGGCATTGCCTCAGACTTTGGCGAGCCATACGTTGCACATATATAGTATCACTTTGAATGCACCTATGAGTGTATGTATATATGTATATGTATGTATGAATGAATGAAGTTAAACAAATGTGTAGCGTCACGAAAGTACAACCAAGTAAAGTGTATAAAACAAATGTGAACTGTGTACATACATACATACATTTGTATGTTTGTACGAGTATATAACTTTTCGAGAGCTTAAATTGATGACAGTCCGCCCAAATACGAAAAACATTTCACTATGCTCAAGACCATGATTTTGTTTTCCCACGGCGACTATTACCATGGCATCAGCCAACGCTCGGAGAGCCATACTTTCCGCCGTCGATCTCTTTAGGCGAATGAATGATAAGGCACACGCAGGCGAGGAGAAGATGAATATTACGATTTCTTCACGAAACTTTGTGCGTCGACACAAAAATAAAAATAAAACCATTATATTAATACAGTTTATTTGAAGTATAGTCACACGGTGCAATAGTTTTTTTTACGCACGTGCTAATAACTTTAAAAGAGGAACACTCCCTGGCCAAGCTTCTTGAGGACGATGCTAATCCAGTAGACTTACGATCTTTTGATTTCAGACTAATTTCATTTTGTTTTCAATAAAAAAAATATATGCGCAGAATTCAATACAACAATAAGTTTAGAAAAATCCTACGATTTCGAATGAAAGCTCTCTTAATCAAAGGTCAAATAGGCTTCATTTAAACTCATAAACATATATACCAACCAAAAGTACCTACATTATTATATACATACATATACATATTCATAATAGCGCATGCATGCTCGCACATACAGACACGTACATACTTTTTCGTAGATATAGACGCAGGTGCAATGCTCTTATAAAAAGTAGTAGGCCCCTCGGTAGATTTAGATTGAACAGTTAGCACACGCAAAAACTCAGTCGTACGTATACATATATGCATGTATGTTTGTAGATGTATAAATATATATTCCAAGTGTAAGCCGCCTATCTGCCGCTGTGTCTAGCAGAGTAGCAAACAGAGCTTACAATTAACGCGTTTACGCGATCGCGCTCACATTTTGTTGCAACGGCTTCGAACTGCCAATTATTTTCAATCGCACAGCAAACACACATTAAACCCTATCAACTACTTTCGTAATTTATTACACTGTTTTTTTCCCTCAACTTTTCCGCAATGAACGTATGGTTCACACATAGCAGCTGTGTGCTGGTATTGCGCAGCGCGTAGTGCGTTTCACGACCCAGCGCCTACATAGATATGTATGTATGTACATATGTATTTAGAAAAAAAGGGTGATTCAGAAAGACTTCTCACCTTCTTTTATCTTATCCGGCTGTCGGCGGCCGTAGCAGCCGAATAGTTAGCACCGAGATCTACCTAAAAGAGGAGCATAGGTTCGCACCCAAGCCAGGCATATGCAGTTGCCCCTTGGGAGTGGCGTTTGTCACACCACAAATCGGGGAAGGAGCTTTTCGATAAGCGCCTCAGCGTCATAAAATGCCTATTATGTAAGCACTTATAACAAAGAACAAATAAATGGTTTGAACTTTTGAACTTTTAACGTATTAATTTTATGGTCGAGGCTTTTGGTGGGTACAAAAATTGACCTGTTCAAAATTCTTGGTACCGTTCAGAAATACCGCTAACTAACTTACTAACTTGGGTCACCCTCTATTGCGAACAATCGTATTCATTTCTTACCTGTAGCACCGCACTCGTTCCGGCCTTTGGTCTCATCGGTTTTGGTCATCATTGTCGCACTTGTGCATCAATATGCCGGCGATCTATGCACAAGCATTTGTCTATACATATTGTACATACATACGTGTACGAGTATATCTACATACGTAGCCGCATCCACAGGCACTTACTCAGTTCATCATAATTATTGCTGAGCACAGTTGAAAGGCGGTCGAGGCATCGTAACCGCTGTGTGTGTGTGAATGTGTGTGGCGAGCATTTGCCACACTTGCCACTTGCGGCATGCATTCACTTGTGCGATGCATATTTGTGGCGCGTTGCTTCATTTCTTGACTTCTTCGAAGCTTGTTTGTCGTTTGCCTTATGCCGTATGTCGTATGCCGTATGCCATTTGCCACTCTCCACTTACGACGACGATTGCCTGTTGCTCGATTCACCCTGCCCACCTGCCAACTTTGTGTTGCTGCTTGGTGTTGGTGCTTCTGCTTCTGCTGCCTCAGCTGCTGCTGCTGTTACTGCTGCTAACCATTTCACACGCCAAGTCAAATGAGCAGTTTATGGGTTTTATGACTGTGCCACTTGAAGACGCGTTTTTGTATTTCACATTTTTATTTGTACTTCTTTTTTCGTGCTTCCATGTCGATTTGTTTGGTCTTTGTTGTTTTTGTTAATGCGCTTCACCATGTTTTAATCGAGCAAAACAACAGCGAACTACTCGGGGGCAACATTCACTTTTTATGGTACCAGTCAACTAACCGCCAGTTTACTGCCAACAGTTCCAAATATTTTTACCTCCATCGTTATCACCAGCTCTACTGCTACCGATGTTGATGTTTGAATACGCAGATTTTCATTGAATCGTACGCGCCGATTCGACATTTACGCATCATCAAAAGGCTGAGAAGCCTAATCGCGATTCACGTAGTAGACATGCGCTTGTGGAAATGAGAAGCTGACGTCAGTGAGTAATGTCGCATATATTGATTTCTTATGCTCTGCACAACCGAACAAGAAGTAAAATTAGCCCTCCCTTATGTTTCATATAGAGCCGCGCTTAGGGGGCTGCAGTGCGAGATGCTACACCAAAGGTCAAGGGCTAGCTTCCAAGCCAAACTGAAATCCGTCAATTATTTCTACAAGTCATCTCAAGTCTACGATTGCTGAAAATTAGAGATTCTCAAAAAACATCCAGGACTTCGGAGGCGCCTAAAACTCCATTTGCTTTTATCAGCTACTGAAGACAAGACTGAACTCTCACTGAAAATAGACACCAACTTTCTCTTTAGCTTGTAGTAAAAAAAAGGTTAAATGTAGGTCGTAAATCACCCTGTATGACACTGAATAGCTTTCACAAAAGATGAGCAATGGATTTCATCTACTAAGGACACCAATTTGTATCATCCAAAATTTCCAACCAAACTTGTTGTTTTATTGATATTACGATCGATTGCAGCTAAATTTGCATTTAAGAAACTGTTGGCTGACGTTCTTTAAGTCAAAATGGTATGGTCTTTTAGGCTGATTTCTTACAATTATAAGCTTCGCCGCAAGTTATCAAGCAGTCACGTAAAATATTGATTTCAAACATCATCTCTTTCGTAGGCATCACAAAGGAGAACGTGATTGAATTTCAGTTATTAATGACAATCATTTTGAGATGCTAAAAATTAATGTAGGGAGAAGCGGAGTTGGCCCAAGCTTGTGTCAAATACCATATTCCAAAAAAGACTAAAATGTGTATATTGAAAAGGGGTTGACTTTTCCCGGGAGAAGCTTCTAGGCAACATAATTCTTTATTGTATGAGGCCTCCTGTTCCTCTGCTCTCACCAGAAGGTACTATATCCAAAATTTTAAAAGCTAGAGTGGTTGCAGTGATGCGAACTGATCAGATGTTGTTTCGGTACCATATAGAAAGGAGAGCGGTTAGTAAAGTCTGATCTTTCATCGAGGTAGAACAAGCATACTCAGTCCGAAGTAGCACTTGTTAACAATAGTGATATGATTCAATCAAATCTATGACTGCGATCTACAATACTTTTTCAATCGGTACGCTATATAGAGCCCTCAATGAGAGATGTAGTTTTCCAACGACAAAACCATTCCAAACACCAACAGCTGATTCATGCACCTATCAGTAACAAGAGTAGTCCAATTTATATGTATTTTTCTTGTGGAATTTTTGACCTTCTTCTATAAGCTACTTTCAAGCTGCTCAATCTCGCGGCTTTCCACCGCTTTATTTTTGATCTGCTCTTCCGCCTTGCTTTCCATCAAATCTTTACGTTTGAAGGAATATACTCGTACATATTTGTATACAAAAGCAACCGCAAACGGTTTGGTAATACTTACAAGCTTATTGTTAATAACAATTAATCGTATGCTCCTGATTGTATAGATTACTTTATGTATGTATTTTTAAAATCTTAGTTTTCTCTTCGTTTCAGGATCTCAATCAACAAACAGCAAACTGTTTGGAAGTAAGCACAATGATGGCAAAGATAACACATGCAAGTACAGCACCTACGCACTCAGTGGTACTTACGGAAATAATAAGAACAATAGAAGCAGCAACGGTTACAACCACAATTACAACCAGGATCGTTTTACCACCTCCATATCGAGTTCCTCGTCTTCCTTCACTACGTCTACCCAGTTACAATCCGCCCGACAATACTCGTCGCCGTTCTCATCAGCGGTCTCGAAATTTCCTATACCACCACTTTTAACAACTTCATCATTCTTTCTACCGTATCGACGCATTAAAGAAGAGGTCAGCTGTAAAAACAGCACATTCTCAAGCAGCAGTAGTCACAGTATAAATAGTGGCAATTTCAACCAAAGCTATAATCAAGCGGCTTCCCAAACTCAACGAACTACTGGTGGCTTGATCACGCCTTCCTCCACATCAACTGCCCTATCATCCGCTGCCGAAACGCCATTTTGCAATCCAGCTATAGCTGTAGCACAAAGGTCCCTTATGCACGACTATGACCGAAAATTTAGTTTCCTGAGCCTTTTTAAAAACTCCTACAAATATACAACAGATCGGCGGCCGTCATCGTTGAGCTCGAGAATTTGGGCCGACGATACGGTGTTGCCATCAGCACCGTCTAATATTGCAACCGCATACAGTAAATTAGCACAAACACCAGCTAGTTCCAATACGGTGTCACCATGGAAGATAATGTCTTCAACAGTTCAATCCAGTAGTAGTTTGCATCAAACAATTCCACACACCAACTACCCCGGTTCATCTCAAGCTGATGGTCGCAAAAATGCCTTCAGCAGTATGGTATTGCGAGGAGGCGGCGGCAGCATGTTTGGTCGTTGTGAGGAAGCGGGCGCAAGTATTAATACCATCGGCTATAGTGATCTCTCGAAAAATCGCAAAGTGCACAAATGTGACACTGAGGGTTGTGATAAAGTTTACACAAAGAGTTCTCATCTTAAAGCGCATAAGCGTACCCATACAGGTAATTTTCGGTCAGCTCCTGGCACCAGTTTCTACTTTTTATGCTGACTTAGCTTTAAAGCTTAATGAAATCAATATTTCACGACTTTTTTAATATAGGTGAGAAGCCATATGTTTGTGACTGGGAAGGATGTGTATGGCGGTTTGCAAGATCGGACGAACTGACACGTCACTATCGAAAACATACCGGCGTTAAACCTTTCCGCTGCCAACTCTGCACTCGTTCCTTCAGCCGTTCTGATCATCTGTCGTTGCACGTGCGTCGACACTGAATCCCGCGAAATGAATTACTTAGACGATGTAGACAATAAAAACGGCACTAAAGTTTATATTCACGCGTACATTGGTGCATGTACCCTCCAATTTTTCTGTTTTTTACTACCCTATTTTATATTAAAAACCTTTCTCAAAGCTCCGGCTTATTCACTCTTAACCGGATGAGTTTGAGGATTTTAAGTAAATCAAACTTAATAAAAGTATGAAATAATAAAATATTTTTGTTTCAGACGCTCCAATCACTGACGAATTCACTTCTCAAATATATTTTAATGACTGAGTTTAAAAAAAGAAGAAGCCTTCTATTTGTTGGGTACATGTGCATATGTATGTGTTTAATAAACCTAATGTTACTTTTTTTTCAAAACTAAAGGCACTTATTTTAGCAAATTTTAGAAAAATTTTTAATAATCTAATAATCCTAGCCAATTATCAATTATCACGATTAGTCTCGTAAGTACGCATTCTCATGAGGCTATGATACCTTTAAATTGAAACAAATGGCTCTATGTAAACGAGTAAGCGAGTATATAAACATTCTGAAAATATTATGTAAAATTGTGAAATTGTGTTCGGTTTTCTATAAGAGAGTACGCACATCGAAAATGTATATGCATACATATAATATAAAAGTATATATACACGAATATGTACAATAAATACATGATATACATATGTACACTTAAATGCAAAAGTATATTCAAGAATTCGATGTAGTAGTGGCGATATTAGAAGAATTTAAATACCTACATATATATAATACATACATATATAAAATTTATAATTAATGACATAGTAAATCCATAAATATGTACATAAATATGCATAATAGTTAAATAGAAAACTTATTGAAAAAACGTTTGCTTTATTTTGCCTCTATTTTACTAAATAATTAGTTAAGAAACAGAAGATTATTGCTCTTTCTTTTTATCTAGTGTAGGCGCACCAAGCAATTCCATGCTTTACTCACTTTACTGGCGCAGACACCGCTTACGCGATTTTGGCCGATTTAACAACATTGTGCCATTCGTTCCTTTTTTGTGCTGTTTGGCGCCAATTCAAAATACCAAGTACAGTCAGGTCCTTCTCCAACGGAGCGGAGGTCTTGCTGTTCCTCTGCTCCCACCGGCGGGTACTACATCGAAAACTTTCAAAGCTGGAGTATTCGCATTCATCCGGACCACGTGACCTTGCCAGCGTAGCCGCTGCTTCTTGATTCGCTGAACTATATCAATGTCGCCGTATAACTCGTATAGCTCATCGTTCCATCGTCGGCGATATTCGCCGTTGCCAATGCGCAAAGAACCATAAATCTTACGCAAAACCTTTCTCTCGAAAACTCCCAACGCTGACTCATCCCATGTTGTCATCGTCCATGCTTCCGCACCATATATTATTGTTGAGACTGGTTCAATACGCCGTCTCAGGACTACATCGGAATTCTTCCTTCCTTCCTCAAATTCATAATGCGGTGAAATTCGGTCATTTTCGTGCCTCTCGTTGCTGCAAGTGCTGAAACCCTCGAAAAGCCGTGCACAAAACGTGTGGCCTTTTTCTTGCAAGCCAGCTTTCAGCTATTTGTATTTACGCGTTTCAGATTCGTTTTCCCCGTCTGCCCAAGTTTTAAAATTAAAAAAAAAATGCAGTTGGGGTAAGGTTTGCAAATATTGTTGTTAATAATTTTTAAATTTAGGTCATTAAGAATTTTGTATTATACAATATATATATTTTTATATAAACTACTTACTTAAAATAAAAAAGTAAAATACGTAACATATAACTCGCTAACCCCTCCCACGGTATTAGTATCTAAACGAAGGCTTCAAGCTCGGCATTACTTATAACTCGTTGCAGATCATTTTATATGTGAAATTTTGGTGAGTTGAAACAAATCCTGGAATCAGAACTTATCGCAAGTGAGCTCATATTGCCAATGTTTAACGGTATATTGCGTTTCACTCTGCTCATCGCTATTTCTTGTGAACTCTCTTTTGTGACGTATCTCAAATTTGTTTTGGTTCGTCTCACCTTTTCGTTTAGAGCTTTCTCTTACTGATGATTTGATCTCACCAATCTTACCAAAAGAAAAGTTTTCTGATTTGAAGCTGTTGTTGTTGTCAACAACTGAGGCGTTAGTCATCTTTTGAAACCATATTGGTTTCTGTATCCACCTACGTCATAACCGTGAAACGGAAGCCTGCGTGCGCTCACGTATTTGATCCCTATGCAGTATATAAACGCACATTGCTAAAACACCCAAAAGAAGCACAACTAGTATCATTAGTGCAAAAAACCCTTTCCGATATCGAGCTGCATCAGCCGCGGCCTCCTTTAACAGTTTTTGCTGACCTGAGGGAGCATTGATATTATCGTAATCGTTTTCGGTGCCGTAAAATGGTATGTTTTGTACAAAAATCTGCCAGAAGTGGTAAACTCTCTTCAAGTGCATGACATAACCGTACTCGGTTTGATTTTTTGCGTAAAATCCCCGTTCATCATCATTGTTCCGGCCTGTATATTTCCTGTTGCCTCTCGACAAACTCTTATCACTTATCTCCACATTTTGTAAGATTTTATCGATTTCATTCGAGTTTCTTAAAAAATCCGAAAAATAATATCCTTTCGTTCCCGACTGTATCCCATTTTCAGCTTCATTAAAGCTACAAATAAATGGGTTTTCCATCGTATAAGAAAAACACTTGTTGGATTTGAAGTACAGGGTGGATGTATCGCTTCCACTCGTAATGAAGTTTATTATAACTTTTCGGAAATTTCTAGAAATATAATCCTCCTCTGCTGACAAACGTCTTCTGGATACCTGCTGGAACATGCTGGGTCCGAGTAGTAGGAGTAGATCCGACGAATGCGATGCGCCACCAAAGTAATTTACTTTTCCACGCATGTCCATTGATTTTGTGACATCGAACACATAAGCAAACACTGACGTGGTGATGGTGGTATCCTGTTCTTTCGTGGTTAAAATTTTCAAAAGCCGATAGAATGGCATTTCGTAAAAAAACTCAGATATAAGTCGTTGCATAGAGTAGAGTAAGTGTTTTACACTTTCATTAGCCTCTCCACTAAAGTAAAACCAATTAATGGCAAATCTCACTTTATCTCTTATATGCGCATTAAATCTTCGTAGGATACTTCGTACCACAGTGTAATTTACATAATCACGAAACGATCGATAGCCTTCGCGTGCTAAATTTAACCAACGTTGCTCCACAAATGAGCCCTCATTTGAAGTGATACCTATCAGTATAGGCGGCAACGGAAAGGAAATTGTCCGATTTCTTATTAAATCTTCGTAGGAGGCTGACAAAATAGGTCCAATGTGAAAGCTGCCATTGCGATGATCGTATATACTCTCGAAGGCATTCAGCAAATCACTGATACTCTTTTGTCTCAAACAATGTGTAATCTTACGACTCGGTTTTTCGAATTGACAACCCAATTTGGACACCATAATATTTGATGCTTCTACCACTGATTTTCCAGTGCTTAATGTTCCTGAGAAATCTCCACCAGACATTAGGATTAGCTTAGTAATTAACTTCTGGTCACCGAATGGGTTTAAAAGTGTGTGAGCCAAAGCGCATGGTGCGCCACCTGTACCGTGTCCTAGTAAAATTATTCCATTTGGATTGCCGCCAAAGTTTTGAATATTATGTTGAATCCATAGGAGCGCAAGCCGTTGATCCTGCAGGCCTAAATTACCAGCCAGTGCACCATCATCTATAGCCAACCAACCGAAAATGTTGTTGCGATACTGTACCGAAACCACAATAACATTCTCCAAGGCTAGATCCACACCGGACAAACGATTTTGAGACCAATCATAAATCATTTCCTCGCCGGTAATTACAACCAATACAGCTTTCATCACAGCATTTGCAGTCTAAAACCGAAACATAATGTAAATTACACTGGATCTTGTTTTTAAAACGGTTAAAATTGTATTCAATATTTGGATATTCACTATTGCAACACATACCTCGGAAACCCATATATTTAGATATAAACAATCCTCATTCACTATAGAGCCTCGTGGTAAGGTCCCATCTACTATTTCATCATAGATTGAGTTTGAGGGCTGTGGACAAAGCGGTCGCATGCTTCTAGCCTGTAATGTCCGATTCCAGCCTTTATGTGGCACAGGAGGCTTAATGAATATACAAAAAATAAAAATTAGTATAAAAGTAAATACATATAAACATACATCCATATATACATATATATAAATATACATATAGACATATAGACATATAGACATATAGACCTATAGACATACATACATATACTTATATACTGTTTCGGTTGTATGGAAAACGCCATAATTGCAGTCATAAGAGGCATGTCCATTATCTACTAAAGTATCACGTAATTTTTTTGTTTAGATATAAATTTTTAAAGCCTACAAAAACTAGCACGCTAACTTTCAGGATATGCTTCGCGAGTATGTATTATATGTATACAATAAAAAATCGAAAATGATATATATGGAAAACTGTATAACTGAATGAACTGTATAACATCATATCACGATTATTTACACACATATACATACATTCAAGCACCTTCAAATACACAAGCGTAAATATAAATGAATAAATAATGATGGTGAATTGGTATAACTATTGCTATTTGCGTATGTGTGTATGAAAAGTCTTATAAATACATATATTACCGCAAAACGTAGCTCGCCAATAGGAGGTTCCGCATATGGCACTCCAAGGAACGCATATACAGCGGTCCGCGAGGTATCGGGAAATATTTTCAGCTATAGCATCATTAAGAATTAGTATCAATAAGTAAAGTTATGTAAACGTGTACAAGTAAGTACATATATGTATATACATACACATATATTTATATATATGTTTGTATGTACATACCCCCATTATAGAACCCTGGTCGAGTAAAATATTTGCATGCTGACCATTAGCACCGATTAGCTGGAAGAGCAGTAATAAGTGAATAATCCGAAGTCGGTGAGCTTGCATTTTATAGCCGTGGAATCAAAAATGTATTTTATTTTTGTTTTTACATAAACAAAATATTCTTATTTAAACAATTAGCCACAATCGTACCACACATTTCCCGTAAAAAACACAACGAACAAACTTAACTTTACCTTTCAACTCGGAAATATGTTTAAATACTAAAACCCTTTCTGCCGATGGATGGCGGATGAAGTTCTGAAAGTGTATATATAATACAATATTTATGCAGAGCAATTATTTATGAAAAAAAGGAAACAATGGTATACTTACATAAATACTCATGTATAGTACATTAATTTATATAAATGCGCCTTTACATACCTAAGTATGTACATACATACATGTCGATCTATATGATATTTTCACTTTTTCAACAATCTATTTAATGAACGTACGAAACATATATACATACATACATACATACATACATACAAACATGCATACATATATATATGCATATATTATAGATGAACATGAAAATCTGTCACCGTTATTGTTATACATATACATATGACCATTTATATTTACATACATACATGGTAGGTACATAAATGAAGCACGCATTGCTCTCCGATTCTTTGTTATTTGTTATTATGGTTAATAATGGCTATGACCACCACCATAGTACAGATATGTAGTTAATATGTTCCCTATTAAATCTATTGTTCATATATATCGCATATGCATACATACGTACATGCATACCATCATATGCAGACATGATCTTTGTTATTATCTATTATTGTGAATGTTTGAAATCTACTTTTATGTGGGAGATGAGGCTGGTTTTAGTCTGACTTCGATCAGTTTTGAAGAATGCGAGCGAGTAGTTATTAAGCTAAAGTTTTGTTTCCTAACACTTCCCGTCTCTTTCGAAATGTTATTTTCCTATTTTCTCACATGCTATTATCAAAATCCAGCTCCTCAAAGATTAAAATCGAAATCGAAATGGAAAGTTTAAAACGTTTTTCTAACGTCATTTTTAAAGTGTTTATTTTTCGCGAAAACTTCTTCAATAATTATTCCCTGCTATATACAGCTCCTCTCTACCGGCATGACTCGTAAATAAAAATCAATAAGTAAAACAATCAGCGTCACTCTGGATTTCGAGTTTCGAGCAAAATAACTTCACTTCTAATTAAACTTTCATATGAAATCGAATCGATATCCAGAACATCGCTGTATATAACATTTCATTTCAATTATATATTGCGTATATATATATATATATATATATATATATAAATTGAGACTCGGCATGATCTTGTTTAATCTCCACATTAGGAGAATATTGATTTTCGCATTTTAATTTTAAATATTTTCACGACCTTTTGTTGTTATATTCATTTTTTAAATTACAATCAAACTCCCTTTTCTACAACTCATCGCTTACAAGAAATTTTAACACAAACGAGCCAAAGCAAGTGTTACATTTTTTAATTTATTTATACATTCTCATATATATACATATATGTATACATTATCTATATACACACACATATATATGTATTCATATAATGTTTTTTATATACATTAAAAAATTTAACTAAATATCATAAACTATTTCGGTTTTTATATTGTAAAAATAGCGACCTAAAGTAATCACCATCATGTCATGTCATCATCAACATCATTATTTGTTAACTTATAACATCTTATAAATATAATTACAGAATCTAAATTATTGTGGCTGTGACTTATCATAAATGGCATTTTACATATACAAATAACTTCTTACTAATTTATATAAATAGTTGTGACGCTTGTTTTTATTTTCTGTCCTTTTTTTAGTACACAATCTACATACATATACTTTTGTACACGCAGACATATGCAAGTATGTGTTTCTTTACACCTGGTGATAATTACAATTGCGCACAGTATAACTATCATATTTATTGAGTTGCAAGCTATATAACTTTAACTCCACGTCTATTATTGCAATAAATATATTTGATCTGTAAACCTGTAAACTACTTTTATGGCATTCCATTTGTATTTTGAATACAATTATGTATATTTTTGTGGCTGATAAACACAGTTTAGTTAAGCTTCATTCTATAGCTTGTGCTTATGTAGTGCTAGCTGCCAACCAATTCAATTTGTCGATATTTCTTGCGTAAATTGGACACTGGATCTCGATACAATACCGGGTCAAGACGTAAATTTGAACGTATCAATGGCATATAGCTACGGAGGAAGACAAAAGTGTATTAGTCTTCTGTCTATCTATATGCACATGTATGTGTAGTTTACTCACCCAAAAACTGCTGCGAATGTGTTGAGGCAACTTTGTCGCTGAATGAAATGATCCGGATCATTCCATGGTGAGTGTCCAGTCTCTCGATCCTTGTATCCCTTGCGTTGTGTCACTTTAATCGGTGGTTTTCTCGTTACATGCGATACTAGTAAATTCATTAGTATATCTTCACAATTGGATGATTGTTGCACAGTCTTAAGAAGCAATAATGATAACCAATTAGTGTACAAGTAATTATAGTATCGATGATAGAAAGCGGCACCAGTCAAAACTATGGAATAGTAGTTAGTCCACTTTGAAGTGTATCCCCATGCGTTCTGTAATACAAAAATAATACAAAGGAGTACAGTTAAGTTATTCGCTTGACAGTAACTAATGGAAAAGACAAACCTTTGTATCGTCCCAAAAGTGAGCACGCGCTGGATAACCAACGATACGATCCGGAAAATCACGCCAAACGGTATAGGCAAAATCCAATTCGTCCGTATTGAGTATGGAATCCTCATCCAATGAGAGTACCGCGTCCGTTTGTATTTCCGGATATGGATAAAAGCGTTGTGATATGCTTGGGCGCTCATCGAAAATATCAAAAGTTTCATCCTTAAAGTGCTTGAAATCTTGAAGATGAGGTGGTGCTTGCGCAGTTAGAATGGTTCCATTAAAAAACTTTTCACTGGCATCATTCTTCATTGAACGGAGTGATTTTCCAATAGTTAAGCCACTTAAAGTTATTATGTGGAAGGGTATATGATAGGTTGTAGGCCATCTTTTCTTCGACGGAATAGGACGATCAGCCGCCCAAAGGACCAAAATCTATAAATTCATAATTGTGAATACTTGGAATACTTCGTATTTTATGTATTTATCTTACTCTATCTACAAATTGACTTTTAGAAATCGTTTTGATTAACTTGTATAAAGCGGTGTTTGGTCCCAATATTGAACCAATTTGAACATAAATGACAGCTGTATAATTATGACGTGGTTCAACACCCATGGAGTCCAATAAAAATGGCATATACCTAAAGAAACGAAGGAAAAAGAAAGCTTTATTTTTTTTTCAACAAAAAAAAAAAACAATGTTTATGCTGGAGCTTACCTAGAGCTATCAGCAAATGTTGGAAGCGTTAGGAGAGCGCCTGGTGATGTATTCCATATAAAAGTATTGCGAACGGGATAATCTGGTAAGCGTTCTCTAATTATCTGTAATAATAAAAAGAGTGCATGAGAATTAGTTATGAATTGGCAAACAACAATAAAAAATAATTAAAATATTAACATTCTCAGGAGAGGATCCATCTTTAGACTACTATAAAAAGAACATCTATACATACAATACATATGTACATACATAGCAGTACAGTCGTGTTCATATTATGATTACCAATCTTTCAGTTAAAAGCAATATGAGTAGAGAATTCTTCGATCGAGCCCTAAACTTAACTTTTCTAATGATTTAATAACAATCACACGTATATTAAATACCACCACAAAAACAAAAAATTAGAAATTCCGCCACGTTCAATCTTCTGTAGTGGGACCTGCTTTTTATTTATAAAATAAAGAATATTTAAATTTAAAGTATTTTCCTGGATATTGACTATTAAATTGGGGTAGACAAAAGCAGTTTTTTCCAATGGGCATACCATTTAAAATGACTAATTAGCTCCCACTTTTATAAGTAAAAAAAAAACAAAATTGTATTAAAATAATTTTCATAGATTCTTTTACTTGTACGGCAGTATATAGAGGTTGCATGTGAATATGTAGTACATGCATATGTAGCCAGTTTGCTAACTCATTTCATTCTCATTTAAATAAGTCGTAAATATTTGACTCTCCTCTATAATAATCGCTCGTGTTGCTCAAAACGGTGGAACCCATCCACTATTTAAATATGTGTGTATGTAATCTTACACAAATGTATTGCCTATAAACACAAGCATATGTATGTACCACTTTTAAGTGAGTATTCAACCTATGGTAGGAGAGTCTGAATATTTGTGAGTGCGCACAGTTCACATATCTCGAGCTTTTCAACGAGCTCACTCACTTAGTAATCGTCTCTGCTTCGCCTAATTCCGTCGATGATGATGATTTCATTATTTTATTTTTGTTTGCCCACCACCATTTGTAGCGAAGTTTCGAAATTTTGATTCAGTTGAATTTTTCCAGCCAAACAAAGCAGAAGTGTTAAAACGTTTGAGTATAATAAACAGATATTTATTTATTTTTAACTTGAGAAATTTATTTACTTCAGAGCCTACAGCTTTAAGTTCCATATTCTCTCGGTACACTACCTGTGTAATTGCATTCAGTTAAAAAAAAAAAAAAAAAAAAACAGGCAGTATGTCTCAAAAACGTGTCTCAGTGTCCACTCGCATATCGCGCGCCTCCACCTCCACACCAGTGGGAGGACAGTCGTCGGCACGTGGTGGAGCCACCAGCCCTGGCGCCACTAGTCCTACTCGCACAACCCGGATACAGGAGAAGGAAGAATTGCAGCATTTAAATGATCGTCTCGCCTGCTATATAGATCGTATGCGTTATCTTGAGAATGACAACAATAGATTAACGCAGGAGCTCCAAATCGCTCAGGACACGGTCAACCGCGAGGTGTCCAATATAAAGGCGATGTATGAGAAAGAACTGGCAGCTGCACGTAAATTGTTGGATGAAACTGCCAAGGAGAAGGCCAAACTAGAGATAGACATCAAGCGCTTATGGGAGGAAAATGATGACCTCAAACAAAGGTAAACAACAACATTAACAAAAAGGAATGATAGAAAAGGGTGTGTGTGTCAAAGGGTACTTGGTTTATGAATATAAATGTATTTTTGTTTTATTTTAATGGACGACTTTTTTAATCATTTTTGCATATATGTACATAAATGTAAGGTATGTACATATGTCCTCGTATGTACAACATTTTTGATAAATCAATGATGTCATAATGAATTTGTTGTCTCTTCGAGCTGCTATGCTCAGCGCCTTAACAGCACATGGCTGCAAACGCGAATATGATAGTGAATGATGTCATTTAGAGTGGAGGGGAATAATGTTAGAAGGCAACAGACTATATTTTATTTTTATTTTAATCAGATGCCCAAACGTACATACATTTATACATACACGTACATAGATTTACCTACAAAATTTTAGAGAGGAAATACATATGTATGTACGTAATTGTTTACAAACCTCAAACAAGTATACTATATATACATACATACATACTATATACAATGGCAAAGTAACTCGTCTAACACGTCTGGGACTTAACTTATTTTCTTCAAACTAAAGCGATTATTTAGTTTGTAAACACTCACTTGCAAACACACACACAGACCAGACCTACCTTATATGTTTTGTAATTATATATATATATATATATACATACATACATACATATGAATGTATGTAGGCATATGAGTTTACAGTTTTGTGAACCACAAATGCGACGGCGCGCACAAAATATATAACAAACAAAAAACTTACTCGACAATGACGGTCGTTTCCCCTCCCTTCCAAGATACAAACAGCAGAATTGGTGTGATGTCATTTAGCCAAAAATAAAGCTTATTATCATACAATCACACTAAGTGGATAGAGAAGCATAAGCAAAACTATTCCAACATAAACACAACAGACCAACAGCAACAACAAAAAACCAGACATACATACGGACACATAATTAATCCGAGGAAAGAATGGCAATAATAACAATAAATTTTAGTTATTTCGAAAAACTGACTCTCGCATTTTTTGTGACAATTTGACGAAAGCAACCTTGAGGCATCATTCCTACATATGTATATATATGTACATATGTTCATATGTAAAGAAACACAAATACATTCGATGGTCAGAGGCATTATCTCACATACCAAATGTAAATATGAATGTACACTTATGTACATGTGCTGTGTTTTTCCAAGTTGCTTTGTGCTGCTCATTGATGAAATTCACGCATATTTTAAGAAACCAAAGTTATGGACTCGGAAAAGATACTGTTAACAGGTTCTCATTGGGGCCAAGCACATCAGGCATTCATCATGGGAAATTTCTCTCATTTTCAATTGGTTGTGAAACTTTTCTTATCCGACATTGTATGCGTATCGTTTGTATACGAGAGCTGAGGTTTCAGGTGCTCTTCACTCGTTTTGGCTTGATTAAAATGCTCACGCTTTCCACGACTACGAATAATTGGCTGACGTTTTAAAAATAAATTATTAAAAAAAATTAGCAACAAATTTGCCTGCCAACAGTTCCAGTGTATTAATACCTTTATACTCTACTTAGGTTATTGATAACGGTAACTGTTAGAGACGCCTAACAAATGCTATGTATATACATATATTGCATATGTATATATATATATATTAATCTGAATTGCATCTGAATTCAATCAATTTCCGATTAATTAATATCTTTCCGTATACATATATTATATGTATGTTTTTGGACGCATATTTAAACATGTGCACCATACATATATATGTATATAAATAAATAGATACAAATAGTTTATTGTATTAACTAGATGTATGTGCATATGTATGTATGTATGTATGTATGTATGTTTGCATATAAATAAGTGGAGTAAATCACAATTCGGCATAAAGTGTAGTGTGCGTAAGTTTATATATACATACATATGTATTTATGCACGTGCTTAAAGTGAATTCATTTTAGTTGAAAATAGAAGAAGTAGATAAAAAATCCAACAAATCATGCCTGCAATATTTCAAGTGTGAAGAAAAACTAAAAATTGATCAAAAATCGACCGAAATTGGTTTTTGTACACCTGCTTCCACGTGAAATGAATTCGCCTTAATACATACATACATATGCATGTTTGCGGTGAAATTTGCACAAAATGTTCAAATTTTCGATTAGTTCAATTTTGACCAGAGCTTCTTAGATGGCCTGTTCTCGTGGCTTTTAATTAAAAATTCATCATTTACAAGCTAAGCACAACATACAAATATATTTCATTCGTGTAGAAATATGTATGTACATATACATACTCCGGATGATGTCATTCAATGTGTTTTTTAATTTCATTTTACTCTTTCAACTCGTTCGGACTCATTATTATTTATACATACATTCAAATATTCGCTCATACTTTTACTTAATTTTTTTTTTTTTGGTCAATTTGGTTTTTAACTTCTGCTTGAAATGTGTTTCTGCTCTGCCTTATGCAAATTTCAATAAATAAATTAATTTGCTTCTTGTTTGATTTGAAAAACAATCTAGACTAGATAAGAAGACGAAGGATTGCGCCATCGCCGAGAACAGCGCTCGTGTATATGAATCTCGATACAATGAAATTAACGGTAAATACAACCAGGCTTTGACAGATCGCAAGAAGGCCGAAGATCAGGCTAAAGATCTAGGAATTGAAAACGACCGTCTGCGCAAGCAACTAGAAGATCTTCGTAAGCAACTTGAGGCTGAGACATTGGCTCGCGTCGATTTGGAGAATCAGAATCAAAGCCTTCGCGAGGAACTCAGTTTCAAGGATCAAGTTCATAGCCGAGAGCTCACTGAAACGCGTTCACGTCGTCAAATTGAAATCAGTGAAATCGACGGCCGCTTATCCAAGCAATATGAAGCCAAACTACAACAATCTCTGCAAGAGCTGCGTGATCAATACGAGGCCCAAATGCGAGCCAATCGTGAAGAGATCGAATTGCTATATGACAATGAAATCAAAAATCTCCAAGCGGCAGCAAATCGCGCTGCCAACTCGTCTGCTCATGCCACCGAAGAAGTTCGTCTTATGCGCACTAAAATTGATGGACTTAATGCTAAAATCCAAGATCTTGAGAATACCAATGCTGGCCTTAATGTAAGACCAGACTTTTGACACTTTCAACTTTTATAATATAATTTTTTAACTTTTCAGGCTCGCATACGTGAATTAGAGAATCTCCTAGATAGTGAGCGTGCGCGCCACAATCAATACATCGCGTCATTGGAGGCTGAACTTCAACGTATGCGTGACGAAATGGCACAACAATTGCAAGAATATCGTGATTTAATGGACATCAAGGTTTCGTTGGATCTTGAAATAGCCGCTTACGACAAGCTATTGTGTGGAGAAGAGCGCCGTCTCAAAATTTCATCACCCGGTCGTCCGGGCACTAGTACAAACACAGACTCAGGCTATTCGAATGGCACACATTTGTCCGTTTCTTCTACCTCACGTTCTGGCCGTGTTACACCCAGCGGTCGCCGCTCAGCCACACCGGGTGCTGGTGGAAGCGCCAGTGCAGTCAAACGTCGTCGCACAGTCATTGACGAATCCGAGGATCGCAACTTGTCAGAATTTTCTGTGAATTCCGCTGCTAAAGGCGATTTGCAAATTGTTGATGCTGACAGCGAAGGGCGTTACATTAAACTTCACAACAAGGGCAGCGAAGAGATTCATTTGACCGGTTGGCAGCTAACACGCATAGCAGGCGACGAGGAGTTGGCCTTCAAATTCTCACGTGGAGCGAAAATTAATGGTGGTGCTACTGTAACAATATGGTCAGTAGATGCTGGCGCCGCCCATGACCCACCACAAAATCTGGTAATGAAGAAGAAATGGCCCGTTGCTGATTCAATGCGCAGCGTTTTAGCAAACGCTGACAAAGAGGTGAGAATCTTGTCGATCTACAACACTTGTAGCATGTGTCACATCTGCAGCCACTGTCAACACTTAGAGTTTCTGATCGACCAGTAAATTAGCAAATTTTATCACCCAATAACTTAGAGACCTATTAATTCAAATACCATTTTCTTCCTCTTTTTTAGGATGTTGCCAGCTACGACCGTGTTCGTTCAAACATTTCCAGTCACGCGTCACGACACCGTACAACAGGTAGCGGTTTCACACTCGGGTCGGGAGTCGGCTCCACTGGCGTAAGAAGCCTTTTTTCCCTACTTTTCTAAGCTTAACAGGGAACAGAACGTCTGACAACTCAAGCGGATGTTACAGATAAAACTATTATATATGCATGTACATATTTATATACGTTCATATGTAGATTTAAATATGTATATGTAATAAGGACAAAACTAGCACAACCTAAAGTTAAATAAACTTTTACGTTTCTTATGTGCATTTAAACATATCCTCAACAAGAATTTCCAAGGACTTTCACACTCAGCACATCAAATAAGCAGATATCAACCATTCTATGGTCCAATATAAAAATGCTAGGCTTATCGTCAAATATAAAAAAGTTAACTCAGAGCTACTTAAAAATGTTCTTATGAACAACCTAAACTTTGTAACTATTTACGTTATTACCAAATGTAATGTACAAACATAAATGTAATTTAAAGCTTTTAACTTACATTAAATATGCATTTAAATACGGTTAAAAGAAATTTTTCTATTTTATTTATCTTAATTGCTTGTTTATGGAAGGCTACATTCCAAAGAATAGAAATTGTTATGAAGATACTACAAAATAAAGTCACTAACTCCAGAATTGGGCGTGTCTAAAACGAATAGGGATGGAGAACGGTAATTAAAAGGTCCAAAAACCATCGACTATGAAATACAACCGTTTTTTTTTTAGATTGTATAAATTAAAATTTTTCTTTATAGATCAAAATATTTAAGGCCAGTGCTCGTCATTTACCTCCTTCTAAACGGTTGGAGCGATTTTGATAAAAAAAAGTTTGGTTCGTTTAAATGGTTTCGAGAATGGTTTTGAATAACTATTTTATGGTTCAGTTTACGTACTTGAAATTTGATACATTCTATTGTGGAATCATTAAATTAGTAAATAAAAAATTCACCTCGTTTTTCCGGCAGCCTTATTCCGGTAATGATTTTTAAAATAATAAAAAATGTGTAGTTAATACATTTTTACTAGTTATTTATTTAATTTGATTGCCAGGAGGAATATTGTTGCTACTCCGTCAAAGAAAAGGAATTTAAAAAACAACAAATGTTATTGCTAAAGCCCACATGCTTAATCATGAATTTATTTCAGTTTTCAATAAAATATAAAAATCGCCTTATCTAAGGCAGATTAAACTCGCAAACAGAATAAGAATGACAAATGTCATTAAGCCAAACAACATTTCTGTGACTTTGAAATTAGATCAATACTTGCTATTTTAAGAAGCCCATCTGGAAAAAAATTAAATCTGCAGTTGTATTTAGTTCATTTCCTGGGAGCATGTACGCTAACAAGAAAATGTTCTCCACTAAGTAGTTAAAGGAGTATTTGCATGTATCCTGCCTTAGGACTTCCACATTTACTTATTTCGATTTGAGTTAATTTGACCACACTTTGATGAAATATTTATTTCCCTTATACTGATTCGAAGAACGTTTATTTTATTTTTAGTCGAAATGGACAATATTCAGGCCGATACAATATATAAAATAGAGGTAGATTTAGCCTTGATGAAACGTGTTATTGATTTCATCATTAAACATTCTTTCTTGCCAGAATTTGGACCAGTTGTGGATCTATTCGAAGTTTAATTAGGACTGTTTGCTTTTACATATATAATAACTACAAAAATATTTCAATTGAACTAAATACAAATAGGCACACAACATGCAGCCGCCACTTCCATTTTTTTAAATAATTCAACTCACCTCAAATGTTGTAAAAACTATTTTTTCAATCGAACCAAAATATCGTTCCCAAAGTACTTGCGTTTGCTGGCGTAAGGCTAAAATTCGTTCCAGTGATATTGAGCGTACTACTTCCGGTACCTAGAAACATAAAAATTTTCAATGTTCAAAATATATAAATATAATATACATATAATATACATATACACATACATATGTATATTTATAATATGTATAATATGTATTTAATCATGTACAGTGAATACTCCATACAAACTTATATCAAATAGTTCAGTAATAAATTTCTCTGGCCGCATACTGCTTAGACTTCTACTTTTTCACGTTTCTTTAATCGATGTGAACTTTAGCTCAAGCTAAATATTATAATTTGTTGACTCACCTGAAGTAATAATCTTTCATCGGCCCATATAACAGCTTCCTTCCAATCTATTTTAGACTCGAAAGGTAAAACCCAACTATTCGATAACAGTACAGGAATACAACCAGCTTGTAGTGCTTCTAAAAACCTATAGAAAAGTGTTATTAAAATTTTAATAACAATTTAAGTGTTTTTAAGTACAAATATATAAATATATATAAAATATTGGTACTCAGAGGATATAAAATATAAAATACATAGTATATGCATATGTAAGTTCGTATATACAAATACATTAATATAAATTTATAAAGTTTACCGAAATGATCCCAAACGCCTTCCACGTGGCACTAAACAAAATGTAGAGTTCTGCAGCAACGTCTCATAGTCATATCTGAAAGATTTTATAAGCAAATATTATTTCAAGCTTTAAATACGAGTTCAAAAATAATTGTTTGTAAATTACTTGTCATATTCGCGATTATCCTCATCGCACCTGCCGTCCTGAAGCTCGCGCCAACTCTTACCATGTCGACAAGTCGTGACCAGGATGATATCCCGTCCATTGTGTAAATGAAATAACGAGTTGCGTGTCTCAGAGCCAATACCATGGACATATCTGAAATTATAAAAGAAAATGTATAGATGATATTCAAGTGACAACTTATAGCTATTGAGTACAGTTAAGAAACGACTTTGTACGAGTACATTGATATAATGTAACATTTAAGTAAAATCACTCACTTGTGACTGTATAAAAAACATACATAGGCTATGATATTTACGTTAGAAGTCATAAGAAACGATATGACATATTGTGTTTTACTTAGCGCCCGCTCATTTGAAAAATATACCATATCTTCATGACATATTAAAGAAGTTTGCTTTTATGAACGGGTTTTGATATATATAGTGATAGAAGTGTTGAAGTAATCACATTTTTCAAAACTCAGATATAATAAAAACTCTCCCTGCCGGACAATATTTTTAAGTTTATAGCTTTAGCTTGGTTTGAACGATTACTTGCGGATTTTTACATTAAAAATCATTACTTTAGAAAGATTTAAGGTGTTTTGAGGAAACAAAATCGCAAAATCCATAAGAAAATAATAGCATATTTTCAGGCGTGTTATAGTGATTTTCCACTCATACATACGCACTCATCATCATTCTTAAGGTTTTCTTCATATACATTAGTATACTTATACATATGTATATAAATAAAATATAATAACTCGGTAGATATTCAAAATTGTACCAGGGGACTTATAGCTATAACTTTTAGAAAGAGAAACACACGAAATGCACTTGAGAGTATAGAAATTCCCTGAGGAGAGACGATAGCAACTTCAAGGCGAGATCGAACCCAAGACCCCCCTCCCCCTTCTAGCAGTGTTACCCGCTCGGCTAATTCTTATAGTTCTGTTTAGATTGCTAAAAAGCTCCAACAAATTCAATACGTACGTAGTATGTAAGTAAATAACCCATGACGTGTAAGAAAGTTAAATACCATTACATTAATAACGAAAGTGATGCGGAAAAAGGAAGATAACAAATTGAGAAATGCAAAAACAAAAAGAAAATGTTGGAAACTTCACGCATTGATTTAGTGTGCATGTGTACATATGTATGTATGTATATATGTATGTTTCTATATGTGCAAATATACGTATTTTGCGAGCATAAATTAGCTTGTTCCACAATTTAAATGTGTGTTCATAACTTTCATATGTAAGCAAACTTAAGTAGTTGCACCGACTTACATACCTACACAAATATATATGAAAACGCTTGCATACAAATAGACGTGCATTCGCCTTTAAATCGTAGTTCAATGCAGTTTATTGGCTTGAAGATTGTGATTGTACCAAGCACCACATCAGAGATCTGATAAATGCCGCAAATGAGTAACACAAGACTCTATATAAATTGAACGGTAAGCAATAGACTAAAAATTAATGTTGAATAAATCGTTAAAGCGCACACAACAAGTGCATTTGCGTTGAACAAAATGGATATTTTCTTTAGCCAATGTTTTGTAAGTTTCAATTACATATACTTATATATATATATACAAATACATATATGAACAGTCCAAGCTGCATTTATCTTATTTCGCTACGACATCTTTCACAGCGAATCATTTGGAATACTTCTTTTCCTGACAAACAGCTGCGGTATATGCTCTTTATTTTCTACCTACTTAGTTGCAGGGAGATTACATGTGGCAAAGAAACAACGTAAAATATCAAAAACTTTTGAGAAATATCGAAATTGCAATGTCTCTCTGCTTTTCAGATTGCAGCGGCGTTTTATGTGGAAACAAATGCATATGGATAACTTAATGAGCGACATGGCTACCGGAGCTTATGCCATGAAACACATGCTTTCCGACTTAGTGCCCACTGCACACTCAGTGGTGCCAAGAAAGCTGTTAGATTACTTACCATCCGAAACGACCCGAGTAAAATATATCATACATAATCCCACAACGAAAAAGCCTGTGAAAATCATAAAACTTCGACCAACTAAAAAGGTTGTTAAAATAATGCACAAACCAAGTGGAACTACAGATCTGAAAGTCGTAAATCCACATAAAAATGGTTTTCCTCCACATCTTAGCAACGACCAAATGGAAAAGTTGGAGAAGCAGCAAGAGTTAATTGCAGAAGGGAGATTATCATTTAAAACTGGCGATAATTTACTCAATCAGATATCGGAGGGTGAGAAACAGGCGCAGCAAACGCAACCAGAAATCCATGAAGAGTATAATTCATGGTTGCCCGTTTTGGACACTGGTAATCTAGCCTCTGAGTACCCATTACACAAGCCGAATGTTTTGAGTTCACTGCACACGAGCATTATGGCAGAATCACTGCCAAAACCTGAAAAACAAATTGCTGAAAACCCAATAATTTCCAATGACGAGGTGAATCAACACCAAAACTTTGACATATTGGATGCACAAGACTACCATGACCAGGCACCGCATTCCAATAGTTATGAGGTAACGGAACACATAGCTGAAGAGTCCGTAGCACTACCCTTGTCGCAGGGTTCGCGCATTAGTGTTCGAATTGGCAATGCGCCTTCTAGATTTTCTCTAAAACAAGGCACAAATATACCGAACAGAGAAAAATTTTCAACGACATCCACAACTACTACAACAGAGGAGCCGCCCAATTACCCACCAAGTTTCTTGCGTCGCTTTCAGGAACGTTCAAATGCCGTTGCAGCTTCGGCATCGCCAACTTCTGCCATTAGAACAAAACAGCGTAAGATTCTCGTCGAACAAAGCGATTGGACACCAGGCGCTAATATTGGTAACTCTAGAGAAGCAGTCAAGCTTAGAACTCGGCTTCAAGGAATGAAACCCCGTATCAAAAGTGAGAAATGGCCCCCGGAGCCTTTAAATTCATCTTCCCCTACTTCAATAACACATTCGACGCCAGACAAATTTTCAGCATCCGATAGCTTTGCTGAAATAAATTCTTCGATATTTACTACTGCAACTACAACACCAAATTCGGCAATAGAAACTAAACAGTTGTCCGCAAAGACAGCGTCTGGCAGATTGAGAGATCAACCGCAGTCTCCGTCTGTTAAAGGGAGACAAAGAGCCGAATTGCCAAAGCTTCAACAAATGCGACTGAATAATCGTGGCTCAATTAAATTTGGTGATAAAATATTTTTAGAAGAATAAATATAAATACGTATGTATGTACGTACTTATATTATATATGTCTACTCATACCTGCGATGAAACTAGATGTCACTTCTGTTATTTGAAGTACGCACACGAGATGTAAATTAGATTTTTAGAAGGAACAACCAATACAATTACTTTAAGAAGCAAGTTTCAACGGTATAAATGCATAGATGTTTCTGTTTTACATGCACATATAAATATTTAAAACACTTATTTTTAATTATTTTTCGTAAAACAAAAATATTGCATCAGCTATGCAAAATTCTGTGAAAAAATATATTTATATATGTACATATATGTATAAAAGAAGGTCCTGTTAGTTGTCCCATTTATAAACTGAAAAGACTTGAAAAATTTTTTATTCATCTTCACAAATACTAGGATAATTCTTCTGAAAACTGGCCAAGGATCGATAAATCTAAAAAAATTTTCACCAGAATAAAATATAATATAATATAATATAATATTATCATTTTAAAAACGTACAAAAAACTGTAGCTGAAATACAATTTATAAATTTTTAATTAAGTAATAAAAAATTAAGGTTTATTTTCTAATTGCGGTTGCTCCTCGACATTGAATGTTATCCCCTCCGAGTGTACTTATGACATGAAATAAAAGCTTCTCATATAAAACATCAGCCGTTCGGGGGCGGCTTAGTGTAAACTGTAGGTCGCTCAATTTGTTGGAAAAACATCATGACGAACACCACAAATAGGAAAAGGATTTCGGCCGAAAATCGCTTCAGCAGCATCTATTATATATACATATGTATAACATCCATCAACATATATATTATTGTGGGAAGCTAAATTTTGATTTTTTAGTTGTTATAAATTTCTATTAAGATACATTCTTTTTTTAATTTAAGTACATTTACATTTTTTGATTATTATTTTGAGAGATGAGATACCCGCTTTCTGTTGACGTCCCCCGCAAACGGGGAGGTGCCGCTGTCCAGCTGGTTGATGTCCTCGTAAGAGTAAAGGCTGACATCACCGCCGTCCAGGAAATGCGATGGACGCGACAAGGACGCAACAAGACATGTCTCCAGTGTTCTTGACGTGCGTGAACTCCGAGGATCCAACAATCGACTCGGATCATTATCTTGTTGCAGCAAAGCTATGCATGCGCCTTTGTGTATCGAAGAACACCCGTAAACAAACACAAGGAAAGTTCGACGTTGAAAAGCTGCAATCGCAACATGCACTGCTTCTCTCTGAGATATACGGGACCTGTGGGACGGCATTTCAAGCTCTTAACGTACATCTGCAAACGCAACTATTGGATTTCGTAAAGGTGGCTAAAACAGCTGGTACGATGAGGACTGCCGTGTCGCAGTGGAGAGAAAACAGACTGTTTACCTCGCAGCCTTGCGATCGACCACAACGCGTGCGGGACGCCATAGATACCGAGAGCTGAAGAGGAAAGCAAGAAACATCTGCAGACAAAAAAAGTAAGAGGCCGAGATGCGTGAGTATGTAGAGCTTGAGAAGTTGGGGCGGACAAGGGTAGTGGTCGAAAATTCTTTGAGAAGATACGACCACTTACGGAAGGTTTCAAGACAGGAGCAGACTCTTGTAGGACACAAAGAGGTGATCCCAGAGTATATTGAATTTATGGAGGGAACACTTCTCCAGCATGCTGTATAGCAGTGAGAATTGAGTATCCGGAGATGGTGAACCCGAAACCCTAATCGATGACGATGGAAAAGACGTTTCGTTATCTGACCATGAAGAAGTTTGAATAGCAACCGCAGAACTATCATGACAGAGCTGACAAGGTGCATGTATCAGCTACTGTACAGAATATGGTCGGACGAAAGCATGCCCGACGATTGGAATTTAAGAGTGCTCTGCACCAAACGAGGTTTCAGACAGGGTGACTCTTGTCGTTCTTTAATTTGATGCTGGAGAGAATAATAAAGACTGCAGAACTGAATAGAGAAGCTACAGAAGCTACAGAAACTACCACGCCGCTTTCTCCAGACTCGATAAAGACACGAAGCAAATGAGTCTGGTATTGAAAGAGGGCAAGACGAAATTACCCCTCTCATCAAATAAACAGACATCGCATTCGTGACTCGGCCATCACGTCACTGCTGACAGTCATAAATTTGAAGTCTGTAGATAATTTCGTAGATCTAAGAACCAGCATTATCACCAATACAAACGTCAGCCTTGAAACCCAGCAAAGAATCACTCTTGCCAACAGGTGCTACTTTGGACTGAGTAAGCAATTGAAAAGCAAAGTCCTCTCCCGACGAACGAAAACTAAACTCTACAAGTCCCTCATCTTTCTCGTCCTGCTATATGGAGCGGAAGTGTGGACGATGACAATATCTGATGAGTCGGTGTTAGGAGTTTTCGACAGAAAGGTTTTGCGTAAGATTTATGGTCCTGACGATGGAACAATGAGCTGTACGAGTTATACGAGCTACATATGTATTTACGAGAAAAAGAAAATCAATTTTGAAACGAATTCAATCAATGCAACAAGTGAAAGCCTCATTCATTAAAATATTTATTTTTGCGCAACATATGTACATATAAATAAAAGAAAAAAAAGTTAATGGTTAAAAAGAAATTTTTCAATGATTCCTTGACTACCTAACGAGTTAATAGCCGAGTTAATATTTTTGAAAAAAGTATTTCAAAATCCGGTTTAACGATTTTAAGCTAAATCGAACAATCAAATCTATAAAGGCTAAAGATTTTTGATTTTTTACTTGTTATAAGTTATTTCTGAGTTCCATTCTTTTCTTACTTTAACTATTTTTGAATTATTATAATTTTGATTTCGAACCTATTAAAAAATAGAGTTTTTTAATATTATATGTATATATACATATATATACAAACATATTATTTTCACTTTGTTATGATAATTACCTCTTTCCTTTAAACGCCAATAAATATTTTTTGTTTGCCGGAAAATTATTGGTCTGAACCAAGCCAGAAGACCCCGAACGCAGAGGGAATTGTTTATGAAAAAGTGGAATGCTAATATCGAAGTTTGGACGTATGTGTAATACGCTCATACTAGCCTTTGCTAGTATTGCTTCTCCTGGATCGAAGCCAAGAGAGTCCTCTGCATAATCAGGCCATGTTCCAGAGTACAAATTGAATATTAGATGATTTCTACCATTATTCCAATACGTTAGACGTGCCAGTCTTGAGGGAACATTTCGAACATAATCATTTGACAAGGAATCTCTATCAAGAGTATCAATTGCTAAAACAAATAAGCATGCCCGTTCCGGTTGAGAAGTATAGTATCTTGATTCACGAATAGCAGATAATATTTTTTGGTAATTAGCTGAAACTGGTGGCGCTGCACCTAAAGAGTTTAGTGGCTCTGGGGGATATACATATACTAAAAATTCTCCATAGCACTTTGTAAAGTCGAAGCATCTTTCCATTCTGCAAGAGCGCTCCTTATTACCATCATCCAAGGATATTTCCTTAATTTTATTCACCTTATTCGCTGCTTTATTCATTTTATCGATCCCTTGTAACATTTGAACACTATCCCCAAGTTTATAACTTGGTAATTTTTCAAGGAGGCGAGCACGGGTTACAGAATCCACTACTTGAAGATTTCGATGTGGTCCATCACTCTTTTTAAGTCGATATCCCCCAAAATAGCAGTATGCAAGAAACGCACATGACACAAAAACCAAGATATATCGTTTTTTAGCTTGCATTTTATGCTCGATAACCTCTTAGCAACTGATTGTACACTAAAGTTATTATTGCACCTTTATATTTTTTGGGTAGGGTATAGTTGAATAATTTTGCATTGCACGTAATATACGCTGGTGCATTAGAAAGCAATTTACAAGGAGTGGTTTTAAATATAATGATTTACACGCATATAGGACTTTCTTTAAATAGCAATTTTATTTTTGATTCGGAAGTTTTAGGACACATAATAAGTCGTATGATTCTTTAAAAGATTAAAGTTCCAATTCATTGTACTCATTTTCTTAAAGAGCTTATTTCCTTCGGTATTTATCAAGCATTTGCGTTAATGTCCATTATTGAGTATATAAATGCATGTATTTTTCCCCATTTGTCGAATTTTCAAGGCAGTATATACACAATGTTACCGCCGTCAACCCGAGGCGCGGTACACTAATTGATTTTAGACGAACTTAGGTATATTTTTAGTCAAATTTTGATAAATTTATTTTATTGCAAACTATTGTTTATTAAATCATCAATATTAGTCACTATTATGATAATTTTTCACAAAAACGTCTTGAGCATGAAATCTCTGGACCGACCAGCCCACTGTTAGAAATTTTGACATTAACGAAGACTGCGAACACACATGCAAATGCAAAACGAAAATAAAAAAAGTCAAAAAATCTACTTGTCAAAACATCATTTTGCGCTGCCACTCAATTTAGTTTTATATTGATAAAAATTTCTTTAGCGCTGTTTTGCAAACTTGTTAATCTTTTTTTGGATCTGCCTATATTAAAAATATATTTTATATTATTTTTTCAAACATTACCTTCATGTCTTTAATTTTAATATCGAATACGCCGACTAAAAAATCTATATTTTATTACTTAATATTCTCAATTTTTTTTTTTTGATGAAAAGATTTGAGCGATATTCTTTAAGGGAGTAAACTTTTATTAACCTTATTAAATACCAAAACAAATAGTAGCTATTACAATAACACTAGTCAATAATTATATTTAACACAATCCTTCATCTTCTTCTTCATCCTCGTTAGGTACAACTGGATCGGTTGAGCCCTCCTCAGTCTGTTACAAAAAACAGAGAGCGTAAGAGTTATTATATATAGAGATTTATTTATACATACCTCTGTCTTTGGAGATGAATAGGAAAGAGCAGCATCTTTAATCACGTTGGCTTTTGGTGCAGTTGATAACCCATGTGGAAGAGGAATATCACGAGCAAGAATACTGTATTCAACGTCCATATGACGTATGAAAGGCGCAGATAAGGCGCGCTTAGCAGAATCGGGGTCTTCATCATCAAAAGCTTGTAAAAGTAGTTCCAATGTTTGAACTTCTTCAGAATCACAACAATTACCCCATTCCTTGAAAGCTTTTTCAGCGGCAACAAAATCTCCTCTTGCGAGTTGAACCAAAACTAACGCTACGGCCAATCGTCCGATTTGACCGTACGATTCCGTTTGCTGATTTAAACCTATTTCCCGTCTAATTGCATCGGCAGCCTCCTCATATCTGGTAAAAAAAATATAGAAAACAAGATAAAACAAATGTAAAATATATTTAAATATATACAATTGATTTTAAAACTAAACCTACCTATGCAATTTTACCAAAATTCTGGAGATTTTGCATGCATACTCGGCAGCATGACGGGTTGAATCGTCTAACTAATAAATGAAACCTTTTGAAATGAGAAAAATAATAAATCAATTTTTCTTTTAGTACCATAACAACTTCCAAAGCATGTTTGTAGAAAGTTAATGCTAATTCCGGATGGTTTTGCTCAACAATTTTAGCTGCTTTATCCAATGCCGTTGCAGCAGCTTCTGGGGAACCATGTTGCTGATAAAGGTTGCATGCTTTATTCACATTTTCCTCTATTTCTAGTAACTTATTATTTTCTTTTAGTATTAGTATGATCTTAAAAAAAATATATTGAAAATTAGAAAACATGAAAAATTGAAAGTGAAAGTTAAATTTTAACCTGCTCGTAGCATTTTGCAGCGTGAAACCATGACCGATTATTTTTGTGACATTCTATTGCTTTTATTAAACACTCTTTGCTCTGTTCATATGATTTGGCAATACGAAAAGCAGTAGCTGAAAATAATAGAAATAGTATTTCAATATAAATATTACATTATCTGCTTTCAAATGTAATAAAAAGGATACCAATTCATACGTGAAAACTAAGAAATACCTGCTTTTGTGTATTCGTCTGCAGCTACGTCATAATCTGGTCTCCACTTTAATAATCCAACTTTCAAGCTAAATTTAAGCAATTAACATTAATTTACGTTTTCTTTTAATAAGAGGTTTTATTACCTTTTTTCTGCCTGCCGGACTAATTCTTGTCCTTCTTCAATTTTCTTTGTATTCATGGTAAATGTTAATTTTAATTGCCAGTAAACCAAATCAATAATAATTTAGACATAATTTTTTAATAGCGCTACCCAACTCACAAAAACCCTGCGATAAAAATATGATGCCAGACTACTAAACTATTATCTTCATCGAAAAATAAAAAAAAGTTTTTTGAAACAGGAACAGGAGGGAGCAGTTAAAGTTCAAGTAGAACAGAGTATCTGTCTAAAAACAATCGGGCAAGTTACAGACTTAGGCAGTAATCCAATGAAATACTTCTCGGCCAACAATTTTCAAATGCGAATATTTGATATTTCTTGTAAGCAAATTTTAAAACAATTAATTTTTTTACACATGTCTTCGTAAAAATATTATTTTTTTCTTTTCACATTCCTCGTTTAGAATCTTTCGTTTTCCTATACCAATCAAAAAATCGTTTTTAAGTTGCTCCATTTTGTATAGAGCGGCTCATGAAATAATAAAATGTTAAAAAAAAGTAAATAAGTTCAGCTTAATAAGCATCCCTAAAAAAAGAGAATATATAGAGCAAAAGATTAAAATAAAAATGCGAAGAACGAGCTCGTCATTGTAGGAAAACTCAGCGCCAGCTTCCGATTTGAGCTCACAGCTGTGATCACCTGATCGATTTAGTTTTTCATTTCAGTTGTTGTCATTCGTGCCTATATTTCACTGAATTTCACTTTTAAGCGCAGCGTTGCATGAATAATTATTTCAACAGATAGAAGAAATTGATAAAGCAGTCGAAATAAAAAGGAAGTTATTTGCAGTAGCTTTGTTCGGTGAGATATATAAGTAAGAATTAGACAGTCGTTCGGTAAAACTCAGCAACAATTGTTACTGCCATTCAGGTCACCGAACAGAACTAAACTCTACAATAATACTCGGCATACATGGAAGGAAAAACTTCACTCCAAAGTTTTTAGAAAATAAATTTTCAGCATTTTTAACGAAAATAATTATAATTATACATATGTATATTCGTTATCGAAGTTAACTATTAAACATAGGAATATATTGTGATTACGTTTTACTGTACTTAATTTTTTTGTTTACCTAATATTTTTTATTAGGTAACTTTCTAATTTTCTTTTATGAAAAACAAAAATTTTTTACTACAAAAACAAGTAATTTTTGTTCGTTAACAATGCAATTTCAGTACGTTCAAAAGTAAAACCAACCGCTAAATTACACTATTTTACTGGATAATTAGTAGAATAGCAAAAGTTACCGAAAGTCAACTATTAAAACGTACTAGCTCTTTATGAAGTATGAAAAACTTTAGTTTTTCTTGGAAATCTGATTTTGGCGGTTATAATTTTTAAAATTATGTTTATAAATATGTACATAAATTCATTCAAAATATATGATTTCGTTCGTTACTATGAGTATTTAATATTAATTCAATTTTAAATTGAAAATTAAATAAAATTAAAATTCAGTTGAAATTGTTATAATATTTAATGAAGGACTTGAATTACACCTGCGCAGAACAAAAAATTGATTTTCCATTTGTCATTCTGTGTAACGTGAATAGAACTGAGCTGCTAACTAACTTAAGAGTTAAAGAAAGCAATGACTTCCTGGAAGTCAAAAAGTAAGAACTTATTATATTTTTGGTAATTCAGTAAATCAAAGAAACTTTTTGAAATGAGGTAATATTTTTTGATGATTTTAGATATTCTCTCGCAGCTACTTACGTGTTTACTTATATATGAATGTACTTATAGACTTATATATGTATGTATATTAATTCGTGTTACCTCATTACAGCATGTCTCACAATTCATGTTTCGAATTAAATGAAATCCGGATTTTGGATAAAATTTTAAGGCAATGCGAATATTATATATCGAATAACGGCATGCAACAAACATCACAGCAACGGAATAAGAAAGTGTGCCTGAAAACAAATAATTTTAACGAGCTACTCTTAAATACTAACTTAAATAAATTTGTAGAGAAGGAACTTTTTTCATTTATGTGTAAACTTAGGAAAATGGACAAGAAGACCATATTCGTTTCGGATATACTTATCAATTCGGGCATATTTACGGATGGTTATGATTATAATAAATATTCCTTCAATACTAAGAATCAAATGAATATTAACCGATATATTTATCACAAAATTGGTCGAACCGAAGAAAACGAAAATATTTCTTATAAAAATGTTAAGAACAACGATCAATATTCCGATAAAATTATGTATGAAACTCCCAAGTGTATGGCTGTAGAAATAATGAGCAGAAACAAAAAACAATTTTCCTCACTGAATAAACAAAATAGCGAAGAGACGAGCAATGGAAATCCATGGGACATTTATGGCGCAAACTGTATGAAATGTGAAGAAAAAAGCCTTAAATGTAACATACATTCCTCAACAACACCCGTTGAAAAGGACAAACTGAGTAAAAACAATATTTTTTATGGAAATGATCTAGCGTTCAACAAACGAAAGGATAGAATACATAGTCAAGCGAATGTGTTTGAGAAGACAGTTTCATATGACAGTGTTCGCTCGAAAATTTCATCTCAAAACTTTGTTAAGAAAAAAATCCCGCACAGGCTATCAAAAGAGGATACCGATGACCTACCGGACAAAGAACCTTTACTTGGTCCTAAGCCACTGAAACTGCCAGATTCGGTAGAAGCTGTAAGTAAAGTATGCAAGTATATACATATGCATGCATAAAATATATACATACATACAAACGTAAATGTATTAAACCTTCAACCCTTTCGTTAATTTATTTTTTTTTTTAATTTTGATTTTTCATGATGATTCAAGTGAATTTCATAATAGAAAAGCACAATGGCAGGTATATTGAGTGGCTGGTTGTGCCTTATAAATATGCTTGTTATGATCGGTTGTAATTCATACTCATGCCTGTATCAATTTCCTTTACTCGAGACATTTCTTTAACCTTTAAAAATGTCCATAATTTCAAACAATCAATTTATCACTTGAGTAGTGACTAGTACCAAGTTACTTGTATTGCATCAATCCCGGATATCTAAAGCTTTAACGAGAATATTTTTAAAAATTATATGTTAGATTTTTATTTCCTTTTGATATTATAACATGCATATATGTACATAACAAATGAATGATATCTTTGTTATAATTACAAGATTTACTATAATGACATATTTTGGCATTCCTCTTTGTATTTATATATATGTATACATATGTAGGTCTTATCACTAGGCTCAACGATTTTGCCAGATAAAAAGATAGACAACACCGAATATCACAAATGGACAATATTACACTATTCACCATTTAAGGCTGTTTGGGATTGGATAATTTTGATACTTGTCATATATACAGCCATATTCACACCATATGTCGCCGCATTCTTGCTTGGAGAGCCCGACTACCAAAGACGAACCAACAAATATATTAATAGTGATCCACTTGTGATTGTAGATTTAATTGGTAAGTGAACTGCTATAGCTGATGCATTTAATTACTAAGAGCTCTCCAAGTTTGGAAGAGTTAGGTTCGCTTAATGAAAAATTGATTGGATTTTGACTTTTGTTACATAAAAAAAATCCATCTTTTACACAAAACCCTTACATTAACTACTCAGATATAAGTTTCATTGAGTTCCCTTTGAAATGTTTGTTTGTAAGTGAAGATATTTCATATAATATAGATATGCACATACTTAAAACATAATACAAAATTCGTATTAACGGTGTCAGAATGAAATGTTTAGCTTTTACAATACCATATTTATTGCACGGACTTGCAACCAGGCGAAAAGCATCAAAAGTTTCCCTGAACACCATATTACTATGTCTCATTCTTATAACAAATTATTAAATTAATCGCACTAATGGTTTTGCATATTCTTCTTTTAAATTTCAGTTGATGTTACTTTTGTTATTGACATAATTATAAATTTTCGAACCACATTTATTGATGGACAGGATGAAGTTGTTTCACATCCTGGAAGAATTGCGGTGCACTATTTGAGTGGTTGGTTTCTTATTGACCTAGTTGCTGCAATACCATTCGATTTACTTTTGGTTGGAAGCGATACAGATGAGGTAATTTCAAAAATGAAACTCAATACTCCTTTTCGGAAAAAAAGTTTGAGGTTACATATCATATATCTTTATTACATACTCGTAAAATAGTTGGATGTAGCGAAAAATTGTATTAGTAAGTCTGAACGAAGCAATTAAGTGCTTGAAGTAATCAGCGCTGGTACGCTAGTAGCAGCTTAGTATGTCGCAGTAGGTTTGATACAAATTTGGTACAGAGATTTTTCATAAAGACTTTAAGTTTTTACAATTATAGATACTTTGTTTCAGTTTGTTTTAAAAAAGATAATAAATCAAACATTATTAATGTTATGTTAACCGAGGGAACGAAATTTAATTAAACCTTCTGCTGGTAATAGTTTCCAAACAAGTTTTATTTTATACAAAAATTAATTGAAATTAATCAATTTTTTGTTTATAGCTAATTTTTAGTTAATGGAGACACAATGCGTTTGTCTTGAAACTATATATATTTTAGAGACCAGAAACACATATCTTTTGATTTTTGTTGTCGATGTACGGTGTATTACTGGCTTAATACTTTTGTTTTCATTACATATATATAGATATGTACAATATGTGTTTTCTAAGTTAAGCATAGATAATAAAGAAACTTTAGTGTCAAATTTGTAAATTTTGTAAAAATTTATATTACTGCCATACACGTATGTACATATCATATGCATGTACGTTTATATTTGCATAAAATCGAATGTTACAATAGTTAAATGCGTTGCGTCTCAGCTAATGGAAGTTTAACCAAAGTATTCAGAGCTGAACACAGCTTCAGTTCAAATTAGATTTTGTGTCTTAAGTCCAAGTGACATTTAAAATAAGTATATTTACTTGATTTTGAGAATGATTTTAATCAAACTCTTATACTCACACTCTTCACATTTTTATCAGCACAGACGGCTATACGAGTGTAAGCTAGTTTTGTGCAGTAAACTACATAAGTATGCTTGACTGAAGTCAGAACGCAACTCTTGAAGATGGGTACAGTTTCCTGTAGGTTTATTGGTATTTATCCGTAAAATATTTTCTTATAATCATTTAACCATGCAAAAAAAACAGTAATGCTCAGGAAACTAAATTTTCTTCGTATTACACTCTCAGTTTGCTGAGTTTTTGTATTTGATTGTATTTTAACTAATTTATAATTATTAATTTTTACATACTCATTAATTAAATACATATACGTGTATACAGATGACATACTTAGGTATTTTCATATATTCGTTTAATTTGTGGTTTATCAGACTATACATTTATACTTATTTTCTACATGAATACTTACAAACCTCCGTATGGAACTCATAAAAGTTTTATATTTTATTGCGTAAGTTTATTTTAACTTCGAAATGCATATATAAAAGTACATAATATATTTTTAGTAAATATATGAAAAACTCTAGTATATGAAATATATGTCGTCGGAAGTGCTCACAATTTTAAACAAAAATATCTTTTGTACATAGTTTTTAACTTACTTTTGAGTTGACTAACGACATTTTTCTCAATAAAATTGGTTTAGAAAATCCGAAGGAATGAACGGGTACATAAGATATTTTTTATTGCAAAATGCCCAAATATATAAACATTAATACGTATGTGTGTATGCTACAAATGTATATACGAGTACATGCTTAAAACATACCTATATAGAAACGCATATAATGAAAGACACTTATGGGAAAAGTTTTATTTTACTTAAAATTTACATTTAAAGGAACTTTTTTTAGACGTGTGGTTTTCAATGAGGCATTACTTTTTGGATTTAAACTCAAAATGGTCAATTTGATATCATAAAAAACAGATTTGCTCATCGTACAACGTTTGCAAATTGCGCATATTTATAAAAAAAATAATGGTTCTATTGCAACGCTCACTGCGTTCAATATTCGGTCGACATAATCGCTCAGCATAGTGAATACTTCGAGCAACCATAGATCTATCTGCCATCAACTTTATAGAAGATTACGGAATAAAAAATTTTGTTCAGCGATGAAACCCACTTTTGGTTGAATGGGTACGTTATTAAAAAAAAATCGCATTTGGAGTGATGATAATGCACAAGCCATTGTTGAGACAAAGCTACATCCTCAAAAAATGACTATTTGGTTAAAATGTTACAATGAATTAGGAATGCCATGGAGCCATAATCAATCATTTTTTTGTGCCTGAAATGGAGGATATTGCTGTGGACGACTTTTGGATCCAATTTTGAAAACCATATGTCTAAAAAAACACCCTTTATGTTATTGGTAAGGAGTCATATGAGAAAATATGTACATATATGCAGGAAAAAATTAAATATATTGAAATATTATTGGCATGATGATTGTGTGGTCCTAAGATAAAACGGTGTAAGCTTCTGCAATAGAACGTCAGAACTGGTGAATCGTTCTTTGTGACCTGGACAGGCTTCTGGGCCAAAAAATATATTGTATATATGAAAATCTGCAAATAAGAAGCTTTCTTGGAAGGCTTTTTTCAATATTAAGCTAGGCATATGGCTTTTCCAAGTGTTTCTCTTGTTTTGTTATGGAATAATATTTTTTAATGTTTGATTAATTTTTTTTGTCCAAGTACCTTGCTTAGGTAGGCAGCTCAGGTAGACAGCAAAAATTACAATATGTTTTCGTATCTTTGCCCACCCACATGCATAGGCTTTAAATATAGGAAAAATAGAAATAATTATATTTGATTACTTGAAAATTAAAGTTTATTTGCCTATCTTTTTTGTGCGGGCTCTACGTGAACGTGCTTTTTCTGTGGTTTTTAATTTTTTTACATGTGGCCTAAAAACGGAATCGTTTTTTTTCACATCAACCAACAAAGGGATATATCGGTGTTAAAAATTATATTTTTCGAACTATCGTACAAAGAGACTTTTTAACTAAATTTAATAAAATCATTAGAAACACAATATGTGATGACATTAGAGAATTACTCTATCCTAATACATTTATTATCTTAGTACTTTTGCAAATATCCTCAACTTTTTATATGTTTAATTTAATATATTTATGTGTCCAATGTTTTACAGCTCGGCTTGGATAATGAAGAGGTATTATTAGTCAATAATTCTTTCCTAAATGAGCTTTTGAGCGCAACTACTTATGTTATGTTTTGAGCAAATTAAAAATGCTATATTCTTACCCAGTAGCTTCAATTCCACAATTATACACCTCTAAATACTTATGTAATTTAACACTTTGTACGTGCCATTTTAATTGCAAACGGTTTTTATACTTGCCGCAACATGAACGCAATTGATAAATAATTTGCCGAGAGCATCTATTGGCGCATAATTATAAACAAATCAATTATATGCAACTACTCTATTTGTATCACTTTTTTGATTAAATACAATTTTTATTGATTGAAAATAATGTCGAAAACTCGGATTCAAGTTTCTTGTGAGCGCTTCTGTTTCATTCATGTATTGTTAGAAATAATTGCAACACTTCAAGTATTTATATATCATCTTCGTATACAAATGCAGTATTGGTTAGTACCACCAGGGAACGTAAATATGTATAATGAATGATAGAATGATATACGTGTGTATATTCTCTGGTACCACTAAGGATAAGGAGTTAACACACACAGCACGGATACACTTGCGTACATATGTACACATTTTCAAAGTTTGCCAAAAACATGTTATATGTATATACATTCGTCATAACAAGCTTTTCACATTTATCTCATACTATGTGTCAAATACGATACTTAATTGTTTCGGTTAAAAAAAAATATATGTTTCTATGAACATTCGAATAACACAAAAGGATCTATTTAGTTTTGTTTTTTTTTTTTAAATAAAAGGATGAAGTCATACATATCTTTGTTTTAGCCACAAACAATGTGAATGAATAATTAAAGGGTCCAAGATTTTATTTATTTTTTAGAGCATTAACTCATTCCATAACTTAGGTAATTATATACTTAAGCTCGGCTAGGATAACGAAGAGGTATTATGTATAATAAAATTCTTATGAATTAAATGCCCCTCCTTTATTTATTATGTCATTTAAATAACTTATGTAATCTCGTTTATTCACAAACATAGGAAATTATAGCGTTTTTTTCAACCAAAATTTCGTACTACTTTCAAAACAATTTTGAATTTTGTAGAACCATAGCCAGATGTGATCAGTAAGTTGATCTTTAAAATACTTTTCCCAAAAGTTCTTTCACTATGTAAAATTATCAAAAAAATAAATAGCAAACTGAAATTTCATAATTAAAAGAGAAGACACACACGTATATATATTTACTAGGCCCCAGTAGGATGTAAAAACACATACACAAAAAACACTAAATAAACATTCTCGGGCACATTTAAAACGGTAAATTTAAACTAAAGTTTGTTCATTATAACTTGTGAAGTAGCGTAAAGTAACTCCTGAAGATTAGAAGATTTTACTGAGTCTTTTTATCTTTTCATATTCTGCGCGGTTCGTAGTCTATCCAATATGCATTCCACTTGCCCAAGAAAACTAAAAAAAATTGTGCATATATTGTATAATACCACTTTTATCGCTGTGGTTTCCTTTAATGTCAAGGTGTCTTCCAGGCGCGCTTTTCTTCCACTCAGCAATTATTATTTATTTTAATTCTTAAAAAGGTGCAATTATATACAATACAAGTGCAATATGTACAAGTGTAATATGTATGTATGTCATTCATGTGCCTCAGTACTTAGTATGGAATAAATATGATAAAAATGCTAGTTTTCTAACCTTTTTATAGTAATTTTGGCAAAGCATCGAAAACTCATAAATTTACAAACTCAATTTACAATTAGTCTATAGGGAATCTCTTGTAAATTTCATAATAAAGCGATATTTTCCCCCTACGTTACATGTGTATAAAGGACTGCCAAGCTTTTTTCATTGAATATGTATGAATGTAATACAAATATTTGCCAATTTTTGTTTTCAATGCTTCTTATATGGTAGAGCACTTTTGCACATATGAATAGTGATGTCGATCTCAATTTAAATTATAACATGACCTGCATGAGATCGCTACGTACATATGTACTTTACATAAATGTTAAATAATAAGTATATCGTTGATGAAAGGCAAGAGTTGTTATACCGGTAGAAGCCAGTGGGTACTGGAAAGAAGAAGCGTTCGTAGCGATACAACCAATGGCTATGAAAGCAAAGAAAATGTAGAGAGTACGACAAGTTTGATAATTTAATAGGGGTTTCTCTTCTGAGCAATGTCTGTCTACGAAAAGTTGAAAACTGATGTTTTACATAAACACCTATCGGTGCGGTGTCATATAAAATTGTATGTATGTGTAATTAGGCTTTTTTAAGCCTTAACGGGTTTTAGGGGACTTGTACATCTTTTCATCAACGATGTGCAAACTTTATTAAAAATCGATTTTGCAGAAAACAAAGAAGCAACAAAAGCACCTCCCACATTTAAGAATTTATTTTACTTTTTATATCTGCTTCTTCCCAATAATCAAATTTGCACACATCGCTTAATACATAATACATATGTGCATATTTTACAAATTTTTACACCATTAAAATGTACTACTTTTATTTTTTCATTTATTTTTCTTTTTTTTTCTTTTTTTGTAGACAACAACTCTAATAGGTTTGCTGAAAACTGCACGGTTACTCAGATTGGTGAGAGTGGCCAGGAAAATTGACAGATACTCCGAATATGGCGCAGCGGTGTTAGTTCTCCTGATGGCAACATTTGTTCTTATCGCCCACTGGTTGGCTTGCATTTGGTAATTCTGTGCATACGTATATTAGAATTACAGTTTTATATCGCTTTAAAAACATGCATTATACATATATATTGATATACATTGATAGGTATGCAATCGGAAATGCGGAAAGAACACTGTTAACAAAAAATATTGGTTGGCTTCATTCACTAGGAAATGATATTCAAGAGCCATATTTTGATAATAACACTGGTGGACCCACAATAAAGGTATTTTCAATTTATGTATGTGTGTATTTATATAGGATTAGGACGATACATTTCACTACTTGCATCTATTTTACAAAGTTATATAGACACATTTTTTGCCACTAAATGGTGGTTGGTGGCCGCGGTAGCCGAGTAGTTAGCATTGCTCGGGTTCAAACACTGGTATCGCTCCTCATGAAAAAACCATCAGCCGTTTGGAGGCGACTTAGTATAAACTGTACGTCAATCCATTTGTTGGAAAAACAACAAGACGCAAAACCGCAAATTGGAGAAAAAGCTCGGCCGGAAATCGCTTAAGCGATTACAAAGCGCCAATTATTAATGGTTAACTAAAGTGCCCTTATTTGAAGGAAAATATGGAGTTACGATCACAAGTTTTGTATGTGCATTTGTATTTATATATGAGTATGTACACTACATATTTATGTATATAAACTATGCATCAGAATGCAATAAATTGTTATCAAGTAAATTAGTTGAAATTAATAAAATTATTTGGCCTGACACCATATTAAAAAGCGAATTTAATAACAATAATATACAGTATATCATCGCTGTAATTGTCACTAAGATTCAACGGATTGAATGCTACTCATCCTCGGAGGAAGAGCACGCTAAAATATATCAGGCAAAAGTGGCGGCGGAGCTGGATTGCACCACCTCCAGTAGGTGCTTCGACAATCTCCACAAGAATCCCAAGCAGGTGCGAATGGGAAAACGCAAACGCCCACGATCATGAAGTTAATGCCATCTTTACAGCCCATAGCTCGACTATGCCAGCTGCCATCAGATCTCAACAGTGTAGCAATACCACACTTAAAGTGGAAGGAACCCTTCTATCTGCAATAATCTACGTACGCGATGCATGTGTTCTTTTGTCCACTGCAAATTATATGCTAAAACTGGCCTTTGTCGAAAAAGCAAACACCAGATGGCTAAATGAGATTATTTGGAACGTGACCAGATGTTATCTTATCCATTAGCATAGCAACAGAAGTAATAGCCGGTCACTTTTTAATGTACGACACAAGTTCTATACCAAGGAACTGTCTAGCTAGGAAAAAATTGGTAATCTCGTCCCATTTATAAGACACACGTTACGGTTCGAATATTTGAGAAGGTGAAAAAAGTGGTAGCGACGATTACAAGCATCGATTTCGTGGGGTATCGTCCTAACTCAATGCACATCTATGTAAAAAATTATGTATTATTTAATAATCTATATTTATTTTTAGTCTAGATACATTACCGCTCTCTACTTTACCTTTACATCATTAACATCAGTTGGATTTGGAAATGTCGCTCCAAATACCGACGCCGAGAAGGTTTTTACCATATGTGTAATGCTTGTGGGCTGTAAGTACATGTCAAAATAATTTAAATGTGTTACGTGCATATGTACATATTTTTATGGAGCATGTTATTCAATGATATGTTAATAAATTCATGATAGGTTAATTGTTTCAAATAACGAAATTCGTTATATTCACGAAACGTGAAATATTTAGTCTTCACCAGACTTGATTCCTTACTTGCCCGGGTATGTTATTTGTATTTTGTTAATAATGAAAAAAAGGAAACAAATTTCCTCAATCATCCGTCCTGTTTCGCACAGGGCTACAGTTATTGTTATGTTCAAGTTTTTGTTTAACTTTTTAAGAATTTAGACGTTTTTAATGTTATGTTATGGTAATCCAAAGTTTTATGTTTAGTCCTTTTCAATAAATAATTTTTAAGATATCTAGCCTTGCAATTATGACCCGTCTATGTATACTCGATGATATTGTCTGAGAAAATGAAACAGGAACGAAGTCATTGTGCATAGAGGTGTAACAACCATAAGAGCTTCGAGGATACTCTAGCATTGAGAACGTCTTTTCCAACTTAATAATATCCTTTGAAAATAAGGAAAACTAAAGGATAGATAACTGTAATGTAAAAGCCACAATTATTATTGTAAACTCCCGCTTCGTATTTAACTATTTATGTGCATATATAAATGAGTATATCATATTTAAGTAATCCTTGAATTGCTTAAGGCATTTAATTCACAGAAGTATATAAATAGAATTTACTCATATAAATAGAGGTATTCATATAATGTGGTGAATTATTATTTGGATTTGAAAAATTCCATTTCGGAAAGTATTTTACTTAATCTATAAATACTTAAGCCAATGCTTGTCATGTTGTTGTAAAATTAGAAATAAACACATGTACACAATAGAATGAATTTGAAGTCTTGTTAAGTTTATGCAAGCTTAATCATCTCTTGAAATATTATTCCGTTTGGAACAATTTTTTACCTTTAATTCATTTATATGCGAATGAGTCTTTCTCAGGCAAAAGCTCATATATTGATTTCACATCTGTATGTAAATATTTTCAGAGCTAAATGTGCGTCTAAGCGTTTGTGGTGAATATCCCCATATTTTATATTATACTCATAGGAATATCTGCTTCGGCATTAAAAGTGAATTAATTCAATCATCAATATAATACATATACAATAGTTTGAAGCCGGGATTTCAAAAGTGACACTATTGAACTTATATGCCATTATTCAGCAATCTCATTTCAAAAAGCGACAGCATTTCATGCGGCGTTCTTTGTGTACATGGGGTTATAATTTGTGTAGCTGTTTTGAGAGTATTTATGTTCTTCCTTCACCGCCATAGTATAAAACCCTTAAAATTTTTTAGCTCTTATGTATGCGAGTATATTTGGAAATGTTTCTGCAATAATACAAAGACTTTACTCGGGTACTGCCAGGTATCATACACAAATGTTGAGGGTGCGTGAATTTATTAGATTTCATCAGGTAATCCGGTACTTTGAAAAAAGGAAAAATATGTTCATGATACAAGATCGAATACTTAATTTTAGATTCCAAATCCACTTAGGCAGCGATTAGAAGAATATTTTCAGCATGCTTGGACCTATACGAATGGAATCGATATGAATTCGGTGTTGAAAGGTTTTCCAGAATGTCTTCAAGCCGATATTTGTTTGCACTTAAATAGGAAACTTTTAACAACGTGTACAGCTTTTTCCGGAGCCAGCCCCGGTTGTTTAAGGTATGCTCATTTCAATAGTAGCTTCAATAATTGTTTATGAGCCTCTATAAACATTTTTTTGAACATCCTATGAACGTAGCCTAATTAAATTTAAACAATAAAAATATTAACTGTTATCAGAAATACAATTTTCGTAAGAACTAGGTTTAAGGAAGCCGACACCTCTCTACGAAAAAAGGCCAAACATTAAGAGACATCAACTATGGTGGCTAGGGATTTTGGTCCGGATGAATAAGAATGATCCAGCTTTGAAAGTGTTTGATACAGTACAAGTCGGTGGAAGCAGAGGAAGAGGGAGCCCTCCACTCCGTTAGGAAAACTAAGGAAGAAGTACCTGACCTGGTATTTTCAATTCGCTCCAAACGGCGGAAATAAAGAATGAATAGCGCACTGTTGTTAACTCTGATATAATATCGTAAAGGGTGTCTACGCCATTAAAGAAGGAGAATAAATGGTATTCTTGACATAAACAAAACTAAAGGCAAACACAAAGTCACATGGGAGCTTCTTGCTTTGGATAGTGTAGTATTTACGCACCATTAGCACAACTTATAGCTAAAATGTTTATAGGTCTTTTCGGAGAGTTTTCGCGTGTGAAATATTAAAAAATATCCGTTCGTAAATTTGGATTCAATGGAAGGTTTTAAAAGAATTAATTTCAATAATATAACGGACAGTAAGTGGAACAGTGATATCCTAATGGGGCCACTATTCATAACTCAATTTCATGAAATTTTTATCAAAAGCCTCAAATTTACAACATGTACATATATTATATAATTGCGGTATAAATGTAATATATTGACATTCAAAAATGCTTTTCAGGGCACTGTCTCTCAAATTTAAAACTACCCACGCACCGCCTGGTGACGTTTTAGTGCACAAAGGAGATGTTTTGACGTCACTATTTTTCATTGCAAGAGGCTCAATAGAAATACAGCGAGATAACAATACCGTTATAATTCTAGGTAATAAATCATACCAAATATACTTTATTTGCAAATATTAAGGTTGAACTATTACTTGAGCTATCGGCTGGAAGTAACTATTCGAAGCCACATTTGATTGTTAATAAATAAAACGGTTAATCAAATAATTTTACGACCTAGGAACTAGTCCCTAGTTGTGTTCCACAAGCTACATAGGGTCAGCATAAAGTTTGAATCTTACCTCGGAATTCGGAATTTTGGTATAGCCGCAAAAAAAAATTTATGGAGACTGTTTTTAAATGTCAAGCCCTCTGCGTGTATTTCTGACATGAAATAAAAGCTTTTCATAAAATTCAATTGAAATAAACTGCAGGTCATAAAGCATAAAGGCGCCACCACAAATTAGAGGAGTATAAATAAAATAAAATAAATATAAATATATATAAATATATACCCCTACATATGTATGTATATATGATTTTGCTATTGAATAACGATGAGTGTCTGCATTCACGGCTAAAAACGAATAGAGATGATCAACTGATAGCAACCTCTAGCAACCACATAAAGACTTAACTGATGCATGCCAATCGATTAACATACCGTGTCACCTTGATGTGCATACATACAATTCTAACATATTTACATGCATATGTGTATGAGTGAGAATACAGAAGTTCAATATAAAGCTGACGCAGAATATAAAATTAAAGTCTAAACACAGTTTTTAATACAATTTTTTAGACGAAATATCTATAAATTTTACTTTGACACTATTATTTTATATGCCCATGTATATATTTATATAACATACAAATAAAAATATGCTGCGATCATAATTTTCAATCCTGTGTACTGCTTACTGTTTAGGAAAAGACGACATATTTGGAGAAAACCCATGTAACTACGCAACAATAGGAAAATCAAATGGAAATGTTCGTGCTCTAACTTATTGTGATATTCACAAAATCCACAGGGATGACTTATTAGATATTTTAGATTTGTATCCAGAATTTTCAGAGAGTTTCGCTAACAATCTGGTTTTAACCTACAACATGCGAGATGTAAGTTCATAGAGTATGTGTATTAAACAATTAATACTAAAATTTACCTTTATGTATGTGTTTAAAGGATTTTCAAGCTGGGGTTGAGGTGAAACACCGATATTTAAGAGCGAAATCATTAGACAGAGAAAGAAGTACCAGCGATATAACATCTATACGCATGTAAGTATGTAATTCAAACTAAAAAGCTTTCAAGCCTATTGCAGTTACATGCAAACTTACTAAAAATATATAAATTAAATTTTAACGACAATCTCAAATTTGTTCAAGTACATATGTGTATACATAGTATGTATGTACGAGTATATAGTTTTATACGGTTTTTTGCGATTCTTTCCAGTTTTGGTATGCATCAGAAAAAAAAGGAGAAAAACGCCTCGTGTCCAACTAAGGTTCAAACCAAAGATTCAATAAACGATGGTAAAGACCCCTCGAACTATAATTTCGATATTCAAAATAGAGGTACATATAGGAATTTATTAAGAAAATGCTAAGTTAAAACATTGCGCTAATAACATATGTATATACATATATACATACTTATCTATATTTAGATGATTTTGAACATATGCAAGCAATATACAAAAATTCAAAATCCAAACCGACTTCCCTTACCCGGAATAATTTACCAAAAAATAACTTGCAAGAAAGCTACGCACAAGGAATAGTTAACAGAAATCATAAAGTGAAATATGTCAACGAAATGAACTTATCGACCTTTGAGAAGCAAAAGCAACGAGCTAGTTGGCTACGTCAACACAAATTAGCAAACAGCGCCACCCACGAAAAAATCTTACAGGATGTATCGTTATATATTAATCAGCAGAGAACATCTTATCCGAAGTAAGTCTAATTTAAGTGTTCAAAATATAACGAATATAAGAGTATATAGAAATTAACGTAATCTTGTAGAGACTCCTTGAAATGTAATCTGTTTTCCGACAAGGTCTTACCTACACCAAACGCCACAATCGCAACAACAGAATCGTGGGACGAGCTAGATAGTGTATGATTGCCTAGTATTAGAATGTAAACGCGTTAAAAATACTGTCACTGCTAAATACAATTCAATAAAAAATCTTAGAAAAAGAAGAAATGAAATAAAAACAATTAGCAAAAATAAACAAATACTAAATGTTGGCGTAAAACTTCCTAACATTACCCAAGGCGAATTTAATAAGAGGAGTTACTATGACGGCATATTTAAGTTTTTCACTCATTGAGTGCAGAACTTATCAAAATTATTTGTTAGTTGCTGATTTTTTTCCTTGATCTTATTTGATTTGCCATAACATTTTCATTTTTCGCTTTTCTGTCAAAGTTGGAAATGTCACTCAACGATAAAAAATTGCATCTGCCATCGGCTTAAAGCATCACTAAAGGAGGCGCGGTATTACCGCAACGGGGATAAAATCTACGATATGCGGTCAATGTATTCTATTCCGGTAAATTGGAACACCCAAATAGGCGCGGTATACCGCCAAAAATGACTAGATATGAATCTAATCGGGGACGAACGAGACGCAAATGAAGAAGCTACAGGCTTGCCAGAACACCACCCTCAGGATCGCGACAGGAAACCTCCTGATGTCACCGGAGCATCACTTGCACAGCGAAGCATCTATGCTACGAGTTAAGGAGCATAATGCTTTGCAATGCAAGTAGTTCCTATTGGGACGCTACCGCAGGCAGCACCCCAGTAGGCACCTAATAGAAGCTGAACCCCCACCTAGGTACATAGGCAAGGGAGCACTAGATTTAAAGGACACAAGCGGGGTTAGCGAACCGATACAACAACAACAACAACTAGATATAAATAGGTAACATTCAACAACTGACATGCAAAACGTGCTGCATAATTGTAATTTTGATGTTAAAGCGTAATGGCAGGCATTAAATATTTGATTGTTTCTCAATAAAATATTGCAATGAAATTACAATTAAAGACGTAGTTGTTTATAATAAATTTAAACACTTTTTAGAAGATTTTTGAGCGCTCTGTGAGCTGCAAATTTCAGATAGTCATAATATTTATTATTTTTATTATTTATTACTTTTATCATATTTTATTATCAATGTATTAAATTTTTATTGGAAACTGATTTTCAAAAATTGAAAGTTACTTTTTCTTCTAAAATATCGTCTATATTTCGCTTATGTGCTTCCCAACTTAAACCACGCTATACATAAATATATAAAAGTTAATTCACATAAGAGCTACATACACGTATGTCTCGTACCATCTCAAAGTTACGTTTTTTTTAGATATGATCGAAGTATGCACATAAAAAGTAGTTGAGGCGAGGCGAAGCCAGCAGAAGTGATGTATTGCCGAACATTTAACCTTTTTACACTTCTGCTTTTCTATCATGTAATAAGCTTGACAGAAAAGTGAAAATAAAACTGGAATTTTTTTCATATTGGTTAATTTAAATCTCGTTATATATCATAAATTTATTAAACAACCAAGGTAACACCTTGGGTATGCTTCGCTCCGTAGTTAGAGTTTCATGTCAACCCATAAGTCGCTCTCGGTAAGTAATGTCAGTAAGAATTAGCCGGTCGGTGCAAATTTTACTAATTAATCCCCAGCAACTGTCTGCCCTCGCATATATCGTTTGCCATATAGCGTACGGGATTATACATCCGCGGCAAAGCCATCGTATATACATATCTGTTATGAATATAGGTTCTCTGATATGTCTTTTAAATTGTGTTCATCTGAAGCATGCTACAATGGTTCATATGTTCATTTTAATTTTTTAGTCGAATGTGATAATAAAAGTTATGTTCATAATGAATCTTATCCGCGGAATTACGTTAACCTTACCACGTTTATTCTCGTCGGTGCAACAAAACAGTGCTCAGCAACGAATATTGCAATTGTTGTATGGCAGATTTCCAGAAGTAAACAAATATTTAAAATTAATTGCATGACAATTTCTAAAATGCTTTTTTTTTTTGTTTTTAGGCAATTGTCAATGTTGTTGATGTATCTGGAGGATGTGGAGCCATGTTCGAAGTATATGTGGAATCTAGGGAGTTTGAAGGGTTAACCACTTTGAAGCAACACAAATTAATCACACAAACGTTAAAAGAGCAAATAAAAGACATGCACGGTGTTCGAATACACACTTCAGTGCCTAAACCTAAGTGATACAGCACACTCACCATATGAAGCTAATCTTTGTACCATGTTTTGGTAAAGCCCACTCGGCAAGAATTGAATTGATTTAGCTAAACCTAACTAGTTGTTGTGAAACTTCATTATACCTGTAAAAACTGTAATAAAATTACTTTAAGGAACTGCAATTGCAAATTGCTTCTATTGTACTACATATTAAAAGTCAACGTTGATATATATTTGTATTAGGCATCATTCTAAAATGAAGTACTCATCATAGAAATAATTTTGGTTCAGCACCGAAACTTCAATTTATTAATTTATATTAAAACTTTTTTGTACAAAAGTACAAAGTCAGCAATATTTTCCCCAAGTTTCCAAGTCGATCGAGACGAAACTGTAAAAATTAAAACCACTTTATCGAAATTTCTCAACAACTATTGAAGCGATCGAGTTCAAATTTTCCACACTTCTTTTAAGCATGTTTTTTGTAGTCCCTGAACAAAGGATTTATTTTATCATTGATCATTTTATGCAAATAATTACGGTTTTTTTTTGTAAAAAAAAAACAAAAAATTTAATTTTTCTTTGTTCAGGGGCACGGAAAACTCACCTACTTTAACAAAATATTTGGATCTTTGATTTCAGATAAAAATTGAATAAGTTATCATGACTACCCCGAAAACCATATCTTGTAGACGGTCTATTTCACGACACTGCCAACACCTTAACTTATATTATTTTTCAATCAAATTTCCACATATTGTACTTTTATATGCAAACAAAATAAATTCTATACTTTATTTAGTATGTTTAAATAAAATTAGAGAAAATAAGCTTTTTTTTGCCTTCAAGACCTATGTCCCCTTAACCCAGCTGCAGAATGATGCGATTGTAGAATTGGGTGGAAAAGTGAACTGTTTCGATCAGGTGATCTCAGCTGTTTTTTTGACCAGATAATAGTTTTTTTACTTGTACGGCTGTACATCATAGTTGTTCTTGTAGCTCAATACATTATTGTTGCCAGCTTCATTTACACTATAATTAGTTGCAAGAAGAGTTAATGTAACAAAATAACATTCATCACAAAAATTTAATAGAGCATTTTCATCAATTTCACAAATTCACTTATTGGAATTTTTGAGCATTTTCATCAATTTCGTAAATTCTTTTCTTGGGATTTTTGGGAGATTCTCGAAACATTTTACTTCGGACAAGCCTCAGGCAGGCTTTCGTCACCATCATTTGAATTTTTTGTCCCTAAAAATATGTTAGTACAACTTTTAATGTCAATAGAAAACAAGGTAAGTGCAGGATTTTTTTTACAGAAACAATAATGGCTAATCAACATATTTGTGAACAAGATTTTTTTTTAAGTAATAAATTTTTTGCTTTAGGTCAACCCATTTTTTAATACCTTCTAAACTAAACCCGTGAGCCACTCTGTAGCGTTTTTTTTTAAATTAATATTCAGCATTAGTCACAATGAAAAATATTTATTGACGCTTATTGTATATCAGTGGTGAAACATATAGCATTTTTGCATTTGTAATTTTAATCAGGTGAAATATTTTTTTAAAGCTTTGTAAATAAACTATTAAGTGCGTCTTTTAGCTCAAGTTGAAGAGCAATTTACACATCTCTAGTTTGCCATGCAATGAAATTAAAGATAGTTATTTATTTTCGGTATTCCTCGTGCTAGCATTTGATACATAATAATCAACTACCTACTTTGTTTAGAACTGGCAAAAAAGATTTTATTAGCTTTCAACAATAGCAGTGCAATAAATTTTATTGTCGGTCCATTTGACTGGCCAGTCTCCTTTGAGACTCATAAGTTATAATTTTGGGAATAATGCGAGAATTTAAAGTGGTTGTATTGGGTTCGGGCGGTGTCGGCAAGTCTGCCCTTACTGTTCAATTCGTTTCCGGGTGCTTTATTGAAAAATACGATCCCACCATTGAAGACTTCTACCGAAAAGAAATAGAGGTAAGTCTCAATAGATTTAAGTTATTTTACATGTACTTGGTCGAAAATATTATATGGTCCGAGCTATATGATGTCGTGTATATAGTGTAAATAAATATGGACAAATAATGTATATGTAACATTGATTTTATAGTTATATTTATGATGAAGTTCTTAACCTTTAGTCAACTAATCCAACAGCTCTATAAAAAAACCTTTAATAATAAATGCATTAGTGAATACTAAAATTTGTTGCAAGGAAACGAAGCTTATCGAAGATTTCTTCACTATAACAAATCAGTTTTGCTACAATTATAAATATCTTTTAATTTTCCACTTTTAATTTCAACATGCAATTTATAATTTACAAATATGTTTTTTTTTGCAGATTTTGCAGTCTTGCAATAATAAATTTTTTTAATGAACTCATCGAATGTTTATGAAAATATCTTTAAGATAATTTATAACTAATAATTAATAAGTAAAGGTGTAGGAAATAAAAGTAATAATTACATATTTATTAATGCAGGTAGACAATTCTCCATGCGTTCTGGAAATTTTAGACACCGCTGGGACAGAACAGTTTGCGTCAATGAGGGATTTATACATTAAAAATGGACATGGTTTTATTGTAATGTATTCATTGACAAACCATCAGACTTTTCAGGTAAATTTACATTTTGGAAATAATATTAAAATACAAGTACTAACAAGACAATATTTCAGGATATATCAAGCATGAAAAATGTAATTACAAGAGTTAAGGGAAGTCAACCGGCCCCAATTTTACTAGTCGCAAATAAAATTGATTTAGATTGCCAAAGAGAAGTTTCTACAGAAGAAGGTATTAAATTAATTGTTATTTTTTTAATACATAAATAATTATATTTATATATATTATTATAATTGTTAGGAAACGCTCTTGCAAGACAATGGGACTGTCCGTTTATTGAAGCATCAGCAAAAGATAGAATAAACGTAAATGAAGTATTTGCAACCATAGTACGAGAAATGAATATGACACAGGAAAAGCGCCAGAAAAAAAGTTACTGTTGTTGTACACTTTTATAGAAATATTAAAGAAAAAACGTATTAATATAAAATTAGCTCAAAAGTGTACGAGTAATTGTATTATTTCATTTTAATATTTTTTGCTCTCAACATACACTGTTTTTCCAAGGCCATGCAAATATACGTATATAAATGTTATTTGTATAACTTTAACGAAAGACTGGAAATTCTTTAAAATAAATATCACCCATGACTTCCAGAGTCATAAGTAGGGACGAGTTTTATTAAATCCAAAATAATCATACAAAAATTTCATAAATTAATAAAAGTTTGAAATTAAGGGAAATTATTATTGATTATAATTTAATGAAAAATATTGTATGACCCTATTAAAATTGTTTTACAAGTACTTCGTTCATTTTTTGTTTACTCTTATTTAAGCTTTAAGAAAATCAAATTAATCATAAATTCTTAATCTTGAATGTATAGAAGAATGCGTAAGTACGAGTTACATTTAAAGTTTTATTTGTATGTAAACATTTGACAATATGACAACCCGGCTAGAAATGTCATGTAAAGTAGTTTATTTCATGAATTTGTAAATGCAATAATTCAAAAATTAAATGAAAATAGCGTTATAAAGCTCGAAAAAATTTTCAAATATACATATTGGATAATTGTACGAAGCATTTATCGGGTGAAGAGTTACACATAATTTTAACTACATTTATTTCGAAATAAATACTGTCCTATCGAAAATATAATTCGAGATAAAGACAAGAAAAAATACTTTCATTAACGGTTAAGTAGACCCGTTTTGTTTATTGTACTATTTCCATATTAATATATTCCTAATTACTATTGTGTCATTTTCGATACATACATACGTACATATGTACATACGGCGCTCGGACATCATTTTAATAGCAATTGCACATTAATTTTTGGAAAAAATGTGTAGCACATTTAGAGGGGATTTATCACATTGTAACGGAAAAAAACTAGTATAATTCGAAACCGCGTACCATATAGAGTATACCATTCGCTAAACAAACATTTGTGTATGTAGCCACGAATAAAGGTAAGAGATTGACTATAAAACAAGTGGTCCCATTGTAGACCTTCCGGCGGGATACCTCTCTGCGCTCATATAGCCTAAGGTAGAATTTCTGTGACAACTACCCTCCCCGTCCGATGGAACATGGTTTGATTTCACACTTCTTTCTGTTTTCTACTGAATATCTATTTGTGAAGAGAAAAGTTTATTTTAAATGAAGAATATACGTTTATTTGTATTTCTTATGCATACCTATGTGTACGACTTAAGTATAATATATATTATTTCATATGGAGACATAGCTATAGCGTAGTATTTAAACCTACTCTTTTTGGTTGCTGTTGTTGTACGCACCCTAATAAGCTCTAAAACTTGCTTCATCTTGCTGGACAATTGAAACCCTTAATACAAGTGGAATAAACTCGATATTTTTTATTCTTTAATTACATACATTACAAAACATTGAAAATATAAATATGAAATAAATTGTAGTGTATTTTTAGCCTTTTTTTAGACAATTGAAGCGAAAAAAAGCTAAATGTATAGCAAGGTTTTGCTTCAGCTCAGCTCAACTACGATCTAAATATATGTTCTTACTCATATGAAAACATACATCGGACTGATGTTTCCAAACGCAACCCTGCAAGAAGGCTTCCGATCATTTGAGCCAGCATATATTAGGAATGCATGACGACATGCCCCTTCAGCTCGTGACAGCATTGATGCCGAAGGAAATCAGCTGACAAAAATTTTCCCTACATATATACATACATACAAACATTATTAAGATTCAGTATTTATTTCAATATTTTTACGTAGATCAGGTACATGGTTTATATAGCATACAAAGAAATAATAATACAGCAATACATTCATTTTCAAAAATATGCAAAATATTGCAAGCAAAACCACATATACAAAAGTCTATAATAGTGTCATGTGATGGTAACGCTGCTCCTAAGCCCCACGAACGACTCCATCATTATCGCAGCTCCTTGAAAGTATAAAGATTCCTAAGTACAATGAAAAAAATAAAGTCCGAATCAGATTGTTATTAATGTCTAAATGCAGTTGTACCTCAACTCAAAGTTATGGCGTTCTACTCGAAAATAAGAACATAATATAAAACGGATAATCCGTTCAACTGCGTTCTTTTCGAATTAATATGTACTCAGAAGAGAAAGATCAACAAAAAAAATGTGCACATGTGTTAGTGCTGCCCGAAATCATGTGAGTGTATTGGTGAACCCTTCAGTCCGTTTTTGCAGGGTTATGTAAATCACCTTTTAGGCGCAGATAGGATAGCTGTATGACGAAGCAATGAATATTTCTTATTCAGGTAACTTTCTATCAAAAAACTAATATTCTATTGACTGTTTTTGAAAATTTTCATTTTAATCCTTTGAAAGTCGGAAGGAAGAAAATAATTAGTTTTAGAAATAGAAAACAATATACAATTAAAGATCTGTTTATTAAAATCGATTATGTATCTGCTTTTGGCAAAATCTGATATCTATAATTTTTGTAAGGCTTCGTACATAATTTTAAGAAAGACTTTATTATATTAAAAGATTCCTTAAATGAGTTTTCTTCTTGTTGAAATTTATCAAAATCTACCGTCAAATTATATCATTACAAGCAGGAAAAAATGTCGGTAAACGCCATATACTAAGAATACATTTGACCAGGAGTGTTTTTGACTCAGACCTGCATAGATCGATTAAGTTGCTACTGAGAAGAAACAAAAAAGAATAAAAGTGTCCTAAATATGTCATTCCCTGGTCTCTATGATGACAGTAACTGTAAACTTACGTGTAGTAACGAGAGAGTGAAATTTTGACGTTTAGCTCCAAGAGAAAGCTGCCATTTGGTGCTGGTAAAATTTCAATCAGTAAGATGTCTTACTGTCCCAAAGAAAGAAATTGACTGAGTTTTCAACAAACAGGATTCAGTAGAAATTAGCCAGCAAGCTGTATAACAGCTGTTTATTTTGGCGGTTAAATTTGAATCCCTTCATTTGTACAGTTTCTTTTCTGTTTTGAAGAATTTTCCTAAGTATTTCAATAAAATTGGCAATTATATAGCATATTTAATTTATTACTTGTATTCAAAATGTATTGTATTTCAATAATGATGATGCATACTTTGTAGCCGTCAAACGATAAATATACCAATATTTTTTCCTCATAGTTCTCTAAAAAGACGAAGATTTATAAAAAACTTGGTCGCTCAGATTTTTAGTAAGAATGACTGAAATGCGAATAGAGTTTGAAATTCTTTTTCCATGTAAGCCGACCATATCACCTCAACATTATTATTGAGTTTATTCGACTCTGTTTAAATTAAAACCAAGCCAGTGCCTTTTTTCTTTCTTAATACTACTAATATTTTATTTTTTGCATCGTCGTCGCGTCTAAAAGATTAAGAATTCATTATCCTCTCTGACCGTTTCCAATGATTTGCGGCTCATTTGGCCGACACGGCAAAATCCACTTGTGCTGTACAAGAAAATAATAATATATTCTAAATAATTATACGCCTTCCAAACTTCTAATTTCTCAACCCAAGCTGGGTGGTTGTAATTCCACTCCACTACCACGAAATTTTCATTTAACGACTGCCTTTACTAATGTTGGAATCAATATCAATGATCAATTAAATTAAACAGCATAAGATTAAACCACTTGTTTTGTTGGCATATCAATTCAGTTTTGTTAACAAAAATTCAATTATATGATCACAATTCAGCTGAAAGTATGAATCTAGTTTTTACTGGGTCAAATTCTCCAACTAAACGTCAAAATTCCGCTCTCTCGTTACCAACTTTAACTGAGTTTTTAACTCCACGAACACGATACAGTAAAGTGTAGTAAAAATTGTTACATTCCATCTAATCAACGAACAAAACTACCTTCATGAACCCTCTTCGTGTGATTCACTAGCCAGTTCCTAAGCATGATTAAAAACCTTCTACAACAACAAGTTCATTTGTTGGAAAAACTTTAAATGTAACTGATCTTTAATTTACTAGAACGCAGTACCTATGAAATGAGCCACAAAACATTGCAAATCAAGGTTGTTGTTATATATGTACATGCATACATATAATAATATTGCCGGCCTACTGAAAAAAGACTTCTAAGCTCATTTCCGTATATCAATCATACTTCCTAAAAATTTGAGCGAGAAACTGTTGCAAAGCAAGTTTTGTAGAATTTCATAATTGGTGAGTTACAATACTTTTTGAATACAATTAATAAATTAAAAGTGTCATAAATTGTCAATTTTATTAAAATACTTAGAAAAATACTTAAAGGGAGAAAGTAGTTATAACTGACAAAACACACAGCTCTTGTACAACTTGCTGGCTAATATTTACTGAATCCTGTTCGGTGAAAACTAAGTAAATTTAGTTGATAAAGGGATCCACGGCAAAGTGCCTTGCAAGTATATGTATTAGAAATATATAAGATGTGGTTCTTTCAATTCGTGTAGTTACTTAATTCTAAACCTCTCTGGCATGACCCAGATTTGATTCATATATCTATGTATATTATATTTCTACTTTAAAAGCTTAATAATTTAACGAAATAAATTTAACGAAATAAAATTTTATTCTTTTCACCTCCTGGACTTGATTACCATAAATCTAAACATATATTACATATGTACAATAATTTGAATAATTACAAGCAAGAAAGTAAGCACATGAATTTATTTCATTACGATTGTTTGTAAACCTATCTACAAATATATGTGTATGCATATGTGTACGAACGTGTATGTATGCATATGTATGTATGTATTCAGTGGAGGAACTTACATCCAAAGCGTCTTACATACGTAAATATATAACCATGAATAACATCATGGCAACAAACTTTGTGAGCCAAATATTTTTTTATTTTCCATGACAACAGGGCAAAAAAATATTTATGGGAATGTACATACCTGTATGCGCTGGGTTACAATTTTTTTCAATAACTGAAAGTATTATCAAGTGATTTATTTTAAAGGAGTGTGCACGATGCTGTGTTTTAATACTACAAAAAATATTAGCTCTTTAGCTAAAATATATTTGGCCTTGAATATATATTTTTCACATTTCTTTAGTATTATTATTTGTTTGGAAGCCCCGCAGATAACTATTCCAGGTCAAGGTGTAATTGTCGGCACCTACCTCAAAATGTTTCGAGCGCAGAATATTAAGGCTTATCTTGGAATCAGATATGCTCGTGCTTCCCGGTTTTCGCCACCGGAACTGGATATATCTGAATGGCAGGGAGTTCAGAATGCAACAAAATTCGCTCCTCTTTGTTGGCAAAACCCCTCCAAAGCTGGAAACACAATTTTACATAAACTGCTAAGGAATAAAGTCGCCGAGGACCACGAATTTATATATGATGAAGATTGCCTGTACTTAAACATTTTTATTCCCGATGGTAAGGAAACAATAAAGACTGCTGTATTTAAATGTATGAGTATCTGAAGTATTTGTAGTGCACAAAGTATCTGAAATGAAGTGAAGTTTTAAAATTCTATTTGGTATTTTAATTAACTTTTTTTCATGATTCTAGATATGTATATGTACATATTTATTTATTCAATTATTTTTATTTTGAATTCTAAAGCCAAACATTTTAAAAATCCAACTAGAATAATGGTATTCAATTAAAATTTAATTATGAGACTAAATAAAAATATTCTTTCATCACTGGCACACATAAAAGAAATATCTAAGGCCGATAAAATATTATATACGTGTAGTTTTAAGGCTTTTCTTATCATTTTTGATGAAATATCAAAACATGATCTATTTTCTGTAATATCTTTTATTGGAATATTTTAAGGATCTCCGGGTATAAAAGGATATGCAGTAATTTTTTGGATTCATGCTGGTGATTTTTCGAATGGGGCACCCACGGATATTGAACCATTTCAAGTCGTTTTTAAGCAAAAAATTATAGTTGTAACGTTTTCGTACCGTTTAAATATATTTGGATTCCTTTCAACTGCTGATGGAGAAGCTCAGGGTAATTTTGGATTGATGGATCAATCTGCTGCGTTATTTTGGCTTAAAAAGAATATCAATCACTTTGGCGGAGATGAAAACAAAATAACAATAATGGGACATTCTGCAGGTGCAATCAGCGTTGGATTGCATTTGATGTCTGAAGAATGGTCGAAAGGTGGATATTCAGGGGCAATCATGATGTCCGGAAATCCGATAACTGACAAAGTAGTGCGAAACCCAAGGTCTTTTAGCGATTCCTTGGATGCAATATCAATTTTATTTGGTTGTAATAGGAGGCCAACTTCAATGTTATTATCTTGTTTGAGGAAAGTTGATGCGAAAACCCTTGCTACAAATATTCCACCCGTAGAGTGGGGGCCTGTAATCGATTATGGCCTTAGTAACACATCAGCACATTTTATCAAAGACTATCCACGCAAAATATTCATAGAGGGAAATTTTCAAAAGGTACCCATTTTAATGGGTGTAACCGATATGGAAGATATTCTCAGCTTGGTTGATGACATTAAAGATACCAAAATAACTTATAATGATTTCTTACAAGCAGTTGATGAAATATTAAAGCATGATCTGAAAACGAGTGTTGAAAATGATGAAAATTGCACTAATTCTCAAATAATAACCGATGCAATAACATATATATATCCACCGCAAAATGAAGGAGTTGATATACTAAAAAAATTTGTAGAATTCCATACGGATCGCATGTATGTCGCCCCTTTATTTTTAATGGCAGACATATTAAGCAAAGACAACGAAGTTTTTGCTTATTTATTTAGTGTTCGTCCTCAGAGTAAGTTGCTAGACCTTCCTAAATGGGTGGGAGTACCAAAATTTTTCGATCAAATATTTATATGGGGTGTTCCGTATATGAACAATAGTAACATTTTAAACGAATGGACATCGAGTGATAAAAAAATATCAGATGTTATTATGACGATGTGGGCGAATTTTGCAAAATCAGCTAATCCCATTATTTCGAATGTATATGTCAAATGGAATTCATTCAGAGCTGAAAATAATTCTATTTTAATTGTAAACCAAAATTTTAACTCGGAATTAGGCAATAACATGTTCTCAGTAAGATTTTGGAATAATTATTATCCAAACTTAGTGAAATTTGCTGCAAATTGTTGCGAAGTTGCAAATTCTGCACCTTTAAATCATATAAACGGAATATTCACTACAGGAGTTTTACGTAATCTTATCTACATTCTCGGATTTTTCATTGTTAGAATTTTCGTTATGGAAAAAGACACTAACTTCTAACTCAATGCAATATTTAGGATATTACCCTTAAAACATTACAAACAGGTTGAATTTTTTTAGGATTGTTCGTTTTTACAAAAGTAGAACTCACTAAAATTTCCGTTTTGTAAATTTATGAAACTTGCCAAAATCTGATTTCAGGAAAGTGGTATGAATCTTCCTTAATTCATTATTACATATATTATACATATGTCATCTTCTAAAATGATGAAAAGATTCATTGCAATCTTATTTAACTGCACCTTGTTATATAATATATATGTATGAATGTATATTTACTACATTAATATTTTGAACCGAAAACGTCATCAGATTAGGCATGCAAGTTTTGCTTAACTTAGAATGGGGTAGCATTTTGTGGAAGCTTATCCATTTATAAAGCATAATCATTTATATTTGAATTCTATACAAATATTGCCAGTTCTTCCTTTATAATAGATTTGTGAGTAATGAATGTTAGGGTTTTAATGTGTTCGTATAGGAATGTGGGTAAACTGATAAATTTAATATTTTTAGTTGGGGATCCCCAATACCGACTTAACTTCAAATTGCACAGTCAGTCAGGCAGACATGTAAAATGTAAAAATTTTTAAAAAATGTTTTGTCCCCGCAACTCTTACGAACTGATTGACGTGAAAATCCTTCAGCCGTTGAGAGGCGTCTTAAAACCATCGACCATTATTGTACAGACAATAAAGTAACTTAATTACCCTTTTATTTTGCTTCCTTCCGATTTGATCTCAGAACTGTGAGAAACCGACTAATCTGTGCTGCCAAAATTGGAATATAAACACCAATGACAACGGATATGAGGAACAAAATCACTGAGTTCACAACCAATTGCATAAAAAATCACCTTTTATGCCACATTTCATCAATACTATGTACGTGCATAAAATCGCAATTTAAACATTTTTAATTTTCTATGAAATATAAATATAACTATGTACCTTGTAAATACAATATAACGCTTCCATATTTACTTATTTAATAATTATTATATTAATTCTACCTCTTTCCATTGTGAGTTAAGGCATGTTGTAACCCAATAATAAAAACACTAATATTGTATATAAATTTGTATTAATTATTTTCACATATCTAGGATGTGTTGAAATACGTTAACTATCGAACCTAAGCCATTGTACAAACCCCTGTAGACGATACAATGCCCTAAGCCGTTCGAAAGCCAATAAACCAGATGAAGGTGGTATATGGGAAAAATATATTTGGACTATCAGACTCTGGTAACCAAGAAATATAAACTCCGATTAAATTGTCTAATCTAATCAAGACCCTTCTAACCAAAGGTGAATATCGGTTATTACATTTGAAGATATCTTCTTTATGAGAAGACTTAAATAATGTATTCAAACTTTAAACTTTATATGTACATTTGACGACTTCTAAAATTTATATCAACAGCAACAACTCCTGTAAATTTCATTAGGATTAGTCAATTAGTTTGGCTGAAACAAGCATTGAAACCATAACGGAAATCTCAGCCGCTTATATAATTAAAATCCGTTTGCCTCAAAATTCCGCCCTAACATGCTGTGTAAATCGTGACGAATGTATACGTGGGATAGAATTAGCATTGCTGGTACCAGAGTACCTGGTGTTAAGTTTCAATTCGAAGCGTTCCGATAAAACACCGATACTTCTTCAATCGAAATAAATTTATATTATTTGTATACATAAATGTTTAGCTTTTACCACTTTTACTTAAATTTCAAATAAAATGGATTTTATTGATGATTTTATAGAGGAATATAAAAACAATCCATGTCTCTGGAAAGCTGATTGTACAAACTTTAAGAATCGAACGAAACGACAGGAGGCTTATTTAAAATTAATAGAAGTCGCAGCGAAGCACGGCGAACACTACAATATTGAAAGAACGAAGCAAAAAATTAATAATTTGAGGTGTGCATTTCGACAACAATTGAAAAAAATCATTGAGTCAAAAAATAAAGGAGAGAAAGATGAGCCATACTGTCCTAAACGAAGATATTTCGAATCTTTGATGTTTCTAAAAGATGAAGAAAATTTGGAAAGAAAAACAAAACGTTATGGTGTAATTGGTCCTTCAAATGCGGAGGATATAGAAACGAGTACTTTAGAGCAGGACTGTATGACCGAAGGCTTAATTGAAACAAATTTAGTCAAAAATAAATTAGCACAAAATATATGTCCAGCTGATGGAACTGAAACAGATCAGGCTTCAAAATCAATTCATCAAAATGAAATATTAGAAGAGCAAGCAATAGAAGAGAGTTTTACGGAATATAGTGACGATGTATATAACAAAATAAATGATTTAATACCGCAAGAGAGTAATTCTAAAGACCAAAAACTTTATGAAATCGAAAAGGAAACTTCTTTCATTGTAGAATCGAGTAGTAGCCGAAAACGGTCCTCATCTACATCTTCTTTGTTATCAAAGGAAGCTGAGCCGACTAGCAAAAAGATTAAAATGGAAGCATCATCGCTTGACCTGGCAAAAATATTGTCGGTTTCTTGCAAAAGTCATAACAACATTGAAGACCATTACACCTATTTGGGAAAGATTATTGCGCATAAACTTCGAACAATGGATACATCTCAGGCTATATATGCAGAGAAAATTATCACAGATGTTTTGTTTCACGGTCAAATGAAAATGTTGTCTGTAGCGAGCATAAACCAGTTCTTAAATGTAAATTTTTCAGATATATGCGAATCAGTTCGCTGTAACAAATAAATTTCTTAAGATAAATCAAAAAAAGGAGATGTTTCAGTTCGATAACGAATTTATATTTTTTTACCTTCCGATAAAAAGTATATTATACTTACATACCTTCTTTTCAAGTTTTGTTATAAAGATATATTTATTTCCAAAACTATACTTAATATTTAACATTAGTTTGCCGTTTAATAATGTGGATAAAACTTGTATAACCGAAAAAGACGAAACGTTTGATACTTTGTAATACATATCTAGTTCGTGCTATTATAAGTTTAATTTATCTTATACCAGTCCAAAGTATCAGGCTTCGTTGCAGATGCATTCAACATGTTGTGAACGTCACTGAACATTTCATTGCAGATGTTATCTTCCAGCTGAAATTATTAAGCATTTTTACATTCAAAAATTAATTAAATCGAGGGTGTGCACCAAATTCTACCTGAAGTGAAGATACCAGATTATCCGGACAATCTATGCCACTTAAGGCATTAAGGCTACCTGATTCTGAAATGAAAAAAGCATATCAACATTTTTAAAATACATATTTAAATTAAAAAATTTAAATACTCAAATTAAATGTTATTCAATGATTTAAGCATTCGTTCTTAAATACAAAATCTAAATTATTTCATTGAACATAAGAAAATGAAAACAATACCGCTTATGCAATCCATACTGTCATCAATATTTGGCAGCAAGTCTGTGGTAGTGGAAAACGTATTTGAAGACAAACTCAGACCACTATCACTCGATTCTTGCCTGGCGTGATTGTCACCGGATAAAAATGGATCCATCTGAAGATTACCATTTTGTCTAGTCAAAGAATTCTACAACAGACATCAATAAAAAAAAAAAACTTTCAGATAAAAAGTAATGGATGTCAACCTGTTCAGAGCTTGGTTTAAAATAATCCTGCTCCTTTTCAATATGTTGAATGTTAAGCCAAGAAGGTCCCGGTTTTTGTGATTTCACCGGCTTTTGTAAAAAATCGGCTGTAATGAAAGAATTTTTAAAATAATTAGGGGATTTCTTAGTTTAATGTTTTACACCAGGTTGAACTATATCATAACTGAGAATATTAAACTTGGCAACCTTTTATTATAGAAAAGATGCATTTTAAATATTTACATGACCACATCTTTGAAATTTATACCAAAGATGTTGAATTTTAAAACTTACGTATTCGAGGATCATTCCAAGAAGTCGTTCGATTTACATGGTTTATAAAATAAACATCTCCAGAATCTGTATAAGCTTGTTCCCATCCCTCCGGCAGGGGCCCCAAGTTATCAGCCAAATTAACAGATTCTTTATTTTTTAAAGTCACTAAAATTATATATAGTTATATATCTATATAAAGAGAAGTAATTTTTCACAAACCATTATGTGTTAGGCCATCTTGAAAGATTTGTTGTTTTAGCTGAATTCTGGGGTCCTCCCACTGTGTTGATTTTGTAGTGTGGCTATAAATATAAAAAAGTATTACCTCATTTGTCAGGATTATAGAATAACTAGCTTAACTTTGTTTAATCTTTATGTATGTATATAGACGCTAATCAACCAATTTAATTTAATTTAAACTATATACAAATGATTATGTATATGTGAATCTTTAATATATACATATCTATAAATATTATAAACAAAACAAGAATAATAGTTTAAAACAAATTATACATATTTACTTTAAATAATAAATTTGACCATCATTAGTCTTTGCTTGTTCCCATCCAGGCGGCAATGGCCCCAGCTCGTTTTGAAGTTGGATAGTACTGACAACATCATATGACCGTTGCTTCATATGAAATGTTTGAATGGGATTTGGTGCATCCTTAGTCGCTGACTGATCTACTTGATCCATACGAACACTTGAAGACGCGTTTACGCCAGGAGGAAATGTTACACCACCAGCGGTATAGACAGCTCCAATACCATCTTGTATACATGCACCTGTTTCCATTACATTTCCTATATGTACATTATATGTTTGCTGCAGCGAAGCTGGGCTGCTATGTGCACGCGAGTGAGAAATTGCAAGTCTATTCGCTGTTACTTGTGGCTGTGTTATTGTTGCTGGAACTGCAGTAATAGAGCCAGTAGATATATTTCCTTGGCTAACGTTTGGCTGTGAACCAGTATCATAGGCGGAATCAGCGCTATTTGCTCGAGAATGGGCCACAGACGGTGATCTGGACGTAGTTGCAGGTGGTTTGAAAAAAGATTCTGGCAATTGACGCATACGGAAAGGCACTTGAAGAGGACATTTTGATTCTGTAGGATTTAATACACTGTCAAATAACGCTTGTAGGTTGTTGTCGGAGTCTTGATCAATGCGAACAACCAAGTTATTCGATTCTTTGCTTGTAGATCTTTCTTTTTCTTTAACATTGCCTTTATTTAGGCTGCCTACAGTTTTGCTCAAGGACATTTTTCAGCAAACAAAAAAATATACCCTCTGGTAATTTATCGTGTAACAATTCTCTATTGTGCATGTACCAATTGAGAATCTTAAAATGGCGGTTGTATGGTTTATTCCAACCTTAGCTTGTTGCCATCGTAAAAATTCAACATGCAATTATTTGGATAAATTAAAAAAAATGTTATCTCCAACTAATTTTGAATGACTTGAACGATTAAACATAGACTACATCCACTTTTCTTCATTTATTTTGTCAATTTCATGAAACTTTCAACAAAAAAAATTAGACAAAGTTTTAGGAGAATAGCATATTATGTCGTCAGAGTTACCAACACAACAGTATTATTAAACTACTACGATCTTGACTTCCTGTGGCTAAACTTAATGCCCGTTTCTCAGCATCATTAATAATACCGATCTAAGTAGTTTACCTTTATATTATACACATGAGTGTGCACAAACTTCATAGTAAAACCGAATTTTAAACTACAAATTTTATAATACATAAATGGCGGTTTGTAACTGCTGAAGCAATTTTCGGCCTATCACCTCCTCCAATTTGTGATGTATTTCCAACAAAAAAAGGAACCTACAGTTTATTTTGAGCCGCCTCCTAACGATGGATTTCTATGAGGAGCGTTCATTTCATCCCAGAAATACACTCGGAGGACCTGACATTCTTTTTTGAAGGGAACTCAAACTATGACCTTCCGAATGTTTGTAAACAATTTTAACCACTCGGATATTGCAGCCGCTGAACATGAAATATGGAATATAATATGGATGATTCGCTGCACATAAAATATATGTACATATATCCGCAATGTGGCGTTGTATGTAACCTGAAGAAAGAAATCAGAAAAAAAATATAAATGCGCCCTGTTCCCCTATTAGTTTATTGAAATACATTGAGCAATTGCTAACTTCGGGTATAAAGTCCTTTAGTCTCGCTACCGCTAGTTGCGGTAGGGTCACTTACCTTAACAAAAGTACATTTCTACTACAATTTTTTTCTTTTTTAATATACCATTGTTTACTTAACAATGATCTTGAGAACTTATTATTATTTAGTATGTATTCGAAATAACAACTGTAACATACGATATATTGCTATACACAGACTTGCGCAAGTTTAAGTGATTAACTGTAATTACATTTTTAAGGTACTGGGAAATATAATTTGCTTGCTGTACGTGACTTTCTTAAATTTGGCAGTAAGACGGGAAACACGGATGCTATAACATAAATTTGTAAAATAAGTTAAATACCTATGAAATTTTGAGATTGTGTCGTTTATCAAATACTACCTTACACAAATACATTATTATCGAGTTTTATATATAATTTATATCAAACGATATTTTTATTCCATATCTATTAAATGGTTTTTTAAGATGGGATGGTATTCTAGTAAATATGCAAAAAATGTTGCTGTAATCGGAATAATTATTTATATTTTAGACTATTTTGGAATTTTTAAACATTACCATGAATTAGATTTTCAACGCCACTTTGATTACCCATCTGGTCGACCCAGTGATTACGATTATACGTTAATTAAAAATGCTTCAGAGGTGTGCGAAGTTTCACCTAGATTGGCAATAATTGTAAAATCTGCTCTTCAAAATATTAATCGACGTAATGTTATTCGTCGCACATGGGGTTATGACCGTCGTTTCTCTGATGTACAAATAAGACGAGTATTCTTACTCGGTGTCAGTGATGATCCAAAAACTGATTATATAGTACGAGAAGAGTCTTCAAAATTTAAAGATATTGTACAGATTGACTTTGTTGATACATATTTCAACAATACGATTAAAACTTTAATGGGCATGCAATGGGCTCTCAAATACTGTAATAGCGAATATTTCTTTTTTGTGGATGATGACTATTATGTGTCAACAAAGAATTTATTGAAATTTGCAAACAATCCAAGTTTTTATCCGAAATCTAGACAAAATATTGCTGCACATGAACATGAAGATAGTGACTTGTTTGCTGGTTTTGTACTGCAAACTCCACCACATAGACATAAATTTAGTAAGTGGTATATACCGTTAAGTGAATATCCGTTTGATTTATGGCCCCCTTACATAACAGCAGGGGCTTTTGTTCTTAATCGAAATGCCTTACTCAAACTTTTTACAGCCGCAATTAACATAAAAAAATTTAGATTTGATGATATTTTTCTGGGTATAGCAGCTTTGAAAGCTAATTTGACTCTTACTCATTGCGAAATGTTTTACTTTAATAAGCCTAAATATGAAGGACCTTCAAGCTACCAGAATATTGTTGCGTCACATGGATTTCAAAATAGCAAAGAATTAGAGCAGATTTGGAATGAATGTCGCTCTGCTGGTTACGCTTAATTCCAGAGTTTGAAATAGTAACAGGAATACCCAAAATTTCACAAACTATGTAGCATGATGTCTGTCATACTATACTATACTACAAGTAGGATTTGTTACTCAAATTTTTTAAGGGATAAAATCAAATTTTAAATATCTAAGTTACTGAATACCAATTAAATTTTGCTAATAAAGAAAATGGAAAACGTCGCTTAACTAAAGAACTAAATTCTTTAAACAAGTTGAAATACATTGTTATACGTTTTCAATATTTTGTAAACCAAAATAAATGTTTTATTCAGATCAACTCAAAATTGTTTGTTTTAATATATTGGTAATACTTCCGATAATAAATATTTTTAAATTTCTGTAATAAAAAAAGTGTAAGAATTATCTGTATCTACATAAGCAAACCAACTTTTTGATTTTTTTTCCTTAAAAACCATTTTGAATAATTTCGACATATGTTATTTAATAAAATGAAAAATACTCCAATATGCATATGCCTATTTAAAACACTAAGCTCTTACAATTCCACTGTGCGTGTCTTAAACTCATATTTATAATGTGCAGTGAGAAACATTGAACAATTTTCTTTTTATTTATTTTGCAATATATCCAACTCTCTATGATAGTTTTCCGCATGTGGTTATTATTTATTCTAGTGTTTTACATATTAAATATCTACTCAAAATTTGGAAAATCTTTTTAAATGCTGGCTGATCATTATATTTTTATTGTTATACAATATTTCCCTTCACATAAGTAACTTAATATATACAATAATACAATGAAACAAAAGCCATTTCTAAAAGTTTATTACATTGATAAGGTTTTTATTTTCTTTAAAAATATTTAAACTTAGTTGCGCTATGACAATTCTTTTTGGTCGGCGAATAAAAGTTATATACTTTTTTTTACACATATTTACAGTTATCTCTACACCGACACCATTTTATTTACGATACATACTTCTTTGTATCGAAATAACAAAAAAAAAAAACAAAAACCAATAGGTGTGTTGTAATACGGGCGAATGTAATATGTTTTAAGAAATAGGTTTAAATTTAGTGCATAAACGAATGGTTAGTCCCCTTTCAAACGTTTAGCAAATTCTATTTGCTGCATTTCTTTCCACTCCTTCTTTGGTTTCATTCTTTTAAGTTGACCGTCCCAAACTAGGTCTACTAGGCCGCCTTGTTTAGCAATTACACTTTTGACACGATTTGCAAAATCTATAGCTGATTCCCCTTCCTGCCTGTACATGGGTGGCAAATACCAAACATCACATACAATAGCCCAAGATGTCATCATCATATACAGATATTGCATCATCGAGAATTTTGAACTATTCCAGAATGCGTCCCCAAAACGGGGATCATATCTGAAAAGATTTTCATCATGTAATTAATTGTTATTAGCAAATTATTGCAAATATATTATTTAAATTATAAAACAGCTCACTTTATTGCTACCGGATATATGACTCCCCCCACTTCAAAACTTCCTTTTTTGAATTGCATAACAGATGTGTTGTTTATACATGTTCCCTCTGGGAATATCAATATAGGAGGATTATTTGGATTTGATACGTGTTGCTTAAGGCGCTCCGCTACTGCATGTCGATCCTTAGCTTCTCCTCTTTCAAACCATATATGCGGAGACGCCCGCGCCAATGCCCTTTGCAGTAGACCTAAGAATCCGCCGTGTCGTTGTCCGATCTTTAAAAGAAAGTAACTCAGAATGTTAATATCCTTTTTAAAGTATTTATAAAACATTTAACGATGCCATCAAAAATAAAGTGAAAAATCAAAAATATAGTAGTTTTAAATACATATATTATGTTGTTTAATAGACAATTTCACTCATGTTGCGAAGAAGAGAATGTAATGAACAATTCATGGAAATAAAACATTAAAAATACTATAGATAATTGAAATTTTTTTTTTATAAAAATAGCGTATAACGATTTAATCTATCAGATTAGTAATTTGAAATACACAATACACTAATATATTTACATATGTATACCTTCGCACAAAATAAAATCAATTAGTTTTATTACTATTCAACTGAAAAGGAACGGAACAACAATATGTCCAATTCCCCTTTTTGATGCAAATCGATAATATACACAAAATATCACAGTATCGTTACAAGTCATGAGGAAAACAAATTAGTCGTAAGTACAAATTCGCACTTTAAAGTTTAAACAAATCTTGATTTATAAAAATAAAAAACACAGCCCCTGAACCATTTGCTCTTTGTTGCTAACGCTGTCAGTTAAGGCTAGATATATATACATTAGTATATGTATATATATTTGGCGCTTTGTAACCGCTGAAGCTATTTTCGGCTGAGCTCCTCCTTCAATTTGTGGTTTTACGTCTTGATGTTTTTCCAACAAATGGAAGGACCTAAAGTAGAATGCTAAACCAACTCCGAGCGGCTGATGGTTTTTTATGATGAGCCTTTATTTCATGTCATAAATACATTCGGAGGGTTTAAAATTCACCACTATTTGTATATGTGCATACGCAAAATCAAAAATATTTGTAATATTGGTACAGAAATTTTAATCATATCTTGTTTTTTCTGAGCGACAATGTGAATACGCATACAGTGTTGTTTTTACAGGTGTGCTAAAAGTTTCATAAAAACTTTTACTTGAATCAAAAATTTAGATGAAAAATAATTCGTATATACATTTTTATTGCTTAATTTAACACTTACCAGGGAATACGTTTTGTCACACATAAGTACTAAAACATCTATTGGGCTTGTATGGTTTGCCACACAAATTCCATTCGTGGGCCGATTTTCTTCATTATGATAATAAATAACGGCTGAAATTGCACTGGAAAGCAACGAAAAGCAATGACCAAGAACTTGATCTACCATTCGTCTTTTATATTCACCATCTTTAATATATCCAACTATCGCCGTACAAACAGTCAACCAAACTACCTGATGAATTGCACAAAACACAAAAGCCATTTACATTATCACAGATAAAAGCAGTTAACGAGACAGTTTAAAAATGGTGTACAATAAATAAAAATATATATTTAAAACATAAATGAGTAATTTAATGGCAACATTTATTTATATGGATCGCTCACAACATAAAAGTCCATTAGTAATAAATGCATTTTCTCACCAAAGAGAAAGTACAGTCAGTTGAAAGAATTGCCACGTCCAAGGGAGATGTGTGATTTGCTACACAAAAACCAGAACTTTTAGGTTTAAATTCTGTGTTGTGAAATGTAATAACTGCCGACAGAGATCGAGTCATTAGTCGAAATGTAAGCTTAAATGCTAAATCGGCAAGAGGATGTCGAAGAAATTCGAGGGGAATCAGCGCAACTAAACTGTTAGCAATGACTGCAATAAAGACCTAAGAATATAGGATATTTAATTGTTAAAACTTTAATAAATAGTATAATGACAAATTAAAATGCACCCGAAATAGGAATTACTACATTCATTATTAACTGTGTTTTGGAACTCTTTGTATCAAATTTACGTTTTAATGTGAAAATGCATAATAATTACGTATTCAAGGTAACGAATCCATGACAAGAAAAGTGAATGATTCTCCGCACGACAATTATATCTTTAATAAACAGAAATCGGCTACAAAATTATATAATTCACTATCTGAGGCATTACCGCCAATAAAAGGTATTAGATAACATTAACTAACTGTATAATCAAGAAAAATTGTGCAGAAAATATGTTACTATTGTGACTAAAAATCATTAGTGTACCGGATAAACATCCGGAGGCTTTCTTATAAAGACCCAAATAAATATATGGTTTTCTTTATATAACAACAACTCATGTACAATTTTTTTGTCCTTTGCCGCCTCTTACGATTCTTCATTACATTTAAAGAAATTTGATAAGGAAGAAGACTTCCATAAATTTGGGGGTATATAAAATAGCTTAGATTTTTTTTTCCTTTATAAGTTGTTTTTATAATAAAACGCTTTTTTGTTAACTTCATAAATGAGAAAAGAAACTTACGCCAACAAAGCAAACGAAAACTCGTAGAGGCATCAAAATAAAGTAGCGCACCGCGAAGCCTGTCATCCATATCAGCGTTATTTTCCACGATATAAATTCGTAGTGACGATTTGTACGTGTTAAGAGATTCCAGCTTTTCAACTCCTCAGCTTCAAAACGAGAAGTAACTTCATCCTCGATTATTGACTCAACGCCTGCTTTTATATAATCTAGGCATTTTTCCAAATTAAAACGGAGTTCTTCCTAAAAATGTAGAGTTTATTTTCTGTACGCAGAGAATATTCACAGTGTATTCAAAAATTGTATGAATATTCTCCTTTTTTATGGTATGCATAAATGCATTATGAACTAATGAGACACATTCATACAATTTGATCCACCGATGTAAAATAGCTGTTTACTTATATGAACTTACATCTTTCGAAGAGATATCAGCATCAGAAGTGGCAAGCTCGTTAGATGTTGGAAGCAACACGCTGTCTCTACTAATAAGTGTATTCCCATTTGTAGTGGGTATACTAGTTCCCGCGTTTTTGAAGTTGGAGATGTTGAGGTCATTCGACTTGAGATCTATTGCCGCACTAAAGACGGTCTCACTATCTTTGTTTTGACGCTCATTCGCTGCAGATTCTATACTTAGTCGCCCAAACTTTAAAATATATATATACCAAGCGTTAGGTCTATTAACAATTGGAAGTATGTATAATGAACATAACCAAAGTAGTTTATCTTAACATTGTGTGTTTATCTAGCGTCGCATAAGTTAAAAGTCCAATTCATTACCAAACAAAGCTATCAGTGAAAATGGTAAAATGTACCTTGATCTACTCTTATCAAAACTACTAATAAATATCTCAAATCAATTAAAACTTACCTCAAATATCTTCAACAAAAGTTTAACGTAGGCTCTTCGAACTCCAACAGATTTGTTCACTGCAGACAAAGTAATCAAAAATGATATAAATACAATAAAAGGAATGCAGAAAAAATCTAAAACCGTTGTACTAAACATTTCTCCTTTTTAAATTTAACTAGGAAAATTTAATTCCTGTTAAATATTGTTCAGTCAAGAACGAGCTTCAACTAAATTCTTTTGCAATTAGTTCTGTCGAACAGCAGTAACTTCTCGTTATTATAAGTTCTCTGTAAACATCTTCCCCATGTCAGTCTTTAAAAGATACTGTGGTGCTACCAGGCCATCAAAATTTAATTGCGATTTTATATGGCATTTCCACGGCACTCCTATTATGTTGTTCGCTATTTCAATCGTAATTCGCACTTTAAATACATGCAGAACTATTTAATTCGCCATACAAATTTTTATAGGAGAATTCAATTAAATCGTTGTCTTCTCTAATTTTTACGGGAAATTTATGGAAATGAGCTGACTAATCAAAAAACAGAAGAGATGAAAACCCTCAGAGGAAAACACGAACTTTTTTTTGAAACCAAACACTATTTGTTATATTAAAGTCGAAATTTTTTCAAATTATAAAAGAAGTTTCAAACTCCAGGCAGATATAAAACTTGTTGATTGGACGTATTGAAACAGAGAACTGTCAAATTACGTGAAGATATATGCTTCCAGAAAATTTTAGCAAAATCGGCTTAGTAGTTTCAGAGCTTATAGACAGCATAGAAACTTATATGTACTTATATATTATTAGATTATGTACATAAATATATATATGTACATAATCTTTTATATGAGTATAAATAAATGCAATTAATTTATTAAATGTTCTTAAAATAATGCGAACTTGAAGAGAAAGGGGAAACACCAAAACTATTATTTTGTGATAACGCGCGTAGCCACTCATTGGCGCTAGAAATCGCTTCGCCGAACGCTCCAGTTTGGGGGCATCAGTATACTAAATATCGATATGTTTATAAAAAAAAAATTCAAATGTAATCGATGAAGGTGAGCTTATTTTAGGTGAAAGTAAGATTAAAAAACTAAATTTCACCCCATTGCAATTTTTTTTGGAAAATGTGAAAACTAAATTACATATGCGGTACCAATATTTCGGGTGTAATTTGCTGCTAATTTGTATTCTTGTTTTCACCCAAAAAGAATTTGCTTTACAGCCCATGTACAAAAATTTGTTAACTCTTAGTCATTAACGGAGCTTACTTAATTTCTTCATGATTTAGTATTAAGTGTATCGGACAAATGCGACCTATAATTTGAAACCGAATCCGAATTACTGAACTTTATGGGAAGCTATTATTTTTAAGTCAAAATTACATTCGTAAAATTTGACATTTCATCCGAATAACATTTTTTTTTTAGGTGCTGGTTTATCTAGGGTGCCAAACATGACGCTCGTACATTTGCACTCGCTGCTAATCACTCAGATCAGTAACCGTTCACCATTTAAAAAATAAAAATCAATTGTTAGCCGAGTTTTTGCATGTAAATATGAGATCCGTTTTATGCACGCATACTGTCATTTCTTCTATAAAGGCATGTTGCGCTTTTTTTATGTTGTTGATTTATAAATTTAGCTCTTCCCATGATCTTACCTGGTAATATATAGTTATCATCTAGTAAATGCGTTTGGCCATATAAACCGATAGTAAAAATTTGTTAGCTACACGTATGTTAACAAAACGAAAACCCTCAAAAAATTATTCAATAGCTGCAAAGTAGTCAAACTCGAACTTCGTCATTACTTTTCGTCTAAATTATTGTAATTTTCTTACAATAAATTAATTTAATTACTTCTTATGTGTGAAGTATAGATACATAAATAGGTAAATGCTGGTTAGCGCCAGTAAAACAAATAATTGAATCAATGACTTTCCTTTATCGGACTAGTCGGTAATTAAATGATATTTATTTATGCAAATCACATCACAATCGGCAAACCAGTTTATTTGTAAATATGATTTATAAAGTTGTATAGAGCACACCTTTAAACCAAATCTCTCTTACTAAATGAAAAAAATGTTTATTAATGTAAAAAAAAATTTATTGGCGAAAATCTATTTTTGTTACTCAACTCTTTATCCTATACGCTTCAAATTTCTGTTTTTCTTACTTCATAAATTATTTCTTGAAGTAATTATAGTCAAATGAGTTGTGTGAACTTAGCCATAATAGTGTAGTTACACTACTATAGTATTAGTTATAATTTACTTTTAACGTAAATTCAACAGAAATCTGCAGGTATATAAAGTCAGACATATTAAAGATGTTTACTTGTCCAAAGCAGTGTTGGTTTTGAGAGCGATAACACATTCTTCACCACATGATTTGAGAACTGTGCACTGAAAAAAATAAAAATTATAAAAAAGGAAATTGTGACTAGCAAGTTATTTGTCTACTTACTAAAAGATCTTTCCCATTATCAAAGTCAGATCTCAAAGAATTGCCAAGATCTCCCTCCGGTACTTTCAAATCTTCACGAATTTCTCCATTATCAGACATCAGAGTGAGAAATCCATCATCGCTTATATCAGTCAACTGATAATCTTCTCTTTTAACATGTGGTACATCCATGTTATGGGTTGAGGGGCAGATATCTTCATATCTTTTTTTCACGAGTTAGTTAACATTATTTTACTTCACAATTTCGAAAATATATCGATAATACTTACTTCTTATTTGTAAAAATATCAATGCCGACCATATGGACTTTAGCGTGACCGTGTTTTCCAGTTTTTGAGGTAGACATCTCAACTATCTTGCACGGCCGTCCTTTTAGCATAACAAATCCGTTTTTGCGTAAAGCTGAGCATTGCATCGGATATGTCTGAGATGCACCGGAGTCACCGGTCTCAAAATGATGATCATCCATTTCAGCCATTTTCCCAGTTATTAGACTACCGCGTACCAAAAATATCTAAAGAAAACATATTTGTACACTGTTAATTTTGTCAAGAGTCAATATTAAAGTTAAGTGTGGTTGTATTTTTAAAAGAAATTAATAAATGTTTACATTAAAGCCAAAAAAAAAAAAGAAATATGTGTATAATCAGCATCCTTTTTTGTAAAACAAAGCCACATCGGCCCGACAATGACTTTAACAAAGCAATTTCAGTTGCAAATTCAAGTTAGAGCGTCGCTTGATAGTTAAATTTCAAATGTTGATACCGACTTGGAAAAATAAATTTTCTGACATCTTCCGGCCGATGTAAAGGTAAATGACACGTTCGTTAATGTCAAACATGGAAAGCATAGCTCGTGGAAAAAATTTTGAGATTCATATTGAGCATCACTATTTACAATTTTCACGCCTTGTTTTTCAATCACAAAGAAAATTCACTTATTTTAGTTTGTTTCCGCCACTATTAGCTCGATTTAGTTTTTTTCTTACATTTTGCAAGAATTAATATATAAAATACCACAAATTGTTGAGAAGAATCCGATACTCACATGTGATTTAAATGATAGCCTTAAGCAAAGAGAATAAATGGCACAACCCTGCTCTTGTCCACGAAACACTTGAATGAGTAATCAAGATAGCGTATCCGTTCAATACAATGAGTTAAAATGGCGCAAACAATGCTTTAGTTAGTTTCAAGCATATTATTCAAGCTTAGGATGAATGAACACTCATATAAATTTTGCCTGCTTAAGCAGCTTTACACAGGATGGGTTTCTTAGATATTCTATATTTTTTTGTTGTAAGGGCTATGTACCAATCGGGTGAAATTTGTAAATTTTAACAGCCAACGTTGAAAGAACATCATAATAACAACAACAGATCAATGCAATCACATGCCATCCAACAACAACACAAATCAGTGATGTTTTGTGGGAATTAATTGGGCAATTTTTGTGAACGTACTGGAAGAGATTCTCAAATGGATCGGAATTTTCCTAAATCACCGGATATAACTGTTGTGACACAAGTCCATTTCGTAAAACTATGAATTAACAAGAAAATATTGATTTAATTCTTTGCTTTTGTTTCTATCAAAATCATCATTAGTAAAAAGAAATATTATATTTGTATTCCATTACTTCCTCACGTCAAATATTACAATTTCATTTGGCACAGCAAATTCTAAAATTTTTCCCACCTGGGAAAGAAAGTAAATTTAAAAATATAAACTCTTTATTTTCTAAGATTTTCAAAAAGGTATTCTCTATGAAAAAATTTACGTATCTTAAATTAAAAAAAATCGTTTTCTAATTTTTAGCTACCAATTTTTATTACATCACCTATATTTTTTATTTATTTGAGTCGGTAACGAAATATATATTAGAAAATATCAAAATATCATATGTTAACAACCGAGGATAAAATTCTTCCGTAGAAAAGTGAATAATACCAGCGCGATTACGCATTGGTCACATATCTTTTTATTATTATACTTAAAAAGTTTTCTATATTAATTATTTGAAATGTGTAAAAAATTTGAAAAAATATATGGGTTTTTGCTAGTGTGCCATCAACAAAATTGAATTTACACACACGTGAGTTTTAAGGTGTTTTCAAAACTTTAATTGAGAAATGATTTTACAAGGGAACGGCAATGAGTTCCGACAATTAATAGTGTGAATGACCCTTATAGTTAGAAGAGTTTACATATGCAATCGCTAGCGCTTGATTGGCAACATGCTTGAAACGGATTTCGCATATGCAAGCTAGTATGTGAAAACCCAGCTCCCGTCCTTTTACCTCCAGCTTTGTCATTGGGTGTATGTGTCTTTTTTGATGTCCAATATTTATCCAATGTTATATTAAAAATCCTTTGATTTTCAGATTGCTTCTTGTACGCAGAACGAACAATGCCGCCAAAATTCGATCCTACAGAAATAAAACTAGGTAAATATTACAGTTTTCCGGAAAGTAGTTGATGTTAAGTTGTATTGTTTTTACAGTTTATTTGCGATGTGTTGGTGGAGAAGTAGGAGCTACATCTTCCTTGGCCCCTAAGATTGGTCCTCTGGGCTTGGTAAGTAAAGTTATTTAGTTTTTATTTCCATTCATATTATATATTTTAATTTTTTTTTTCATACTTTATATTGTAGTCGCCTAAAAAAGTGGGAGATGATATTGCCAAAGCTACGGGTGATTGGAAAGGTCTTAAAATTACTGTATGTCTTACAATTCAAAATCGACAGGCCGCTATATCAGTTGTTCCATCAGCAGCTTCTTTAATTATCAAAGCTCTTAAGGAGCCCCCTCGTGACAGGAAGAAGCAAAAGAACAGTAAGATATATTTTCTAGAACGATTTAGTTTGTTAATTAGTGTTCTATTTTTAGTTAAACATAGTGGAAATATTACGTTTGATGATATTCTGTCAGTAGCGAAAACAATGAGGAATAGATCTATGGCTCGCAACTTGGAAGGCACTGTTAAAGAAATCTTAGGGACGGCGCAAAGCGTTGGTTGTACAGTTGACGGAAGGCCACCTCATGACATTATTGATGACATTAACAGTGGTTCTATAGAAGTTCAATCTGAATAAACAGTGCATAAGCAAATTTCCAATTTAAGAAATAAAATATGTTACATCTATTTACACAGTGTTACTTCTGAAGGAATCAAATTTTAAGTGATAGATTTAGAAAAAAGTTGAATCAAAATTAGAAAATATTGATGTGCTGTGCAAAACCTAGTATGTCCGACCAAGGTACAAGTGGCAGAAGGCCACCAAATGTGAAGTTATATACAAAAGTACTGTTGCGATTGTGTTAACGCCTCGAGAGACCCGCTTGACCCTACTTATCCAGACTAGACCCCAGCATACCCAACGTATGCCCTGCATGTGGAGAGTCTCCGCACGACACTAACCACCTCTTCACATGCTCTCTCAAACCAACTCATCGAACCCTTCTCTCCCTCTGGTCCAACCCCGTCGAAACAGCTCGTTTCTTGGACCTACCATTAGATGACCTCGGCGACTTAGACTGATCAAACCTGTGCCTAAGCGGGGTTAGTGAACTACAACAACAACATGGTGTTGACACGTTAGTACCTTACTACTGCCGGATGGAAATTACGTTTTAATTAGTTTTCTAATGGGATGGATTAATACAAAAAATTATTGTTTATTTTCGTGAAGAATTCATATACCTCGTCGGGAGCGATATTTCGAATAACTATAATTCCTAGGTTCTGTATTGTTAGTTCTTGACCTGTATTTTAGTTTTCTCTAAGTGCATGAAGCTTCATAAGTTTGGACTTTTAGCATATGAAAATATCTGTTATAGTTCAGTTTGTGTGTAAGCATGTATTGATATTATAATGGATACATAATTTTTTGTAAAATGACAAATCAATGGTAATATTCAAGCTTAAATAGTTTACTTCTTTTTGTTTTTGCCCAAAGTTAATGTATGATGGGATGTAGATATCTGTGTTTTGCGGCGACTAAATTCAACAAAATCTTCCTCCAGTTTTTTGCGGGAATCTTCAAGCTTTCTCTTTTCTTCAGCATGGTCACGTTTGAGTTTATCAAACTTTGCATGCAACTAAAATAAAAAAACAAATAAATAATGAATGCAGCATAGAAAATAAATGTTTACCTCCTTTTCACTTTCTTTTAGTTCAGCTTCCTTCTCTTTAACCCTTTGCACAAACATCTGCCTAACTTCCTCTTCTTTAGCTTGTAATTCCGCTAAATGATTGGATCGTTTGGCTTCAAATGTTTGTTGGAATGATATCTAAAAAAAATATATATCTTAGAAATTAGTAATTATAATAGGCTTCAACGTACTGGTTTGTTGTCACTATCTACATCGCTAAAGCCCATTTGCTCAAGCCTTTTTTGTCTATAAAGTTCATAGTGACGTGTATGCGTTTTCTCCCTCATATCCTCCATGTTAGTTCGTATTAACATTTCACGAAGTTTTACAAAATCGCAATGCATTTCATTTTCAACTTGCACTGTACCCCATGGATATTGACGAGCCCTAATTAACTTATTTCCCACTTTAATAAAATCGGTACTTCCTACCACAGCAAATGGAACATGAGTATTCATGGTCGTATTCGTTTCAGCAACGGTCTCGTCGTCAGTAGGAAATTGGTATATGTGCACTCCGTTATTCGACAATTCCTGCATTATTTTTGTTTTAAAACGGTTCAACTCTGACTTTGATATTGTATCGGCCTTTGCAATAATTGGAATTATATTCACTTTGCTATCTAGCTTTTTCATGCATACTAGATCTAACGATTTAAGTCCATGACCAGTTGGGCAAATGAAATATAAACAGACATGAATTCGGCTGTCGTGGCATGATATCAAAGAGCGTTTGATCTTCAATTCCTCTTGTAAATAAGCTTCAAATTGGTCATCAATATAGTCAACTACTGCTTTAAACGAGTCATCCTTATTAATTTGGTCACCATAGCCGACTGTGTCACAAATGGTAAGCTTTAATCGTACGTTACTTTCTTGAAGTTCATAAGTATGTGCTTTCAATTTAACATTGGGTAAAGTATGGGGGCTTGGCGTAGACTCGAAGCTGGTATTGAAAAGTGTATCCATAAGTGTTGATTTACCAAGTCCAGTTTCACCTAAAAATGTTCTTTTTTTATTGATATATATATATATATACATACGTTTTCAAGATCTTACCAATACACATCACATTGAAAACGAATCCATTTTGCACGCTTTTGTTTACCAATTGGTCCGGAAGGCTATCAAATCCAACATGACCAGATAACTTCAATGTTCGTAAATGTGGCTCATTCTAAATATACGCAAAAGTATTGAATTAAAAATGTTAAAATGCAAAGGTACTATAAAATATTTCATTTCTATAAATCTATATTTCTTAGGCAATTTACATTTTCAGCAGGATGTTTTCAAAAAAAAAAAAAAAAAAAAACCAAGAAATCAAAATTAATTTCTAACGAAATAGTGTTTACAATACGAATAACACTTTATTTAGGGAAGGAAAGTAAAGCAGTTTCTCAGTCGAATCAAATATGGTTCTCCGAAGAAAGTAGCTCTCCACAACTTTATTTTGTTTAAAGTAAGAAGACCAAGAAGATCCCTCAAAAACGAAAAGAAAAGTTTGAAGTCTTCCTAAGTTATTAATTTGCAATAAAATTTACCTTAACCAGGTCAACAGCAACAGACATTTTCACGACTTTATTTTAAAACGACTTTGACTCAGCTACTATACAAATTGGGATAAAAACAACGCCCCAATGATGTTCATATGCCAGGAATCCGCGGAATTAGTAGAACAGAACAAGGTGAGTACAAAAAAAATTGATTAAATTGCGCACGTCTCTGCGCCTTAACCAATTTCACATAACAGTTACTGGATCCATTCATTTGCAAACTGGTAGTAATGAGATTTGGTACTATTTTTTTATAAATAAAATGTTTGGAATTTATTTCTGATATCTTCCTTAACAATGGTTTAAAAGAAAGGGGCAGCTTAGAAGCCATTAATATGCAAATTTTTACCCAAAATATTTGTAGCTTTCGAGACATAATTCAACTAAACTAGAATTATTTGTATTATTCTCTCAAAACATCATTTCATCACTATTATTTGTGGTAAAAGGTTTGCATTAAATGTTAATTTTGAATTTAAAAAATGCTGCTAAATGAAGAAATGCTACCATAGAGCAATATCTGTGAAACTGGAACAATTACTTTTGGCGCTTAGCATTATTGAGTCTATGTTGTGATGGACGAAGGATTTATGGCCACAAAGTAGTGCTCTTCTCCTGAATTTCTTTTTTTAAAGAAAAAATATTGAGGTTGCTTATCAGGAAACGAAATCGCCTCCAACACATATTATTGATAATAAAAAACTAATTAAAATAGCACTATTACAATTAAATACCAACAACGACTACTCCATAACAACTCCAAACTTAGCAACAGCAACACATTGCCATATAGCACCACAATGTACAAATTCAATTCCAGCATATTCAGTTGCTACACCAGCCGAAGAATATCATCGAATTTATTTGTGTACACTGCCTTCGGCAATTAATAAAAATCTAAACAATTAAACTTATATATATGGGCTCAATTATAATAATTAATATCCTTTCCATGAGTGCTTATAGAAAGCATTTCAGGCCTTTTAAAATGTCTTACAAAACTATTACTAAGATTTTCTTTCATTAATTTTAAAAATACTTAAAAAAAACTGGATACGAATGAAATAGACCTAGTGAGTAAGAAACTCATACCTACATTAACGTATCCCTTAGATTTCTCCCAACGGTCTGTACAAAATGAAGGAAAGTTTTTCGATTTATAAGGCATACCATCTCTTAGTCACATGGCTTATATAAGGGTTCATATAAGGAATTCTGTTTTTGCTCGGAAGCGACTCTGAGTAAACGGCAAAATTACTGAAAAATTGTAATAGACTGGTAAAATAGCAATAAGTAATTTTAGTGCATGGGCTTTATCTTCTTCTTTGATTCTCTAGGGTAATATTTTAGAGCTTCTGGGATACCTCCTTCTCTTCATTTAGCTCAATGTGATCATTCCAGTGACGCTTTTCTACCCTGCCCGAAGAACGTGGTTTTGTTTTAAACTTTTAAGTTTATTACTACAAATTTATAAAAAAAATTGTTGATTTTAAATGAATAATATTTTTGTATAAGAAGTAACTGTCTAATACATCATAAGAAAGGTAAACTCATTTATAATAAATAATTATGTCACCTGAATGTAACTTCATATCTTTGTTCTCACCACATCCCCTCATTTACGTGGATGCAAGGTATCATTTAAGCTAGCTCACCTCTTTCCAAGTAGTTTGGATTATGGAATCTCCTCTAACTAAAATGTAATCTAATTCAGGACTATGATTATGGCCCACATTTACGAAAAAATAAAAAAAAAGTTAAATATATTTATTTTAGATTTGTAAATAATTATTTGTCTTTTCCGGACAATATGTTTCAGAAGATTTTATTATTATTTTATTTTTAATGGGATAGGCACTCGCATTGGCGTCACATTGTATTTACATAAGTTAAAAAATTATACATATATAGTTTTATTTTACAAATAAGTTTTCGATTAGCAAACAAGTGACATAAGCGTCTCATTATTGACATTTTCATTTGAAATTTATTTAGTTCAATTCATATTCATAGATCTATAATCTTTTACAACAAAGATAGACAATTTCAATTCCACTAAGTATAGAAGTTCCTACAAAAAGACCTATTACTCCTCCAGCAGAAACTGAAAATTTAAATCCGAACATACATATATATTTATGCATTTCCAAAAATTGAAGCAAACAAAACAACATGCCCAATTAAATTAATATCAGGTTAGCTCATCTGAAGTATAGGCAAATTAGTGATTCTGATGTCACTTACCTACTAAATCTTGGTGGGTTTGAGTAACACTTCTAATGCATCGTAGTGAAGGAATATTTTGTATTTCGATATCTACCAATAAAAAGTTTGGACGGTAAATATTTTTAACTTCAACCGACCTGGAAAACGTAAAATGAAATAATTCTAACTAGCTCTAGCCATTAAGATGTAAATGAAATTTAATGACATATGCACGCCCTTTGTGCTCGTTGGTTCCCAAAAATCTTGAATATAAATATTATAGTAGATGTAACAATCCAAGTAAAAGATTTTTGTTTCAATTTGAGTTAAGTATAATGGAAATAGAATATTAATTTAATATGAGTTTCAAAACATATTACGATTAGTTTTTTTGAGACCTAATGCATGTTGTAAGTTGCACAATTTTAAATTATAGTACATATGTATGTATGTGAAAATGTTTCTTACCCAACAAATTGTAGTTTTTGCTCGGAACATGACGGGTAACAGACATATTTTTCTCTAGCGATTTGTTTGGCCTTTGAAGTAATATCCGCTACTTTCAATAATATAGCAAAAATTGGAAGCAGGAATATAAATATGTACAAATGTATGTAAATACATGTAAAAGAGTTTGGTTATAATTTATTCCCTTGAATACCATTCAAACAGTACATTTTTATAAAAATTTTCTCTCGCTGCCTTTGAAAATTATCTTGTTTTCAGTATTTTATTTAATGCTTTTCAACTTGTGGTGTGCTACGGTTTTGAATGGCATCGTTACATGTTTCAATACTATATAATTTACCCTTGGATATGCATGTCATTCCAGTAATATTGCAGAAAAAGTTAAAAACTGTAAAAAACAAACAAAAGATTACTAAGGATTGCTATAACGATCAAATTTATAAAAATTATTTATAGAAATATTCGAATTATAATCATATGGTTAAAACAACATACCTTACATTATATTGCATTACATTATATTTTTATTTTAATTATATTTTGCGGCACTGTACCTTTAAAAAGACTAAATGCTCACTAAAAGCAAACAACCCCAGCGTTACCGTAAGCTAGACAGACACCTACGCTTCCTCGACGCTATAAAGCTAGCAGAACCATTTTTTGTCTTAAGCAACGCAGTGGTTTATTATTATTTTAATATGCACTTACATTTTTTCGGAGATGTGAACAATGTGCAGCTACAAATCTTTAGCTCCAAGACAATTCTAAGATCGCTCATGCATGATGAAAAGCTAAAAGTCATAAAAATACGATCACATGGGTATGAATATGACTTGCACCACTACTTTGTGTAAAAATTAAATTTAAATAATATATTACCTGTAGGGGTAAGAGGATCCGAAAATTATTTCCATTGGAAACTTGCACTTTCGTTTTTTAAGGTTTTCATCTTTAACATCCAAACTGTTTTGGATTTCCTCCATATTATAAATATATTTTTTATGATCTTGTCCTAGGGTTTGTGAAAGCAATCCAAAATACGGTATATCCTCATTGCTATGTACATACATCTAAAAAGTAGTAATAACATATATTCGTACGTACATATATATACATATGTATGTATATGCAATTAGGTTTCAACCCTTAATTTTTATTGTTTAATTTATATAAAAATGTGATTTCCAATTTTACATCTTTTCAAACTAGGGACCTTCAGTTCCCTCGATTACTGCGTTTGCAGAAAAAGTTTATATCATAGCTTTCTACTTACATTTTGAAAATATCACATTTAAAATTTTGCAATAACTCATACCAAATTTTATCAAACGTTACATATGTACATATATATAATACAGACATACATATAATAATGCAACAGGCAAATCTCTTATTTGAATAGTTGTAACTTTAAGGGAAGAATTTCCAGATTATTTCACTCTTTTGACTTTAAATACAAAATCATTACCAATTACTTAAAATCGGTCTATTAGTATAATAATACTATTAAACATTTCTCCAAATAGAGTAAAAATTCAGTGTGAGCAAAGCAAGACAAAAGTGAACCGTATTATTGGTTAAGGAAGGAGAAAGCTGCTCCGTTATTCCACCTTATCCTTCCATCATGTACTTATGCATGATTTCACAAACCTCATATTTCCATAGAGACTCTTGCTTCAGAAACATCCTTAATGAATTTCCATCTCCGAACGTACTAAATTTTAGTGGCAGTTCATCTATGTGGTTGCTAATATTTGTAAATGTTTAAACGATCATGTAAATATATATGTATGTATGTATGTACATATGTACGTACATAAATATTTATACCAAGTACATCAAATAAAATAAAAAAATGCAAAAAATTTCATTAAGTAGACTCACTTTAATATTTTTGAAGCTTAATACAAACAAAAAGATACTATAATTACAACTCAAGAATTGTTCAGCAGCTCGAGTTTTTGAACCACATTGCTTATTGCTCCGAAAATTTCGAGCACGAGCTCGAGTAAATGGAGCTTTTTCTGACCATTTTGAACAAACGTTTTGAATTTTTTTCTCAGAATTTATTTCTATAATTTAAAATTTGTTTATACATTTTGATTTGGAAAATTTCAATCTTTTGAGCACTTGAGCAACGAAACAGTATCGAGTCGACAGCTTGCAAATAAGCCCAACCGTTTAGAAGGAGCTCAACGACAAACAAATCATAGCTATCATCAAATGTAATCAATGTAATTAATAATTAATACTTTGTAATATGTGTACATACATACGTGTACGTACATACATATGTAGTATAAGAGCCTTTATATATCATTTAGATGGCTTGTTTAAATGGTATTTTTAGTAATTTAGTTAAAAAATATTTAATTATTTTTCTAAAGAATACTTACTGGTCCATAATGTTATTAGCTAAAAAGCAGTAACCCATTTCAAGATCGTGAAATGTAAATATTTTTTCACAACTTTGTTGTTCAACTTCCAGAAAAGTTATATTATTAATAATAGAATCACAAAATCGCGTAAGTAACTAAGATAAATAAAAAGACATATACATTCATATGTAAGTAGTTTAGTTATTAACTTCCTTGATCTTAAAATTCTATTTCACTATTTTAATTCGATACTCACTTGTTCCCTTGCAATATGAACATCTATTCCACATGTTGAGTTGAAGCCTTTACAGTAATCTTCTTTGGTATTTATATTAGTTGGAGTGATGAATAAGTAGTTATGAATATTTTTTATGTAATTTATATTTTTCTGTTTCACAAATTTGATAATTTCTGAATTGGATCGACTTTTTGACAAGCAAATCGATATTGCAGGAAACGTATGGTTCCAGTGTAGAAACGAAGTCTCGACACTAATGCTAATAGAATCAGAAAAGTATCTTTTCAACATTAAAAGAAAAATTGAAGACATGTTCCAACACGATATAGTTATAACCAAAATCCAAAATAATCTGTAAAATAAATTTATATGCTTTTATTCCGGTTTTTATTGATATTATTCCTTTGCCACTGTACTTGGAATTCGAATACCACAGAGAAAATCTTTTAAAAAAGGAAACCATATTCATAAATAATATTTAATTATTGTGAAATTTATCTGCGCAATTAAATCTTAACTCGGCAACTGTTTCTGAGCAATTAAGCTTGTTGTTTTAGATAAAGTGGTCTTCATTTGTGAACGAATCGCACGCAAGGGGTTTAAAAGGTCAATGTTGGACTTGCTATTACAAAGCGTAGTCAGGCATGGGCAGGAGAAATATTGCACCTACATATTCATATTGTGGCTGTTTTATATATTTGGAGATCTGTACGTGCGAACATTGTAGCTGAATTGGTAATAACGAGCCGAAAATAGAAGGGTTCGCGCTCGGCTCAGAGCAAAAACTAAAATCTTAGTAAGTAATTGCAAGCTTATTACATACTGAACGTATGTTTCTTTCCTTTAATGTCATTAAAAGTGTCACGCGAAAACTCATTGTGTATTGAATTTTAACAGTATCCATAGTTTCTTTCATTTTCCAACGCGACCGTGGTAGCCGAGTGGTTAGCATTATGTACTGCCATTCGGAATTCTCGGGCTCAAATCCCCGTGCGACCAGCACCCAAAAGGCAGGGAATGTCAACCCCTCCGAGTGTTTTTCTGACATGAAATAGAGCTCCTCATAAAAAATCCATCAGCCGTTCGTAGGCGGCTTAGTATAAACTGTAGGCCCCTCCATTTGTTGGAAAAACATCAACACGCAAAACCACAAATCGCTTATGCGTTTACAAAGTGCCATTTATATATATATATATATATATAAATGGATTTGTCAGGATTACATGGAACGCAACTAGAACTCATCAGTGACGGTTGAAATCTTCGTCTGCGGTATTCACCATCTCTGATATGCAAATGACAGTTCACAATTCGTAGGATCAAAGTTTGCAGTCCTCTTCCATATTTCTGCGCTAGTTTTTGCCACTCCGAGAGGGATCCAAAGGCAGAATTAGTTGTCTAAGATGACTCGGTTACCGAGATATTGTGCATTATGAATTTCTTCCCAGTGGCGAAACTGTCAACAAGGAATATTTTTTGAGTGTTATGAGTGGTTCGCATAATTCTACTTGGGAACAACTTTGTGCAAAAAAAAATTAACTCTTATAATTCCGCCGCCAGCGTATTCGCCTGATCTGGCTCCGTGTGACTTCTGGCTATTCAACAGGTTCAAAAGAAGGGTTCGGAAATTAAAGAGGTTTACACAAATAAATAAATATTCTGAAAATTTATGTGCTTTTATAGAAAAACCCCGTTCGGATTTTGCCTAAATTAACCTGCAGGTCCTTCCATTTTATACGAAAACCTCAACGCACGCGACACAAAAATTGCTTACAAAGCGCCAATTATATATAATATGTAAGTATGTATGTACATACTCGTATGTATATGTATGTATATAATTCATCGATTGCAATACATATTCACAAGTGTATATGTATAATGAAAATGACAATTTATATACATATGTACGTTTAAGTGAGATGTTTTGAACATTTTTAAATTAATGAACTGAAACTTGGATTTCATTTTTTCAGTGTATATCAGCCGGGTTTGTGATGTTGACCAGAGCCTTGCTTTCCTTACTTGCTGAATTTGCTTGTAATTGAAAATACTGGAAAATATAAAACACAAATATTGTTTTATTTTAATTAAAAAACTCTTATCTAGATAATTTAAAAAATCCTTTGCCGCCTCATACATGTACATATTCCTTTTTAAATCTTGCGAGATTCAGTAACCTCTTTAAAGTATGTAACTATGGGTAATTCAGCAGTGAATGCATTTCTGGGATTTGGTAAGTTGATGAACGAGTTAGTCGAATTCTTTTTAATTGATGCCATTTTTACGCCATTTATACTTGATATTCTCATTATTGCAGATTCCGGTGTGCTACTAGTGGTGATTGGAGTTGTTGGCGGTAAAGGCAAGTCCACCACATTTCTTGTTGTACTTATTTGTGTAACTGTTCTTCTGCTATGTCTGTTTGCTTTTGATCGAAGCTTATTTGTTTTTTCATCGCGATGTGTCCTTGATTTAAGTACCGTTGGTATTGTGGAACTTGTGTCATTACTATCGACTTTGTTGTGAGCCTTTTCATACGTGGGAGTCCACCGAATTCGGGTTTTTGATGGAAACTTACGCTTTGGATTTTTGAATAAAAGATTAACTCGTGACCCTGGTTCCTTGTTGAGTGTTAAGGAAGTTGTTTGTGGGGATAAAGATGGTGTAGAAGAAGAAAATGTCCTCTTTTCGTTTTGTTTCACAACTACTTCTACTGATCCCATATGTGTCGATGCAGTTGAAAGCTTAGAATTTCGATCTTTAGTTTTTAAATTTTCTTTAAAAACTAATCTTTTATTGATTTTGCTTCTTCTATATATTGGGCGACTAATGCTGAGGTTCGTAGGGTTGGAAGATTTTTCAATGGAGTCATTTGTTTCCTCTTTAAATGTGGTTGCAGTAATGTTATTCAAAAGCGATGATATCGTTGAAGGTACAGAGATTGTTCCTAAAGGCACAGTTGTTTTAATAGGCAAATTAGTTAACGGGTTTGTGGAGACCTGCTGTGACAACATAGAAGTCAAATTGTCTGTAGTATGTTTTTTGGTGAAGGAACATCTATTATTAATTTCGGATAAAAAACTTGAGCAATTATTGTTTATTGGTTGGTCGAGTGTCCAATATGCTTTTGTAGTATTTATATCTGTTTTATCTGAGGCGTTTAAGTTTCCAGTAATAATTGTCGTTGGTTTGTCATTGATATAATCCTCGTATGCATTAATTTGCGTATTTCTAATATAGGGAACCAATGTGGTTGTATGCAAACTAATTGGGCTGGAGGCTATAGTCCATAATTCTGGTGCTTTGGTTTGATAGCTGAATGTTTCGTATTGATTAGCTAAATAATTTTGTACAGTATTAGATTTATATCGCGTAACTGGTTTGATTTCGGAATGGTAAAGAGTTCGGGGAGTAGTTATTGCATCTCCTATAGTAAAATAGATGTTAGAAGAGTTGATTGAATTCAGATGAGTCATTGTGGGAAGCAAGGTGTTATACGAATTATAAGTATACGGACTTCTGGTGCTTGTAGTTGATTGGAATCGTAGCATGTTGGTAATATACCTCACTTCATTCGATGGATCCCTTTCGACGGCCGCAGACGTAGTAGGCATTTTTTCTACGCAAAGCGGTCTTATATGAGCGTAATTCATATTTAAATTATGTGCATTTATGCAGTAATTTTGCAGAGTAGTAAATGTAGATGTGATTGGTATACTATAATATAATTCTCGAGGATACGAAGGCGCTTTCATTTTATCATCAGAGAGCATATAGTAATTTGACGTTTGTGTTGTTTTCAACAAATGATTAAAGTTTTTGAACGGGAACACATATTTTGACCATTTCATATTCATAGAGCCTGGCGGATAGATGAACGGGAAGTGTCTAATATGGTTTCTAATGTATAAAGAAAAGAGATTATTATGGGTTGCCAATGTTTGTTAACATTTGTATATAATATAGATGATGACCTACCTTTTGTCGTTCTGACTCATTGGAATGATTCCCCTGTAGGGATATTTTTTAGAAGCTTGTAAGTGTACTCGCTTGCGTCTCAACATGTGATTTGGATAGTAAATAGGAAACAAAGTCATTTGGAATTTTTCAATGTTATGACGATGCAGAGCCACTCCATTTGAGCTGCGATCCGTAAAGCTCGTGAGTGCTGCAGAGGATTTGCCGTACTCATAAAGACAGCTCTGCTAAAAGAAATACATACAAAAATCGAAAGTTTTACAAATAACAAATAACTATATTACAGAGCAATCCAAAAACGTATTTTAAATAATATTCACTTCATTTCTTCTTTTTCATTTATCCCTCCAATATTTATTGTTGATACTGATCCATACTTATGTGCTTAGTCTACTTTTATATTATTATGTCATACATACGAATATGTATGTATGTATATAAATCGTGAATCCTTGCCAGTTTAGATGCTCATATGTATTCTTAAACAATAATCACAAGGAATGCAAAGTAAATGTAGATTTATATACAAACGTATAGGCAAAGACGAATCGGTGAACTAGCAGAACTAATTTCAGAGCAATACCATTCTGATTTTAAGCTGAAGATATATGTATGTAAATCTACCTTAGGATAAAGTAATTACTAATAATTAATAGTAATTAATCCTATTCTTAAAAGTACTTCTCAATTTTTACGCAAGTTATCCGTTGCAACGACGTACAAGCAGGTGGATACATATTTTATTAATATGCTTACATCTGTCTGCGCAAAATTAACCTGGGTAATCAGTAAAGTTTGGTATAACGAAACCATTGCAAATAAATTTGAAAATTTATATAGTACAAATCACTATGCGGAACTATAAAAATCCCATACTTTGTATCTAGAAAAAAAAATATATATATATTTATAAAATGTTCAGTATTAGGGAAATACGTTTCTCTTAAATGTTCAAAAAGAAAAAAAATATATTTTTGATAAAGTTTTGAAATTTATTTTCACTTCAGGTCTGATATTAACTGTACATGTATATATATCGCTAAATAGCTTCGATTTTATTTGTCAACGGATGTTTTCGTAAATCTTTAATTGATTGAAAATTTATTTTAAACATTTTTTAATCTTGCAAAAAATATTTTACTATAAATCATATACTTGCACCCAGAACGAATAATATTAGTTTTATATTTTTTAGATTGCCCTTCATCTTAATATTGTGGCCGTTTTAGTTCAGAGATATTTTCAGACTGAGTGCATTGCTTACCATTGCTTTGGAGAAAAGAAAATATTCACGCAAGAAATCATAAAGCGTAACTGATTAACTTACCTTTTCTGTTTGCACGTTTTATGGATTGAGCTGTAGGATTGGATTTGTGAAAAAAGGTTATATTTGAGTGAAAGCTGAATGAAATTTTCCTTACAACGTTGGTTTGAACGCATGATTATTTTCTTTAGAATAATTTTCAATAATACACATATTTTTCGATATAAATAAAAAAAAAACTTTTGAATGTACATCCAATCTTCTTCAATACATTAACATAATACAATACGCGCCAGCTAAGTAGAGAGAATTCGGTAAGCAATAAAAGCAGAATTTATGTATTTACAAGTATATTTGTGTGTACATATATACACTGAATGGACCTTTCTCCGTAGTTAGTATTATAAATAGTAAATGATAAAATAAAAAAAATTACGTTCTTTTATTTTTGATTAGAAAATTATTATTGATCTAAAATTGTAATAAATGGATACATTAAAAACCCAAATTATAAAAAAAAAACATAAAATAAACATACATTTAGGTATGATGGACTGGATGTCTTACGTTGATTTTCTTTGTTTGAAAAAAGTTTATTATAATGCAAAGGGTTTGTGACTTCTTCAATTAGTAATACAATCGATACTCGTTAATATAATTTTATTAGAAATTGTAGAAATTAAAAAAATATATGCATAATTACTTAAAGGTTATATCAACAACACTTTTACTCTATATTGTCACTTTTATTGGATTCTACTATACTCTCATTCACAGTTGTTTCGTTATTTTTTAAATCATTTTGTTTGTGCGTAATTTGGAACTGCTTTAGTTCACGATCTAAAATATGTTCACCCGGTGACATCGAGGAAGAGCTAACATTTGCATATAAATTATTTCCTTCTACAATAAAGAGATCTCTTTGAGATTGCAGATTTTCATTTGCCGCTGCCGACGGGGAAGCTTTATCTGCATTGAGTTCGTCGTTAAGGTTTTCTTTTTTCAAAAACATCGGATGCTCGGCCTTTTTAAAAGTTGTAATATTTCCTTTTATGTGTCGTGTTTCATCGGTATCCTATAATTGTAAATCTATTTAGTTTTTCGAATTAACATTAATTCTTCAAAATTTATAGCAGTTAAATTTTAAATCATCCAAAAAAATTTTTTTGGGCTTATCAAACGAGTAATTACCTCTGGAATCCCAGCTTGGAAAGCACATTCAAAAATTGATTTATTTTTTGAGATTGGCAAGTCCATAACTAGATCCGGTGCAATATGTTTCTTTTCATATAGCAAATTATAACCGGATTCCTTGGATGTACCTCGAGATCTAACTTCCCATAAGAATTTATTTTTTTGAAATTCACTTAAATTTTTCAGTTCCTCTTCCGTTGTCTCCGTTTTAACAGTATCCAAATCCGACGAATGAGCACTCGCATCATTAACATTTTCGGTAAGCATTTTTGAAATCATAAAATTATCTGCTATGCCTGTGGTTTTGAACAAATCATCGCTCGCATTCTGATTAGTTTTAATTTGGTTCTTATTGGATTCAGAAGTACATTGATTTGATTCTCGTGGTGATAAATTCTATAAACATTAGAAGGTCAATTTATTTAATATATTTATTCAACTAAATGCATCGTTGTAGTTCAGTCGGCAGTGGCCGTCCTATACATTACCCAATATCTAATATGTTATTGGTTAAACAAAGGAAAAGCAGAATATACATTCAGATTCGACTAAGAAAAAGAAAATTAAATAGAAATTTTAATACAATTGGCATCTATGCCTGAGAGCTGAAAAAAATGCAATCAAATTCTATTAAATCATATATTATAGCAAATATTTGAATTTGTTCAATTAAAATCACCATTGATCGAATGAATACAATTTACAGTTATTTATTATGAATTGCTTTCAATTTAAATTAATTGTAATCAATATAAATCAAACATTGGCGATCCTCTGGTTCCTTTAAATTTCATAAGCGCGGAATTCGAATGTTCGCCAACTCCGTTTACGAACTTAAGAAGGACGATATGGTCTAACGTTAGTCTCAACTGTTTCGACGAGCTCATCAAAGGGAGAAATGTGTGAGATGAGTCGGTTCAAGGGGATGTACAATATAAAGAGATGGTTAATGTCATGTGATAATACATTGCACGTCTGAGTTGAGCCCGGATGAGTAAGAGTTTAGTTCATTACGCGTATAGACCATAATTGCGCCAAAATTATTCAGGTCCCATGAGACGGCTTCTCCATAAACGGGAGGAGTAAAATTTGTCGATTGATTTTTAGCCTGCCTTTAGCTTGTATAAAATGTTGCGTTCAAAGGTTCTGTTCAATATTTTGAATTGAATCCTTGATGTTATGTATTCATCAGGTTTCCTGTTACGGTATTCTAGGCGGTATTTAGCCTTTTCATCTATATTTCACTAGTCCATTCAGATAGGTGCTATTGTACGTTACTTTACGTAGTCTCGTTTATGGTTAGGTTAATGCTTTGGCTAATCATCATCCTATGTTAACATTGAGCATGTGCTAAACTTAAAACAAAAACAAAAAAGGTGATAGCATGTCTGCTATTACAATTAACTTGTTTGATAGCTGCAGTTATTGGATTACAATAAAATTAATATTACAACCATTGATTCCAGCTTTTTTCAGCTCAAGCACTTTACACCAGATTTCAATTTCAGAACAATTTTAATGACGAAAGGTATAACGAAAACAATATAGTTTGATAAGTCTAATGACGGACTGCGTATGAAACCTCAATGGATTTTTTTAATTCATCGGTAATCCATTTCAACAATTTTTAACAAACCAAAACTAACATATGATAAGTTAAATTTGAATTAAAGACTAATTAATATTGTATCAAAATTACAAAAATATATATTAATAGAATTTTACCCTTATAATTTCTAAAGTATTATGTAAGGAGAATTAATGTAGCTAAAACAAGTTTGGTTTTCAATAGAAACCATTAAATATTTTTATGTATAACTTTATAAATAAAATATTGATATTAAATTTACACCGTCGTTTCAAGTACCTCTAAATTGTCGCAGTTTCTGGCTATTTGCAACTCAGAACGCTTCTCGTACGAGTCGAAGGAATTATCTTCGTAGAATTCGTTATCAGTTTTCGTATTATTTAAAATTGGTTCAATATCAGACTGTATGTAGCCATGGCAATCGTCGTTTGGGGTATCTATTCGATTTTCGACAGGCCGCTCGGTATCTGCACTATTGTCCTTGTTGATGTACTGCTCTACACTGGCTTTGTCTCTATCTTCTCCTCTGTACATATTTATAAATAGATATTTTATTTAATTTTTTATTGTTTTTTTTTTTTAACCACGTACTTAATTCTGAGTGATATATATTTATCGGGTATTAGACCTTCCTTTCCGTTTAATGATCCGTGCCACCAATCATTGGATACCTGTAAAAAATCACTTGTACTTAATCTGACTTATTATTTCATTATATCTACCTGTTTCCTTAATATTACAATGTCGCCTTTGCGTATGGACAGTTCACGATTAGACCGTGCTTTAAAGTCGAACTGAACGGTAGCTTCCAAAGTTTCCGATTCTTTAGGGCACATAACAAAAAAATTTATATAAGTTACAGCCACAGAAAAACAAATAAATAAGATCAATCGACTTGCCATCTTCGGAGGGACAAATTTCTGAGTCCGGATCTTCAGTAACATTGTCAATTGGGGATTCACCAACAAAACTATGTATGTAATGGAGTTAGTGTTTTACTAAATATCATTTAGAATAATTAACTTACATATCCATAAAGGGCTCGTGAGATATATATTTTTCATACTCCAAACCCACTAAATCTTGGGGGAAAATATCATCGTGGTACAAAATCATGCACTTAATAAGTTCGTTTATTTGATTTTGATATTGAACTTGATCTTTATCTTCGGGCGCGGGCATAAGCGTGGGACCAAAACAAATGGCTAAGTTAAATGCGTCCATCATATTTTCATCTGCATACTCCGATAAACTAAAATAAAGTTTATTGTATGCATAGTCCATATCATTTTAAAAAACTTACTGGTTTAAAAATGCGAATAGGTATCGTATAACGACTAATACCGTTGGGGATAAATTGCTTAAAAAATTTCGTATTGCAGTTATGATATCCTCTTTTGTATGAATTCCTAAAAGATAAACGTAAATATGTATATGTATCAAGGTTTATTGGAATCTTTTTTCAACATAAACATATTTGATATTAGAATCTAATCCAATTAATACATAATATACTGAACAAGATCTTTACTAATAATAAACTCAAATAAAAGTACCTGCTATAGAAACAAAGTGTTCGAAGTATACGATGGGAAATAATGGTTCTCTTAATTCCCTTAAGTATAATTTTAAAACACCGGCAACAGAATTGATATCAGAGGCATCATTTGTATCGGCAAGTGGGTCTTCGCCTCTTTCAAAAGCTTCACGGAAATTTGAAATTTCAACTTGCGAGCCAGAAACTCTAAATATGCCTTGATGATGTAATCCTTTAATAAAACAATTCATTTAGAAAACCTAACAAACAGGTATATTGTAATCTGTACCGTAAAGATTGATGACACGGATACAACTACGCATTACTAGGGGTACTTCCTCGCCGGTGAATTCCAAATATTCTTCCAAGGAGCCACCAAATAATTTTGGTTGACCAGATATATTAACGCGGCCAATTCGCTTTCTGGCTGATCCTACGACTTTTGTATGAGAAGGTAAATAGCGTGAGTTATCTTTAACTAGAACGTTCCGCAAAAAATCTGCTTTTGCGCTTAAGCGTGCTATGCGCGAAGTGCCATTTATATATTCTCGAATCTTCTGTAAAATAAATGTTTTTTTTAAGTGTACTACTCTTTATTAAAACTTACCATTATATAATAATCTTCGATGTCCTGTTTTTCGGCTTTCAATTTGGGCGTTATATTGCAGTTGGGCGCCTTAAGCAAATACTGTTTGCCTTCATTAAAAATATAACTGCTGTCATTGTCCTTGTTATTATAGTGCTCTAGGAGTTTTGTTTCGGCGGTCTCAAGCGATTTCCATACCTCGTCACACTCAATACGAAGATCGCGCAATCTTTGACCTAAAGTTTCAAGCCGCTGTTCCATGTCTAAATGTAATTCCTTCTTTATTTCCATTTCAATATTATCGGGCTGATCTTGTTGGCATTGCAATTCTAGTCGTTTGGGTATCATAAACGCAGCATGATGGTGTTCTAAAAACTTTTGTTTATCTGCTCGGCAATCTATCGAGTGTATTAAATGTGAAAGATTATCTGCTTGCTGAAGGATTGCTCTCGAGCGGCCTTGATCTGCCGAAACATGCATCAGAATTGCTTTTGAGATCATTGATCCAAATCCGAGATCCATACACTGTTCCAAAAAAATACATATGATTAATTTTTAGCAATTACTTAAATATTAGCCGTTTTCAAATCGTCACCATCGTTCAGAGATAAAAGGAAGTCCAGAAAAAAAGTTACAATAAAAAGTTGTGTCTTACATCTATAAGGTCACACAAATCTTCTACGAAATATTTATGAATTGTAGTATTTGACGCTTCCAGGCATAATTGATACTCTGTTTTGGCTTTAAGGGCTTTCAGTCTTGCATCTTTATATTTAGTATCTCTCTGAAATGTTATACTTAATTTTATTATCTTTCATTTCTATTTATAGAAATTCACCTTAACAATTTCTTTTTCGGTCAATTTATATTTCTTGTTCCTCTCAAGCTTCTCTTTTGTAATAGTCTGCTCTAACTTCTTTCGTTGTGCCTCCGCTGTGACCAATTTTATTTTAGCCGATTTGCATTCACTCTAAAGAAATGCAAAAACCGATAAGGATGTTAATTTTTGTTTTTCCAATTTCTCACCTCATATCTTTGATACGTTTTCATCGTCATATGTAGTTCTTGAAGTAGGCGTTGAATATCCTCGTGAATTTCATACCCGATGAATTTACACTGCCAATTAAAAGAATAGACCGAAAATTTCAACGGAGTGTTGCCTAACTTTTTTTGCGTACAAAAATTACCTTTTTGTATATCCGTTGAACATCCTCAATGGTTGTCTGCAAACTAGCCACAATACTTATGGAGTACAAATCTGCCAATATGGCATGATCTTTTGATAAAGATTGAGTTTCTTTTACTAAATGTTGCCAACAGGCAAATGTTGAAAATATCGGCCAGTGATCTCTTCTGAATACAAGAAAATTTTGAGGATTTGCCAATATAATTCATAAATCACACTGGTAGAGGTTATTGGTATCGGCATTTTTAAGTTTTGAAAGTTATAAACCAGAAATTTAAATAATCGACTGACTTTTCAGTTAAATTGTTAAATAATTAAAAAATTACTTACATTACTATTAATTTAAGACATTCTTTTAAAAATTAACGAGTTTTTTTTTTTTACTAAATTTTGAAGACATTTCTAATGCACTAATAGAAATTATGCTGTTGAAAACCTATATCAATAAATACATTGGTGCGAATCCAATTTGGATCTGACTTAAACTCTTAACATATTTCGTACCTAAATCGGATTCAAGAATCGCACTTTCGTGACATGTGTGTAAAGCGAGAATCATTGAGAATAGTAGTGCCTATAATAATACTTTAAATTTTTGCCAAGTATGCCGCAATTACAATTTAAAAATAAATAAATATGCGATTGTATATTACTTCTGTTTCTGTTCCTTGTGTTTTAAAAGTAGACCTCGAGCAAATTTTTCTAAGCTTTTACTATAGTCAAGTTCTAACTCTCCACGACGGCGAAAGAAATCCTGAATTTCCTGAATTAATCCAACTTGGGACTCAACTCTTGTGTCGAGGCACCGCAGTTGCTCATTAAGCTGTTGACGAATGCCTAAAAAAATTAAAAAGAAAGTATGTTGGTTTCATGCTAACTTAGACTTCTGTTTCGGTTTAAAAAATATTGTGAATCTCAATGTTATTTCATTTATTGTAAAATAAAAAGAAATAACTCTTTTAACTACAGAAAATTTTTAATTTTATTTAGTCTTTGCATAAAAAAACCGTGACCAAGTAAAAAATATTCAGACTACTTAGAGAATTTTTTTTACGAATATCAGACTAAACCTTTCGCCAATTACTCACTACTAAACATTACGATCTTTCTAGTTGATCCCACTCTTTTCATAGGGCTTTTTATATCCTGGTCCTTTTCGCCCATCTTCATATCATCAGCAAGACCTGAAAAAAAAAATTTATGTAACATAAAGGATATTTTGTGTACAAAATCAGTAAATGCGAGATCCTGCATATTTGCCTCACAAGATGTCGTTGCTTTATTACAATGTTGGCAACTCTACCTAGGACATACATACAAAATCATTTCTCCTTTTCCCCAGTTTTTTGCCACATAAAGTAGGTCCAACGCCCCATTATTTTGAACGAGATATTTAAAATAATCTGTTTATAAGAGTTATTAAACGTTTTTAACAAATAATCTCTAATAGATACTCCCTAATAAAACAAAGAAAGCACGAAGAGTGTAAACAATTTCAAACCGGTTCAACTCAAAACAAATTTCATAGCTATTTATTTTTTAACACCTTATAAGATTTTCATTAAGCTTTCTAGTACATTTTACAACAGTTTATTTTCATTTAATAAACTTGTATTCAATATTTAAATGAAAATATAAATTTGTCGGAGCAAACTTACGAGTCTTAGGAATATGTATACGCTATTAAATTGTTTTTATTAGAGTATATAAGCAAAAAATGGTACGAAATGGAAACAGAGAACTTACGTGGGACATAGAACACAACAGAAAGGAATATATATTTATTCTTAATTATATTATAAAGTTTTTTATATATTAATTACCAAATTTATAAAAATTAAAAAAATACTTTTTATGAAGCAGTTTCAGTATTTTTTTTCTTTTTTTGGGGTAGGCATCCATTACGAGATAATAGCCGAATTAACAGTCGTTCCTTCTCCATAGGGAATGTTGTAATTCTTCTTGTTGCAAACGCGTGAGCTATTAGATTTTATTCGACTTTTACGACAGGAATTCTTTACTTTTCGTTTTCGTTTTCGACCCTATTGTCTACAGGACCTAGCTGGAGTAGTCATGTAGAAACCCAGCTGGCTATTTGTTGTAATTGCTGCTTGAAACCTGACTCGATGTCTAACTTTCTGTGTTTGTGTTGACGGGCGTTATTTGCACAGATGTTGATGCGGAATCTGGGAATACCTGACAAAGATATTTTGAGCCCGCGCGAAGTCGACCTTTAAGAGGTTGTTCACGAGTCAGGTAGCTCTGCCTGTAACCGGATGGGGGAGGTCGAAGCAAGGCTACGAAGTTTTCGTCAGATGAAACAAATATTTATCATAATAAAATAGATTTCACTTCCTATGAGGAGTTTTATTTCATGTCAGAAATAAACTCGGAGGGATGTCAAGGACGACCACAATTAGAAAATTTAACTTAATTTTCTATTTAATTAATTTTCTAAAAGTTTTTAGATGTTAGTACGACACCAGGATTTGCACCCGAGCCTTCCGAATGGCAGTACGCAATGCTAACCACTCGGCTACCGCGAAATCATTTAAAATAAAATTCTTTTTAATAAATATGTGGTAGAAAACGTAAAAAAGGTGAAGCAAAACCATGTTCCATACCTCATGGTTTATGAACAATCCAATATATGCATTTTAAAGGCCAAATTTCAAACATAGATTGACCATTCAATAATTGTTTAAGTTTTTGTCATACTCAATTCATTATATATTATAATTATTTTTATTTTTATTATTATTTTTGTTAAGGTATCTGTAAAGTAATATTTACTTATTCTTCACACTATCTCTGTTGTACTAAAAAAGATATGGAAATCTTATTGTACTAATGCTTTGTTATTATTATTAAATAAAATAAAATTAGTTTTCCAAAAGTTTTTAGATGTTAGTACGACACCAGGATTTGCACCCGAGCCTTCCGAATGGCAGTACGCAATGCTAACCACTCAGCTACCGCGAAATCATTTAAAATAAAATTCTTTTTAATAAATATGTGGTAGAAAACGTAAAAAAGGTGAAGCAAAACCATGTTCCATACCTCGTGGTTTATGAACAATCCCTAATGAAATTTACAATAACCTATATTTTTACTTTTTTCATGGTTATCAACCGGCTAGGCAGCTTGCACCTTTCCAATTAAGTTCGCATACTCAATTTTTAGTATTGCTGTTAGGTTCTCCGCAGCGGGCGAAAAGGGATATTTTTTGCAACACATTTATGAATATAACATCCGCACCTCTGGTTAAAAGACAATGCAATTAGATTTCAGCGAACCCTCCCACAGAATATATCGGAATGGCTCTACTGAAGCTTCCTTGCTTTTGGGCTTGACACAAGTAACTGCATACCCGGAACCAGACTAAACCCAAATACACACATGTTTTTTTCGTGTTAATTTGCTGTGCAAATCAAGAAGAACTGAACACAAATAAAAATATTTCAAAACGTGTAGAATAGTTATTTGTCAAATGGTGTTTGTGAGACATATGTATTTAAAGCCGATAGCAGATAGAACTTTCTGCATTACGTCACATTTCCGAAATTGCCGCAGAGTGAAAAATGCCATGGCTATGATGCAGTGAACATTTTTCCATGGATTTGTTTTGAAATTTTAAAAAAGATATGAGATAGCCAACTTTTGGCGTTGCTTTGGTGCAAGCGTCAATATTCCGCGCGCGTCCGATCTGGCATTGGCTTATGATGCGAGAGGTGCTCCTTCTTCAATTGCATAATTATTTACTGAATTAGCGAGTTTCTAAAGCGTAAACCGTTAATTAAGGGCAGTGATTCACTAATGGCTGTGTTTGTTGAGAACATCAGTAAAAATTAGCCAGTAACGAAATTGAAAAAGTAAGGTGCCTTAGTCTCCCAAAGAAAGAGAGGACCGTTCGACAAATCCTATTGTAGTCATCATCATTTGACGGCTATAAAGCATCATAAATTTCAATGCAAAAAATTTTGAATACAATTCATAAATAAAAAATGCTATACAATTACCAATTTTATAGAAATATTTAGGAAAATAATTAAAAGCAGAAAAAATAAACCATAAATGAAAGGCCAAAATAAACATATGTTGTACAACTTACTGTTTAATTTTTACTGAATCCTGTTCGGTGAAAACTGAATAAATTTCATTCTTTGGGAGAGTAAGACATAGTACTCTCTCAATTTCGTTACTGACTAATTTTTACAGATATTTCTCAACGAATGCACTTAATAGTAAACATAAGAGGTTCATTTTTTTGTATGAAAAAAATCTGATTTTCACATCCACAGGTCCCTTATGCAACATTTTTGTGTCCCCATCATTCACTGATGTATATATGAATGCAGGTGGATACTTACTTTGTATTATACTAAAAATTTAAACTATGGAAAGATCTTGAGGGTCACAATTATCTACATTCCATCTCAATTTACAATGTGTAAAGAATTATATTATTTTTCACTTTAAAAACTAATTGTCTGTCATTTCGACATAGTTGGTGGCTTTGAAGATTTGATAATCCGATGGCCAGGTGCTGAAGGTGAAAGGCTAAGAGGGGAGGGCATATCATGGCGTTTATCTTGAATAGACAAAGGAAGAAATTGTTGTTGACGTTTTTTGCTCAAATTGTTTATATTGTGATTATTCTCGCTCTTTCCAAAAAGGATCGCTAAATGAACGGCGCAGAATAGACCCAAGCTCTAAAATATAAAAATTGTAAAACATACAAAAATCATTATTGTAAGAATTGAATAAAGAGATGTAAGAAATAAAGTATGTAAATAATACCTGTACAACAGCTATGGTTGCCGCACCCAATGAAGTAAGTAATAAACGATATCTAATTTGCTCAGATACAACGGATAAACAACCTCGCTTGTAGTGAGTGTCACATGCGGATTCGTAAGCATGTTCTGGTCTCGAGCAACAAGACCATGGTAGGGATAGCCGACGATAATCCAAGGGGCCGTCCACTCCACAACATTGCAGCTATAAGTAATTCAAAATATACGTAAATAATTTATGTGCATATGCATGCATGCAAATTTCACACTTCCAAAGTCTTAGTCAAAAAATCGAATTCATTACCGGTAAATTTGCCGCATTAAATGCGATAATTATTGTAATAATAATTATTATTCTTTTCTTAGTAACCTAGTACGCAGCGCAGAAGTAAAACACGTACACATTTTGTTTGTTTGTTGCACTAATCTGATAATAGATTTGGCTTGGAATACATGACAAAATGAAATGCCGTTGATCTTTAAGATAGCGTTTATCTCATAAAATATATATTGATCAGCAAAATTAAAAAAAAATACTTTTTAGTAGAACTCAATCTGCATTTTGATAGTTTTTAAAAAAACTATTGTGCAATGGCTTTTATCAGATTTGCAGTGTGGTAAATGGGGTATAAAGCAAAAATCCATATATAACGAAAACCATAATTGTAGTCAAAACAGATACACTTAAACATATTTTAACGAATTATCTGCCCTTGCAATATTTTATAAGCAACACTTGCGCTTAATACATTTCAATATTGTCTGGGCCTCAACTTTCTTTATTAAAGGAATTAATAATAATTTTGTATGTATTAGGAGTATATAAATTCATTCATGTATATGGTTACAAATTCTAATAAAAATAAATATTACCTGCGATTGCATTCGATTCCATAAATGCAAATTATCAACCTTCGTCCTAGAAAATTTATCCAGAAATTCAACGAACGAATCATCTATAAAAATCTCTACAGAAGTCGGAAGGCTTTCGCGCATTGCCAAGGACCAGCCACATATAAAGAATTGAAAGCATATGCATGCCACCAGTGCTGCTATGAACTATATGTATTAAAAAAGAGTTTTTTTTTTTACCAATATAATGAGAATTGTAAATATGATATTGTGGAAATTATTTTAGTAATACCGTTCCTAGTAGACATCGTTTTCTTTGATTTGTAGCTTGGCATCCCATCCAGCACAGAAGAAATGTAATTGGTCCTAGGCATAACAGTATCGCGGCTGGAGCCCATAATTTATTTTGGACAATGCCGTAATAACCAGAATGACCCCATAACAAAATTGTGCCAACTAGTATTTGGGCAGCACCAGTTACCTAGAAATTTGTACAAGCATGAGTATGTGTACATACTATTGTATGTATTAGGCACATTTGCAGAATTCAAATCTAATTTAAACAATATTCAAGACGTATATTTTTACTTAATATGTTAAATTTTAAGGATATACAATGTTTGCCCAAACATACGGTTTTTGTTTGCTTATCTCCATACATGTGTATGTTATACTCGTAGAATGCATATGTGTAGTATGTATGTATATTTAAATAATTATAACTAAAAAACATAATATACACATTTCTGTAAGTACATACATATGTACAATACATACATGTGAGCAAACAAACACAAATAAACATTTTTCCAAAATGTTTTTCAGAGCACTTGCATATTCGAGGGCATGCGTTGCATATTAGTTGTAATGATTTCTTTGCAATTCCGATTATCCTTGAGCGCTATTGGGTTAAAATTTTTCAGTGCTCAGCACTTTTCCACAGCAATAAAACAAAATTATGTGAAATTCATCTTACGTACATACCATTAAGAGCACAACGTAGCTGTAAACTAAATATTTAAAACATTTTATCCGCTTTGTTAATGCCATATCATATGCCAACGTTTGCACTGAACGCGAAATTTAGGTGGTAATTCATTTACAGATGTACAATGGAACACAATAAAAGAGGAATGCAGTTATTACCCAATGCACTTTATTACCGCGCTCACAATGGGGTCTTGGACATTGAATCAATTTGAATTATATATTTTAATCTTCAAATGACATAAAGTTTTAAGCATTTTGACTATTCGGCTATGCAATTATAATTTACAAGTATTTCACGTGCCCGATAAAACCAAAGTTATGTTTGAGTTTGCTGTGGTTATTGTGTATATAAGATAGCACGATAAGTGAAATCAGTTTAATAAACTGTTTGACTTTTCCTATGCTTGTGTTGCTATCCTTCAAGCTTGCTTCGATGTGTGACGTCCTTCTAAGCTTGTCATATTATCTATAACTCATGTATTAAAATTACCATAGAATAGTGCGAACACAAATGGTGCCATATTTCAAATAACACACTCTCAAACTTAAAATATTCTTTCAAATTAGATTTTTACTTTTCAATTGCGCTACATCCATGTACAAGCATACATAGGTATGCTAGCATTTAAATATGTTTCTTTAAACAAATCGGAATAATATAAAAAATCCACGATTAAAATGGTTCACAGTGAACGTAAAAGTTGGTTTTAATTTAATGGCTAGCGCAATAACTGATTGGTATATTAATATATATATGTATGAATATATATATATATATAATTGGCGCTCTATAGCCGCTGAAACGATTTTTCGGCCGAGCTCCTCCTCCAATTTGTGGTTTTGCGACTTGATGTTTTTTCCAACAAATGGTGGGCCCCATAGTTTATACATAGCCGCCTACGAACCGCTCTTTACGAGAAGCCTTTATTTCAATACATTCCCTGCCGAGGGGCGGCCGCAATTAAAAAATTTATCTCAATTTTCATAACTTTTGGATGTTGGTAGCGCAGGGATATGAACCCAAGCCTCCCGATTGTCAGTACGCAATGCTAACCACTCGGCTACCGCGGCCATCGGTTGAAATTAACAAATTTTTTATGAACCATTCAGATGCTTATCAAATCGCAGGACGCTTTTTGTGAATTACTTAAATATTATTTTAGACAAAAAAATTAAAAAACATGCTTATGTATATATGTGTGAATGCATAGCAATTATATACATGTGCAAATGTATTACATTATATACTTGATATTTCAAAGAGGAAAGGAATGCAATCGCAACAATTAATAAAAAATGAGAAACGCGACAACCAATTTTCTGCTCTCGGAGCTGAAGACTCCCACTGTAATCCCTTTGGAATTTATTACGATTCATTTCAATACGAAATCTTTTAATTAAATTAATTAGAAGTTAAGTCGTTCACATTTAACTGTTCAATCTAACTGATCTGTCGTTCTAAAAATTGCACTTAAGTGGTCATAAGGTGCCAATTACATACGTTTGTAAATACACATATTTAAATGGTTTAAGATCGAAAATTTCAAGACAAAGAAAAAAGGTAATGAAATTCGAAATTTGCCTTAATTTTAGTGTTGAAAATGTATCCCAAATTCTTTCACGTGAATAGATGGCATTAACAACAATTCAACATTTCATTGAATTAGTAGAAGTGCCCTACTCTTCCCTGAAAAACAAAGAACAACACATACTATTGGATAATTTTTGTAAATTCAATAAGTTGGAAATATATGATATATATATATATATATATATATCTATGTATATGTAAGTACATATATACATACTTGTATAGGTATACACACAGATATCAGCTGATTTCAATCGCTTGGTTTTCATTTCAAACACAAATGGTTGTGACTCATGCGTTGATGACGATATAATTCGTGTGCAGAAGGCCTCACTCACTTTTTGTTCTCACCGTTTCGTTGAGAATTTTAGTTTTAATATTAACATTCTTTGCGTTTACGTTGTATAGGAATAAATTATGCATATGTACTTGCGTACATGATATGGGCATGATGTTTATTGTAGAAAAACTTTGTAATTTTTTAATGAAGTTTGAATTTTTGATATCTTCTAAATTTAGATACAAATACAAGTCATAATAGATTTCTTCGGTATCGGAATTCTAGCATGTCCTCGATTATTATTGCTTTAAAGCTAAATACCATTTGAAATAATTCTAAATATCCAACAATTTTTTCTGACCTCTATGGATTTATAATGTACTTATACATATGTATATACCTGTGTGTACATATGAATATGAATATCATACATATGAATATCCATCCGTATGTTTACACTTAAATTAATGGGTATACATTGGATTTAACAGTATATTGAACATGTATCTTTTTACTTCAAAATGTGATTGATAAAATCGAAACTGAAGTGTTGTTTGCATAATGCATACATACATATGTAAATAATTATAGGAAATAACACTTCCTAATTTGCCCGAATATTACTTAAAAAACTACAAACTACCGCAAGCATATTAAAATGCATTGAATTTACATATACTCTACAACATTACATTCATATGTTTATACTATAAGCATATTTACATAAATATTTTTATAAATACATTTAATAACATTTATAAATACATAATTTGTTCCCTCTAACTGTCTTCAAGGGTTTCGGCCGAACTTTTACCGATTTGCGCTGTGCGCCGCAAGGTTTTTCTCACAAATGGTGTTACTTACCTCTGAACCGTTAAAAGGTTCTTATGAGAAGCTGTTACTTTACGCTCGGAGAACTAGCATTTCCTGCACATTTTAGATATTGGTCAGGTCGGGAAGCGAACTGATGACTCTCCGGGTCATAGGTCGCTCTAAAACTCAATCGGATACTGTTTCCATCAGAAATATGTATGTAAGTATAATTATATAGTACACTCAGAGAAGCTTTAAATAAAAATTATAAATTAATTGAGTTGGTGAAAAAAATTTAAAAATAGAATCTCGTTGTTCAGTAAAATCTACTACTTTCTATTTTTTAACATTAGTTGTTATAATCCATTTAAATAATAAGGAAATAAATAAAACTTATGAGTAAGATCATGACATTTTTTGAATATTTATTGTGCTTCTAAATATTTATGCATGAGTAAACGATTCTTTTCTTCAAAAATCTCATATAATTTGTCAGTAAAAGCTTTCTCCCTCTCCCTCTATTAATGCCACAAACGAAGAGATGGTAAACGAGAAGAAATTAACGAATCTCTTGAACACTGGCCATCTCTATCTAAAACACAAAATTCAGATACGTTGTGCCGTGTGCACTCACAAATATAGACTACCTGCGTGCAGCAACCTTTCAGTTCATTTGAGATCGTTGCTAATCGAGGAAAAGTACTTTGGCGCGGTGCTCCGAGATATTTCACCTAGTTTAATAAAAATTAAATAAGAAAATATTCCAGTTACCTAAGGTACCAAAATTAAAGTTTTATCCTTAAACGTAGAACAAACGTTAATTGGTTTTGAATGTTTTCGAAAGTGTTTTTTTGAAGAGATTAAAAATTGAATAACATTAGAACTTAAAGAAGAACATATAGATCAACCTATACCATACGAAAGTCTAAACTTCTTTCTATGTTGGCATATGTAATTAATTTAATTTATTTTTATATGCAGATATAAACATGCCGTTCACACCTGTCGAGACACCAAAATGCCCAAAATGTGGCAAATCTGTATATGCCGCTGAAGAAAGAGTAGCTGGTGGTTACAAGTTCCACAAAACCTGTTTCAAATGCGGTAAGAAAAAGAGATTCAGTGTCACAATGAAATCTTTATATACATTGTTTTCAAAATTTTTCGCCCACTTAAGGAATGTGCAACAAAGCCTTAGACTCCACAAATTGCACGGAACACGATAAGGAATTATTCTGCAAAAATTGTCATGCCCGTAAATATGGGCCAAAAGGATATGGTTTTGGTGGTGGTGCTGGTTGCTTGTCAATGGATACCGGAGCACATTTAAACAGAGAGTAAGTAACTCACATTATCATTCAATGTTCTTTCCGTGCAAAAGTACATATATATGCATGCATATGAATATATGTATTTAGTTGGGATAAATTTTCTTATAACTTACATATGCACATATGGGAATATACATATGATTGCCAATAAAAGGTATTAACGAATTGTGGCAAGAAAAATGCGCTAATAATCAAAAGTTTAACTTGATTTTTGAAAAAAATATCAAATTCACACACCAACATGGAAGCTGTAACTGTAACTGTGCCTTATTTATTTATATTTAACTAATGTTCTTATATATAATATGTAAAAGTTTATGTGCGAGTGTGTGTGTCATGCATACATACAACGATAAATGTAATCATTTTTTTATGTATTTGTTTTCCACACTTCTTCTATTAATAGATGAATTCTCATTTCAATTATACGTATGTATGTATGTTTACATTTTCTCTTTATTCCAATTCTATTCTAGTACATCCTATTTTCATTTGCAAATACATTGCCATAATCTAATATTCAAAACGATTATATATCAATATAAAAAAATTTCAATTTACATACATACATACATGATGTTATTTAATTATAAGCGTACACATACAAAGCACCACACACAATATGCATTTAATAGACTATGAAGGTTCTTCTAGTGTTTTTTTTTTTTACATCATTCAAAGCATAAAATCTTTTATTCATTTCCTGATTCTCCCATTGTAAAAAAAAAATTGTTGAAGACTTTAATAAATACTGCTATGGATATTTCTTGTAGTTGACTTTCTACGCGCTACAGATTCAAAGTGTATGTAATCAGGAAAAAATACAATAAAAACAAAATAAGACAAGAGTAATAGAAGGATCAATATTCATTTAATATTGGTGACTTAAGCTAAATAAATGAAAGTGAAAATATAATTTCAAGCTTGTGCATGCTTTGCATAAACGTTTAACCTATGAAGAAGTTCACATTAAAATTTCGAATAAAATTTTTCTAAATGCCAATCGCATCATGCTTTAACTTTATTTTAGAATATTTGAAAACGCATTATGTTTTCTTTAAATTCAAACATATTATTATTTTCTCATATTATCGCAGCAACTAATTTACGTGGCGAAAGATAGACGCAGCGATGGAGTTCAGGATTCAAATTGTTCTGTCGTGTTAATGTGAACACCTTTCCCGTTAAAATAGTCTACCACATGTTCCAATGTTTTATCACATGTCGCCTCGAAATAATATTAATGTTTGTTTTTTGTATTGATGCATATTTCATAAATATATGTATGTATTTGTGAAATGTTATTAAAAAATATATATAAAAATAAAATTGAATTTTATTTACGAGAAAAATTGCATTCAACATTTTTGCAATGGGAGATGTAGCATTTTAATATTTGTAATTACAATTTACCGACATAAAATGCTTATTTACATATTTATGTACGTATATGTATGTTTACATACACATTTTTCATGAAATTAATACGTACAAGTAGGTAAATAACTGTTCTATGTAAGTACGCACGTAACACTTGTAGATGAACAAATCCATTAATCATATAAATACATACGTGTACATATCTACAATACTATGTATTTATACCAGCTGGACTTGTGAGTATGAAAGCATAGATTCAACATTGAACCTCCTGAACTATTTCTTAAAAATGCAAATACCTATAATGTTACATATGTAAAGCACATGACTTAATAAAATTATAATATAACGTATGAATGTAAGCTTGTATGTATGTGTGTGTTGTGATTGTAAGTCTTTTAGCTTTTTTGCCCCATTCTTCACCACATTGAATGATAACCGGTTTGGGGTATGCGTTTTAATGCTTTCCAACAAAAGGAGAGACCTAGAGTTTATACTAAGCCCCATTCGAACGGCTGTTCATACTTACAGCACTTAACTGTGCCTAACTTTTTGAATAAATGCTTCTTGCTTGCTATATTCGATTTATAGCAATATTAGTTAAATTTATTATAATAGTATCAACTAAATAGTAACATAATTACATACATACACATATTAATTTTTAGCACAATTAATAAAAAAAATATATATTTTCATTCATTCGCCTGCTTCCGAGTAAAACATTTTTTAATTTTTAAATAATAGTGACATCGATGGCGTACGTAATGGAGCTCGGTTGGAACCCCGAGTGATAGCCAAAGCCCCAGAAGGTCAGGGGTGTCCCAGATGTGGAGGTTACGTTTATGCAGCGGAACAAATGTTGGCCCGTGGCAGAGTAAGTATGCAATATTTAAAGGATTAGAAAATTGTAGTAGAATAGGGCCATAGATGTAAAAGTTTTTGGTTTCCCGTGAATGTGTAAGTATTTACTTTGAGTAGAATAAGGTATTATACATATAAATAACTAATAATAAGTATATCGATACGTACAATAAGTCCGGTAATTCGTTTCTCTTATTTACATAAAATATTTGAAAATACTAGGGATATCATAGACGATGCTTCAAATGTTTGCTTTGCAACAGATCACTGGATTCTACCATGCATTGCGATGGTCCTGACAAAGATATTTATTGCAGAGGTATAATATTAAAGAAAACATTTATGTGTTATATGTTTTTCTTGTAATATGGTATAAATGTTTTTCAAACATTACAAAAATATAATAGTCTCGTTGATGAATAATATGTGTCACACACATGCGGATATTTACCTCATTCATAAATGTATGTATATGAACATACATGAATGTGGTTGTTATTTTGAAGATGTGACGATTTTCTAGATACAACAACAATTCGTCTTTACACGGAAATCCGGTAAATCAAATTTTTAAAACTACAGCTTAGTAAAGCCGCTTCAAATTTCTCTGATTACATGAACCTAAAATTTTTCTCATACAATTCAGAGCCTACATTAAATACATACATAGACATATATATCTAAACATATGTATTATTATTAAACATTAAATTAAAAATTATTAAAAATTAAACGAGCTATATATAATATATAATTTTCCTTCGCAACTCAAAATTTCATTTCTTTGTCTCTTAAAGAAAGCTCTTAGGATTAAATAGCTATTAGTAGATGTCGCAAAAATAAAATAAAGATGTATAATCATACGAATGTATAATTGGAGAAATATCCCAAACTAATTGCTGCACATCATGAACTTATTCGAAACAAATGAAGAAAAAATGTACTGATAAGCTTCGCGCAATAGCATTTTCGTTAATTTTTTGGTGTTGTAGGATTATTAATAATAAAAACCACAACTTCATGCTTACAAGTACACAGAAATACATATTTAGTTGGAAATAATGAGCTCATTTTATATTGAACTTTATTCATTTTGGCAGCAATGGCACAAAGAGTGTTTTAAGTGTGGCAACTGCTCTAAAGGTCTTGATTCCATCCTTTGCTGCGAAGGTCCAGACAAAAATATTTACTGCAAAGGTATACAATTTTGTTTTTTGAAAATATTGTAATAAATATTTTCTTATAACCACATTACCTTGTGCATTCAAACATCCATAGACTCATGCTTTCATCACTTCCTATCGTTTAAAAACTTTCATACAGTCAATGTTATTCCTATCCTTACAAATTTTTCCTTTGTTCAAAAATAGCTTGTTATGCAAAGAAATTCGGACCTAAAGGCTATGGATATGGTCAAGGGGGTGGTGCTCTCCAGTCTGATTGTTATGAAAATGGGTAAGTAATTAACAGTCGTTTGACACTTTTTATGTTTCATACATCTATGTACATATATATGCATGTATGTATGTATGTACGAGTGTGTTTATAAGTAAGAATAAAGGCATGTTCTGTTTATGAAAATTTATGTGGGGAGTAGCTATGTATGCATATGTGTTATTGTCCATCTTAGTAAATTTATTCAGCAACGTTTGTAAATATACGATACTTACATATTTCACATGAAACAGGTTGTTATGCTCAGAAGTTTGGCGCCAGGGGTTATGGTCATTTAGGAATATCTTCGATGGGACTTATGTCTGACATAAGAGATGCCGAATGGCAAAGGTATACATATATATGTATGTATGTTTCCATATTAAAAAATTACATTTAAACAAGAACTACATATATTTAATTATAAAAGGTCTTAAGAAATTACGTACATGTGTATATGTATGCCACATTTTTTAACTTTCAACCATTAAACGTGGTAAGCAAGATATTTACTTCTCGTTTACAGAAGATCATAGGATATGTATGGATGAGTGCATAAGTTCGTGCCCGATTTCAAGTGCAAACTAAAATTGAAATTTTTTGAAGAAAGCGCTTTTATTAACCAATTATGTATTCACCATCATTTTCGGCAATCCACTCCCAACGTTCAACCAATTTACGGATGCCTGATTCATAGAAATCGCGCGGTTTCTCGTTGAAAAAGGTGTCAAGGTGGTTTTTGACGTCTTCCACATTTTTAAATTTTTTTCCATTCAAATTGTTCTGCAGCGATCGAAACAAATGATAATCAGAAGGTGCAATGTCGGGTGAATATGGGGGATGCGGCATGATTTCCCAATTCATCTCCTTCAGTTTGGCCAGGGTCGGTTTTGCAACATGTGGCCTGGCGTTGTCATGATGGAAAAGAACTCCTTTGCGATTGGCCAAAATCGGACGTTTTTCATCAATTGCTTTCTTCAATTCGACCAATTGCTGACAATACTTGTTGGCAGTGATCGTTTCTCCAGCTGGCAAGAGCTCAAAATAGATCACGCCTCGGATATCCCACCAAATGCACAGCAGTACCTTCATCGGATGCAATCCACCTTTCGACATCGGTTCCGCCCCTTCGTGTGCCTGTTTCCATGTTCTTTTGCGTTGAACATTGTTGTACAGGATCCATTTTTCATCACCAGTCACGAGCCGATCCAAAAAAGGTTCGTTTTTGATCCGTCGAAGCAAAGAAATTGCTGTTGACATACGGTCCACTTTGTTTTTTTCACTCAACTGATGTGGCACCCATGTATCGAGCTTCAAAGTGTACCCAACCTTTTTTAAACGACGAAACGCAGTTGATTTGTTGACGTTCAATTCACTGGCAACCTCTTCCGTCGAAATACGTGAGTTATTCGCAACTAAAGTCCTTAGAACATCGTCATCAAGCTCAGAAGGCCGTCCACTGCGAGGTTGATCTTCGAGGTTAAAATCTCCAGAACGAAATTTCGCGAACCATTTCTTTACTGTGCGGAGTGCTGGAGCACGGTCCAAATAAACTTCGCGAATATCTTTAGTCGCAGCGCCTACTGTTTTTCCTTTGCGGAATTCGTATAACATAATATGACGCATATAATCTTTTTCGTTGTCCATCTTCCATGCGTCTTTTCACAAAGCAACTCAAATCAAAATGAAGTTATTTTATGCTTGATTTACAGTTCGGACTATCACCTTTCCAACGATATATAATATGTATATATTTCTTTCACGAGCGCCACTCTCAAGCGGAATCGGGCACGAACTTATGCACTCATACAAGTGTGTTCCAATTTTATCGAACTCATCAGAGTTGCATAGGAGATATTAATAGAATTTGTAATATAAACCTGAAGCAACAATCTATTCGAAAGAATCATATTATTGAAATTAATTTTTGCCAATAAAATGTTGTTTTAACCACTGAAGCGATTTTTGGACGAGCTTCACCTGCGTTTTGTCGTGTGCGTCTTAATGCTTTTCTAACGAATGGAGGGGCCTGCAGTTTATTCTAAGCAGCCTCCGTACGGTCGTTGGATTTTTATGAGCTTATATTTCAAGTCATTTGCTGAGGGGCAACCAAAACTAGAATAATTAATTTTCTCCCTTTCGAATTCCAATACGTAATATTAACCTCTCGGCTTTTAAATAAAGCCACAGCAATGTGTGGCTCAGTCTACTAATATATATACATATATATATAATATATATATATACTACATATACATATATAAACATCTCACTGTTTACTAAACAAAAATCAAAATGCCAGCATATAAACAAATCTGATATTTTAACATTTATTTATATAGTGATCTAGCACCGAAAGTAGCAGATATAGATGTAGGAAAGATACAGGCACGCCCAGGTGAAGGTTGTCCACGTTGTGGTGGCGTAGTGTTTGCCGCGGAATTGGTCCTTTCTAAAGGCCGGGAATGGCACAGAAAGTGCTTTAAATGCAGAGATTGCACAAAGACTCTGGATTCGATTATTGCATGCGATGGACCCGATAAAGAAGTTTACTGCAAAACTTGCTACGGAAAAAAATGGGGTCCTCATGGTTATGGATTCGCTTGTGGATCTAGCTTCTTACAAACTGATGGCATGACGTTAGTATTGTTTTTTTCAGAAATTTAATAAAAAGACAAGCTTATCACCCAATATCACTCGCAGTGAAGAACAGATTTCCTCTCAACGCCCATTTGTATGTCCCGATACGACTTCAATCAAAGCCCCTGAAGGTGAAGGTTGTCCACGTTGCGGTGGTGCTGTATTTGCTGCCGAACAACAACTCTCCAAAGGACGAATGTGGCACAAAAAATGCTACAACTGTACTGAGTGCCACCGACCCTTAGATTCGATGCTCGCTTGTGATGGACCTGATAAGGATATCTACTGCAAAGCATGCTATGGAAAACGCTTCGGTCCCAAAGGATTTGGTTATGGACACGCACCAACTTTGGTGTCTACCTCTGGTGAATCCACAATTCATTTGTAAGTATTTAGTGGTTGTAGTCAATGTATCTTCTCAAGTTATATACCAAACACATTATTTCTCAACTCTTAATTGTTAAACATTTTAGCCCAGAAGGTAAACCTCTAACTGGTCCACGTTCATCAGGGGGCTGTCCACGTTGCGGATATGCAGTTTTCGCCGCTGAACAAATGATTAGCAAGAGCAGAATTTGGCACAAGCGATGTTTCCATTGTGCTGAATGCAGAAAGTCTCTGGATTCGACCAACTTAAATGATGGTCCGGATGGTGATATTTATTGTAGAGCGTGTTATGGTCGGAATTTCGGACCAAAAGGTGTTGGTTTTGGACTTGGTGCGGGCACCCTTACTATGACATAATGTACTTTTCCAAACTGATATATGTATATATATGTATATATGTATGTTTGTGTATACTTCTGTACATATTTATATACATATATATGCGTACACATATGTGTTAATATGTAGAGACATACGAGTATAGAGTAAAACAGCAAAACCAAAAACGAACTAAACGAAATGCAAACGGCTATCATTTTCAGTACGAAGTAGGTATTATATAATAAAATCACGACATAAAAAATAACGATCTTTTTTAAAACGAAAACTCGCGCCACAAATAAGTTTACATCGAGGACGAAGTTTAATTTTTATTTTGTTATTAATTTATTTTTTATAAAAGAGTGTATGTGTTAAGATTTTTTAATCAAAATTTGCATATTTTATTTGCGCAGATCATTCAATAACATTTCAAATTTTTTCTTATCAATATTACCGTGTATCAAGAGATCGTGTGAAAAACTTTGAAACTAGCTATTGACTGAATTGCTCTCATAGAATGTGGGTACATTTTTTTAAATACTAAGTATATAGTATATTAATAATAAACGACAGCAGTAAATGTGTGTACGTATAATGCAGAAGTTGTCGCCAAGTATTTATGTATATTAGTGCCTTTTGTATGAAAAAATTGTGCGTATTTGAGAACAAAATGAAAAACGAAAGACCCTAAATTGAGCTTTTATTTCTTGTCAGAAGGTTTGACACTCGGCTATTGTGGCCGCAGTTAATTACACAGAAAGTAAGTAGAGATTATCAAGCCAAATTCTTGTTAAAACGGTCGAGATGCAGGTAATGAATAAGAACTACTACTTTGACAACTTCAGAAAATGGTCAACACAGCTCATACTGCGCCTGAAACTGCCCTATGTATGTCTTTTTGTAAAACTTTAGGAGCGTGATTGGGCGGGAAATAGGGATTGAACGAATTATAGAGATTAAATGATTTTAAAAAGGATACTAAACTAGATTTTATACCTTAGATTTAACTGCACAAGTGAAATCAGCTCATGAAGCTTTATGTATTCTAAATCGATACTCATGGCGAATTTCGATCGAAAACTAAAAAGAAACAATTTAATTTCCCCTTTGATTATCATACTGTCAATCAAGAATAACATTTAAGAGCATGCTAGAAAATCCATCGGAATATAAATATTTTGTGTGCAGCAGTCAGAATTAGAGGCTAAATTTAAATTAATCGAATAATTTGATATGAAATAATAATATTATTTCCTATCAATGTAATCTCTAAAAGTCGGTCAATGGATAATTAAACCAAATATAATAAGATATGGAGCTTATTCACATTACATAATACCGAACATATTTACACATCAAGAAGAGCTGCTGAATAAAAAGAACCAACCACTGGGTAAACACAAAAAGCGGCGGTGCTAATTAAAAATATCACATTTTTACTTGCAAAACTTGCAAAACATTAAAAGTTTATTTTTTGATTATCATAAGGAAAAGCTTGCTGTAAATTTTGTAATAATAACGTGCATTCTCTGTAAGCCAAAAAAACGTAAAGTTCCTTTAAAGGTCCTAAAAACTATTTTGTTCTAACGCTATGGCAAGGCTTGGATATATTATAAATGGATTTTTAAAGCACTCTCACGATATGAAGAGTTTAGCATTGTACAATCGAGTTCATTATCTGGTAATCCGTGAAGGGACCAACGATGACTAGATACGAAACTCTTTATTCCGTGAGAGCGCTCAAAAATCCGCATTTTTTATAACATTTCTGAACAGTGCCACTGTGATGGAAAAACGACTTATTTGGATTTTTAGGTATATTTTGGGTATTTTATTACAAACAACGACGTCTTTAATTGCAATTTCACTGAAAAATTTCATTGAGAAACAATTCAGTATTTAATTATATTAAGTTTTAGTAATAAAATTACAATAATTTCTTTAATATTTACTGCTGAAGCAAATTTCTTTTGAAACAAAAACAATGGATTTTTTTATTGGCATAGTGGCACTGGTGCTTTTTGCACATCAGATGTTGAATGTTCCCCGATCTGACACTGCTGCCAACATTAGAATGTGAGATGGGGGAACGCTCTCAGCTGCGATTTGAGTAAGTTTCGTATCTAGTCATCTTTGAAGGGACTACGTGTTTGGTTATTCATAATTAGTGGTTCATATCAATAATACAAATGCTATCGTAATGAAATATTGAAGAAAAATAACAAAAGCAAAAAATGGTAATTTACCAATATTGTTTTCAACAATTTAAGAATTGAAATCTTTTTTCAGAAAATATCAGCACATTTTAAATGCATTGGTTTATTCGTACTGATATTACTAACGGCATTGAATATATTGTGGACATTTTATTTAATAGAAACAGAAAGTCGCTCAAGATACAACAATAAGCCAACAACACATCACAGAATTGCACCGCAATTGGCTGCATTAGAAGAACACAATGAAGGCATTACCGGGCCACTCAATGACACAGTGTTTGGAAAAAACTCGCAGCATAAATTTAGGCTTGCTTTCGACAATATTAGCTTTGAAACGGGAAGATGGGATAATCAACGAATCTACAAGATGTATGACTTTGCCCTGGTTGGAGATAAATTTGTTAAAACCTCGCTAGAAAACATTGTATGTTTAGCTACTCAAAGCTCTGTGGAACGTTTGTATTCATTAACACAAGTTGCATACCAATGGAAGGGCCCAATTTCCACTGCCGTTTTTATTGCCGGAGACGAAGAGTTCCTAATTTTTCAATACTTTGTAACATATTTACGACTATGCTTCACATTCATTCGTGATAACGTTACATTTCACATTGCTGTACCGAATAAAAAGAAGCCAATACACAGATATATTCCCAATCTTTTAAAGAGCTTTGATTGCAAATACCCTGAGCAAACATTACGCCGTTTGCTGAAAATAAGAAATCCGGATACACTACGTTGGCGTCTAAAAAATGAATATCCTCAAAATCACTTACGAAACTTAGCTAGAAAAGGTTGTCAGAACAAATATGTATTTCTGACAGACATTGATATAATACCAAGCTCAAATATGGTATCACAACTTAACAACTTCCTACCTTCAGTTAAATGTAGCTATAGGTGCGCATATGTTATTCCTACGTTTGAAATAGACAACAGAGCTAAGTTTCCAGCTTCAAAGCCAGAACTTATGCGCCTTTATAGAAAAGGTCTTGCTCGCCCCTTTCACGAGAAAGTTTTTATTTATAACCAATATGCTACGAACTTCTCCCTTTGGCTTACGAATTCTTCAAACGAAATAGAGCGAGCTCATATAAGCCATGTTGTGACAAATTTTGAATTTTTATACGAGCCCTTTTACGTCGCTTTTGACGATGTTCCTGCACATGACGAGAGGTTCATTGGTTATGGGTTTACGAGGAATTCACAGGTTACTTTAAATTTTCACTATTCATACTGTGCTCTTAACAAAAACTCTACTCGATTTCGAGTCTTTGAATTGTAGGTCTATGAAATGTATATTGCTGGATATACATTTTTCGTACTGTCTCCAATTTTTACTTGCCATTGGGGTTTGCAACAGAAAAAAGCCCGTCCGGTTTGGAGGGAACAGCAAAATAATATAAATCGAAAGCGTTTTGAAATATTCAAAAATGAAATACTTGCTCGCTACAGAAGGTACAAACTGTTGATTTTATAGATATGTTTATATTACTTTAACTATTTATTTTTTGTCTATATTTATAGAAAGAGGTCATGATCATAGTAACAAGGTTATAAACAATAAATTTTCTACTATTCATCGCTAAGAAAAAAATAATAGCATGAAAACCATATTCATCTATATAAATGAAACTCCAAATGTATTGTCAATATAAATACAAGTGATAGTAGCCTTAAATAAACTCTAATAAAACGTAATTACAAACCTCTTTTTATCACATTAGTTTAGGCTTCCGCAATCCTATAAGAAAGATAGCGAGGTATAAGTACATACCAACCATAACTGTTGCATGCATACACATTCTACTATATTATATATTGGAGGTCAGAAAACTATGGATCCCTTACACGTGTTAGAATAAGGTTAATACTTTATTGCATGAAGTTTAAAAATTAACTTGAAATAATATAAAAGCACTACAACGTATTGAGATGTGCTATATTTCCTTTAATGAAGACTCGGACAACAACTCCCCTTATATCTTCGATGAGGAAAGCGATAAGTAAAACGAATGAGTCTCTACCAAGAAATTTTATTATATATTTACGAATTAAACGCTTTTTAAGAATGTAAATTTCATTTATACATACGTACTGGTAAATATACCGCGTCTTTGAATATCCCTTTTTATTTTGTAAACTAGCTTTAGTATACATTTAGTGAATATCGGTTTTCAGTGCACAAGTGTTAATTTTTTTGTTTGTTGTAATATTTGAGCTCATTGATGTAATATGCACAAAAATCGTACGTTGGAATATATGTTTTAATAAAATTTAAATAGTCGAGTAATTTTTTGACCGAGTTTAACCAAAGAAAAAAATTTTAAATATTCCTCCGCGTTATATGTGACGGTAAATCAACTTAACTTAAACCATATACACCCTGAGGTATCGATAAATTGTCTATTGAAACATATTTGTATGTGCATTTTATTATATTTATGAAATATGAAAAGTATTTAAAAGTTATAATCTTTAATTGGAATGATTTCGTCCGGCTTCTATTATTGGTATATACATAGCCGCTTGAGGGTTTTGATTTCTCCGTTGATACGTATCATTACCTACACCATTGGTGGAAGCGTCGTCTGCCTAAAATTATCAAATTAATATTACTATTTTATTTTTAATTAATGCAAATAAATTAAAACATTAACTCACCATTTGGCAAAGCAGTGGTGACTCATTGCAACCTGTAAAATCATTTCCTGTATTATTTCGTGCTGCATTATTTGAAGCTCTTTGTATCGTTCGATCCTCATATCTGGTCCGACCTTGAGACGCCATAGGTCTATTAAGAGTATTGTTGACATTATTAGGTGAGTTTGGCGAAATGTTATGAGCTGTAAATGATTTCGAAACGAAATCTTGCTCCTTCCACCCATTTTTTTTATAAACATCACGCAATTCATGATGTTGCCACATTGTGAACAAAACTTGACTGGCAAATTTTAACACACATGAAGTATATTTTTGGCGTTGTTTTGTAATACTCAACAAGCGATCAACACCACCGGCATCAAGCAATGATCGAGAGAATTCTGGATTTTTCTTTATTACCTCATTAACTGTGGCTAATACTGCAGTTATCGTGTCGTCGGAGGTATTCTGATCGTGTTGTGGATTTCCAGTTGGAAGTTTTTGGACTAAATCTCGCATAGCATACTTCCCGATAAGCTCTTTGTTGCGTTGGTCTATGGCTAAATTTCGCAGAGCTGTTGCAACAGCACAAACGACACGGTCAACTTCCATACGAAGCAGTTCCACTAATATCGGTAAACCTTTCTCTTTGCGCACCGTTGCCCGAATATCAATGCTTGGCTGCCAATAACAAGCTGAGAGATTCTGAATCGCGCCAGCAGCCGCTTCTAAAGTTTCTGGATTAGAGCAACTTTGCAATAAAGCTAGGTAGTACTGGACAACTTCTGGTTGCCACAAAAGCTCGTATCTTTTGTGTGACAAACTATTGGGTGCAGAATTTTTTGAAGTACTCGGAGTATAATTATTTTCTGCCTGGTGCTCGGTTTGCGCAGCTTCTTTCTTCTTTTTACTTGTACCGAAACAGCCAAGATTCTCTCCTATGAAAGTATTTAACAATTAACTTAAATAATTAACAATAATTAACATAAAGTTTATATTGTAATAAATATATAATATAAATTATATATGTATGTGTATAATAAATTACATTTTTGCTTTAGTTTACCTTTATAAGAGTTCGATGGAGGTCGACTTTGTATTGGCATTGGCTGCTTATCGTAGTTGGGATCCTCCACTTCTTGGCATCGATAAGACAAATTGCGTAAAATACAAACACAATTTTCGACGGTTTTATTTCCAATATTATTCTTTTCGATAGCCATTTTTACAACATATATCAGACACTCTACTAGATGCTCGGAGTTTCTAAGACTAGTTCTAGCAAACTCTCCAGCTGAGCTTACATTGCGTAAAACTCCAGAGGCGTTTCGGAAAACTGTAGAATAGCAAGTTTCGCCAGCACAAACAGCATCCCATCCAGAGTGAGGAATAATTATATTGCTGACAATAGCATTTAATCCTTCATCAATAATAGATCGCTTGATGTCTTCACAAGAAGACATGTTCCATAATACTCCAGTGACCAATTCCTTTACTTCTGATTCTTGTGTTCGGCATAACAAATTTACAAGTGCTGTTATGCCTCCAGCATTTTTTATGGCTCTTTTATTTTCATCGTTTTGTCTACCATAAGACAAATTACGTAGTGCACCACATGCGTTCCTTAAATTATTAAATTAAAAAAAAAAATAAGTTAATATTTCAATTACATACAAATATTATAATACATTTTATTACAAAGATACTGCTTAAACGCTTAAAAACCGGTCATTGCTGTAAGTATCCCAAAAATATCCACCAAATTGGTTTTCGGGGAATATTACGAGAGAGCCAGTCCGTGACCGGATAAGAATCGACGGGCATGTTTTATCGCGGGTAAATTGCTGAACCCCTAACCAACATGGGTCCTAAAACCGGTAAAACTCTATACTGAATATTATGTGTTTCACAACATGGTGTGATAACCAGTGTTTTTAAATGATGCATATTAGCGCTGGTCATGCTAACACTCACCTGTTGTTCTCAGATGGGTTTGGACACGAAAAATTGGCATTCTTTACTTTGGTACATTTAGCAAAGGTAGGAGTCGAGTAACATATTGTATGGATATATTTTTCTATATACACAGATTCCTGAATTATAAGTAATCGCATAGCAAAAAGTTTTTAGTTCAATTAAACAATTTCATGAGGTTACGTTTGACTATCTTTGTACAAATTGGTGGTAAATAGTTAAACAAACAACATACACTACATAATCCTTCAAACAATAGATATATGGATAACCGTTCGTTACTCAATTGGATTTACTCCGTTGATAACCACAAATTTTGTTATATATTAAATGCAATCGCTAAATATAAATATTTTCGCGGAACTACGAAGAAAAGATATTATTGTTTTTATGCCTTGTTTTTACGTAAGACAAATATTTCAGTGTAAACGCCAGCTGACCGTAAATCCGACATAATTGAGAATAGTATATGTGAAATTTTTTAAAATATTAAATAATAGATAGAAACCTACTTGTGGATCTCGGGAACATCGTACGACAATAAGCGGACTAGAGGCGGAATTCCACCAAGGGTTCGTGTTCGCTGCTTATTCGGATCGTCCATGTAACATAAATGCTGCAAATAAGCTGCCGCATTTGCTTTAATTTCATTATTTGGGTTATTCAAAAAACTTATAACTTCCGAAAGATTAGGGTCCCGCCATCTCATGGTGGAGCAAATGTCACTTCCTGATCCTTCCATTAGCATATGTTTTGAATCCCTCATATGAGAAACAGCGTCCAATGGGGCCAAAGATAGCTGCGCCATTTTGCTCTGATAATCAGCGTGGCCATCATATGTTCTTGTTCCATCCGAAGGAAGTGCTGTTTCTGACCCATTGAGGTTGTTATCAAATAGCAATGGTCGTGGTGAATATGAGTTGGTGTTGCCGGCTTCAATTGGAAAATCAAAATTAACCTCAGACACATATCCATATGCTATAGTGGGATTCTCAATGTAGTGCGATTCTACAGGACAAGCATTAAGCCCGTATTCAGGCATTTCATCATACTGCGCTGATTGCATATATCTCACAGTGGAAACTGAAGAACGCTCTTGAATAACAGATTCATTTTGCTCTTGCGAAGGTGCAAGTTGCCCTTGAGCTCCAATTAAATTTGCGGCATTGAGATCTGGTCCGTAAGAGCATTGGCCAGCCGCTCTTGACACCGCCAGTTCAGGAGATTTTGTAACATAGATTGAAGAGTTAGGGTATCTCGACTGATATTGTTCATAATCTTGTAGAGCTGTATACTGGCAATTTAAATCACTTTCATTAAACGTTGGGACATCCATTTTCACTGTTTTCACGAAACAAAGTTAGTTTAAACTGTAATTAATAGAAGCAAAAATTGGAAGATTTAATTATATGCATATATATACATATATTATTAAGTTAGCTGAAAAGATAATTTATACACAGTTTTTTTGTAGGTACGAAATCAGAAAGCATGTATATTACTACCCTAGATATGGATGTGTACATATGAACAAGATGAACTTTAGCAATATAATTCATCACAAATCACATAAATCATAAATACACTTTGTTTCAATAATATTTACCATTAAATATGACGCATGCAACACAACTATTAACCTTTTTCTGTTTTATATAAATACATATATATTTTAATGAAAATTTACACAAGTTGTATTTCCATTATACTAAAACGAAATTAAGCGCTTACGTACATTTATTTACATATTTCTACTTTGAAGCTCGTATTTGAAAGTGCTACGTGAATATCAAAATTATTGCTTTGTGTAGTTCACGTCATGTTGAGTGGCTTTGTAGTACGGGTGTGGTAAAGCACTTAAAGTCGAAGTTTCTTTTTGCGTAAGAATATTGATTTTTCACACATCAACGAAGTATTTCATGTTTATAACAAAAACATTATTATAAGTTTTCGACATTTGTTTCTTTAAATCCAAATTCATTTAATATTGAAATGATTCTTTGGTTGAGTGGAAATTTATTCACTAAATAGCTGAATAACTATTTACAAACTGTAAATTGTACTAAAATTTCAAATGTATATATACATATAAGTTTCTGCAATGTTTTAAATACCATCACTTATATGAGAAATTTTAACGTAAATTGAGCTCAGACTTAAGTACTTTAATTGACGAAAAAACACTTTTTAGAAAAGCTATTTCAAATATATCCCACTGAAAAATATATCCAAATTTATAAGAAGCCATTTCTTAGAAAATATCTTGGATGAAGAATACAAAGGGTGTTTTATATGAAAAATTATTTATCTTAAAGATTGCATAGTTGCTTAATACAGCAAAATTAATAAATTCTAAGGGCTACTATCGCATTCGAACTCCATCGCATCGGTATAAGATCAGCACCAATTTAGATTTGAGTTAATATGCAAAAACTTACTTATCTACTGAGCACGTTTTTTATATAAATTCACTAATTTCATTTCCAAAAATTTATTTTCAAACATAATTTTGCACACGCTACAAAACTGTCATTCAACCAAAATTAAAATAAAAAAGCACTTTTTTAAAACCTCTCCCTATATTTATGGATATTACGTTGCCTTTCCTTAGACACGTCCCTTCCGCCCAATCGGACGTTATTTTGTTAATTTTCTTTATTTCTACAACATATACATGAATTATTTAGTATTATAATCTTTCGTCTAACACTTCACATTTGTTTCATTTAGTTCGAGCCAAATTTTGCAGTAACAGAAAAACGAAACATTTGTAGAAAATGAAAGTCTCGAAAAGAGATTGCTTAAAAAGTACAAATGGCATAAAAGTTAATTTGCAAAAAAAAATTTGTTTCTTACAAGAGACGAGTGTAGTAATATATATTCAGTAGATTAATATCAACTATAAATTTTTCAAACAATCAGACCCATTCTGTGTTCCGAAATTTCAATTACATACCCTTGGACGGCATTAAAACCAAGGTGCTATAATGCCGTGAAGGTGCTAGTAGAAACAAATTGCGTTGATTTGTTTTGATGTGGTACGTTATTTAGTATTTAATAAAGATGGTGTTCTATTTTGAAAGCAGTGTTGTGTCGCCACCTGGCCTAATTTATATGGGAAAGGATAAGTATGAAAGTAAATACATTAGAAATAAAAGTTTGGTTAGAATGCGGAATCCTTATAGTATATTTCATTCTTACCCTGGGTGTACATAATACAATTTGCAAGTAGACGGAATTTAAATTTGTTAACGTAGAACAAAGGATTATTGATGTTTTTGTCAATGATCGTGGTCTGTGATTTCGAGGTTTTAATGATGAAAATTAGGGAAACTTTAGAGTAGTATCCCACTTTGTAGAAGTGCAGGGCGCAAAGGAGACGGGCACTTACAATTTTTCTTCAAAAAAAATTGTTTTCTTTGATACTGAATTTAAAAAAAATTGTCTTCAGAAAGTACTGAAGTACTGACAATTTTTGAAATTCCCCCAATTCTACGAAAATTAAAGTTTGCACCAAAAAAGGTCATCATTAAAATCAAGAAAATAGGATGGACCCCGCCCATTTTTTTAATTTTGTTCTGCCTAACGGTCTGAAATGTCACCAAGAATTAGTCAGTATCGAAATGTCAAAATTGCGATCTCTCTATGCTTTTACCGAAGGCGGTGCAGTAAAATTCTGCGCAATTATTGTTGCGAATTCGTTTGTTGTCGAAAGGGGGAAAGCCCGGGTCAACTGCGGTGCATAGAACTGTTCTAGAATTTAAACAATCCTGTATGTTTCAAACAAAGGCAAGTACGTGCTAAAATATTACCTTGCATTATCTAGCACTAGGTGGAATGCAACAAAACCTCAGACCTATGGAATTCAAGTCCATATCCAGCTAATGCGTAATTGTGGTCGTGACGATCTAATAATTTCATCAGTGAAGTTCGCTCGAGTCTTTCCCACGAATGTTCAAATAAAAATTTCAATCGTAATTTTAAATTTTTTCTCTCAGCGTTCGGTTCCCTGCAAGAAGGCTTCCGATCATTTTAGCCAACATATGTCAGGAATGCATGACGACATATCCGGTCAGCTCGTAGAACGATTTTCCTATCACTTTCTTAAGGCCGAAATTACAAACATGATGCTTACATTTGTATACCTTGTGAATTTCTGTCATTCTTTTCGGACAATCAATACACAGCTGAGCGACAGCATTGATATCAAAGGGAATCAGCTTTGACAAAAATGTTCCTTTCATATATACAAACATATGTTTTGACTAAAATTTTCCCTACATACATATACAAACATTATTAAGATTCAGTCCTTATTTCAATATTTAACATAAATCGTTTGCATGGTTCACATAGCATACAAAAGAAATAACAATACAACAATATAAGAAGTCTGCTGCGGAAACGATAAAAAATGGCGTTTTACTCGAAAATAAGAACAAAGAAAATCAGATTATCCATTCAACTGCATTCTCTTTCAGTTTGTATCTACTCAGAAGAGAAAGATAAACAGAACAGCTTGCTTATGTGTTAGTGAACCCTGCAGCCCGTTCTTGCAGGGTTGTCACGTCGTCTTTGGAAGACGAATAACTCTTATTTGCCATCGGTTCACAACAAATATTTCGTATATAAAAGCTCATAAGATAATGCTTCCATGAAAGCTTAGTTGTTTCTTACTAATGTTTTTATTTTTGTAATTTTTTCCGACGTAAATTTGCCTCCGAACCAAATAAGATATTGTTACATAGATCAAAAAGATAAATAAAAGGAAATATTATAGTAATCATATAAAATACACTTGCACTTCTCCATGTCTCACATTCAAATATCACACTTTGATAAGCATATATGAAGACGGACAAATTATCTGCCGTCAAACTCCAATATCAAAAACTTTTGCATCTCATATGTATATATGTATATTTGAAAATATGAGAACCGTTAGTAAATATTTTGAACTAGTTAATTTACAATCCGTAATAGGTACAATTCTCAAAACATTCTCTAAATAATTTGGCAACGTGTACTTATAATTTATTTCAGCTATAAACATGTTGGGCTGCAACAAAAGAAGCCGGCGATTTTTTAAAAGAAAGTAAATACATTTTTTTTTTAAATTTTACAAAGAGCTTTGATCAATTATGTAATTTCCATTTTGTTGGATGACCTTTCGCCAACTTTCCGGCAACGCCCATTTAATTTCCTAACTTACTGAATTACATAATTCAAAATTCACGTCTGAAATTCACCCATCCAGCGTAGCCGCTATAACTTTATTTGCTTAACTATAGAAATGCATTCCGTATATCTCGTATAGCTAATTCTTCCAGCGTGCACTGTTTTTCCCGTTTCAAATACGCAAAATGCCATAAATCGCCCACAAAACCTTTCTCTATAATATTCCTGCTCTCATCATTTTGAGCAATATGATAATTAGAGAAGTTGTAAAGGACTTGGACTTTACCTACTCAGCTAACTTGTTACGAATTATTATTATTAATTCAATACTGACATGTGTATGAATGCACATCTAAGATTTTCTAGCGAATATAATGTGAAAGGGTTTCGTATTTTTCAGATGAAGAGCTTATACGATGGGGATGGCCTGGAGATGTTTGGTTTCACGTGCACAATTATTCTTCTGCTCATGTTTATCTAAGACTTAAGGAGGTAATTTTGATTGTAAATTTCATATCTCTTGTCTGTCTATCCGTTTAAAAGACCAGGAATATGTAGGTACATATACCAGGTGTATGTATGAGCCCTGCGGGGTACATGCGTATGTACTACATATGTATATATTGTGCTTCCGAAAAATATACATTTTATGTGTTTATAATAGCCTTATTCGGCTTTCAATAAAAATATAGTAGTATATAGTTTTTTTGTTACTGGAAATTTTTCAAATTTATCCTCAGAAATTATTGAAATATGCAGAACTACTTTTCCAACGATACCAAATTTATAAAAATGGGTGTATAAGTTTTTCAGATATTGCGTTTTATAATTTTCGAGAATTTTCCCTTCGTTATCCCATATCTACGAAAATAAAAGTTAGTAAAGTATCAATATTTTTTTCATTTCATATAGTTTTGTTTTGTTGTTTGTTGTCATCAACAAATCAGCTAGTTTTCATACTTGCTCATTTTTACATGCCGAAAATTTCCCAGCACAAATTTGCAACTTTTGCTGCAGCTACCCATTTTACTTACCATCCGTTCATAACAGCCGACTGGGGGAGCGAGATACATACACAAGTTACCGACGCTGCTGACAGGGACGAAATATGTTTGCACACTTTTGAACAAATTCATAATTTTCGTCAACGAATTTCATATTTGACATGTTTGAATATAAACGCCATTCAAATATAATATGGTAATAAATAATTAATTACGAATTTAGTTTTAATTTCTTTTGAAAAAAAACTACGCATTTTATTAGTTTAAAAGAGTCAATACTGGCAACCTTGCGAAGAAACGAGAAATGAGCCGAGCCGATTTTATGGAAAAAGTCAAATCAGCGCTGGTTTTTGCGGGTCAACGTTCAATAACGGCATGGGCTAGCAGTGATGATTTTGTGTTTACATTGCGCTCTCATAAGATAGCTAGTATTTCTTTTAAGTTGCAAGTATCCATCTAACATACCTTCCGTGCATAGCAACCTATTTAATGCATGCTCTAGCGGTATACACAATATTCGATACTCGCGCTTTAGAATGTGCTTTAGTTATCGGCATCTCCCTTTCATCTGCGCGTCAAGTCTTGAAGTCAAATGTTTTTTGCATTCTCTTTTGTGCTTTCAAAATGCTTTCACATGCGTCAACTTTTATTAAAGTCAAGTTTTTCATTCCTTGTTTCCTTTTGATCGAATTTAAAATTTATGTAAATTCATGGATTAGTTATTTTGATACCAAAATGAGAAAAACAAAATGTAAGGAATGTAAGGGTCAAAAGCATAGCAAGAAAACTTGAAAAGGCTTTCCTGTACGAAGGTATCTGTACCGTTTCCCTGTGACTACGTTGGATAGGATATGTCGCCAATATAAGCATAAACACTACAGTTTTCCATGTTGTAGTACTCTTGTTGTAGAAATGAGATGGTGTATTTGTGCATTGATTCAATTAGGTATTTTTGAATAAATATTGTACATCAGGGTTGAATAAACAGAAACATCACTTTCATTAATATTTTAAAATTCATGCTAATGACTTTAATTAAGTAAAGAGATTTATCATATTCTATTATAGAAATTTAAATTAATTCATAATTTTATTTAAAAATAAACTTTTGTAGGGTCAAACCATAGATAACATTCCACAAGCACTCCTCAATGATGCTGCGCAGTTGGTGAAACATAACAGCATTCAAGGAAATAAAATTAACAATGTAGATGTGGTTTATACACCATGGTCAAATCTTAAAAAAACACCCGACATGGAAGTTGGCCAAATTGGATATTTTTGTGAAAAGAGTGTAAAAAAAATACGTGTAGAGAAAAGAATAAACGAAATTGTAAATCGACTGAATAAAACCAAGACGGAAGACTATCCTGATTTACGTCAACAAAGGGAAGAACGTGATGCCGAAGAGAGAAATGAAAAGAAGCATCTTTTAAAAGCTCAGCGAGAGAAAGAAGAAGAAGAAGCCAGACGGCAAAAAGCAGAGGCGCAAAATCGCAGTTATGATAAATTGTTTAAACCGGAAAGTATGTCTACCAATTATGATGATGGAAACGATTCCGATGATTTTATGTAACAATAAAAGGAAAACCAGCAAATAACTCAGCCTCACTTTTTATCACCAAAACAAAAAAAACTATTCTTGCTTCTCTAAACCAATAAATTTTAAAACTCCATATTTACTAAATTTCAGCTGTTGAATATTAATTTTTTCTGTACCTGCACAGTGCACAATCATGACTTGGAATATTCCGTATGTTATGGGAATGAGACCTCACGTGTCGGTTGGGCGGGCGGAGGGTATTCGTCGGGCTTATTATACCACTTTATTTGAAGCTTAATTAGCAGTGTTCATCATTGTTTACCTATTGGCTCCTATGTAATATCAATTGGTTTTTAGCTGAAACTGACTTATTTTCGTTTGACAGGAAAGGAAACACAAGTTTTAACATGACCACCACATTTTCTATGCAATCTAAGCCAAGCAAAAAGCACATTTTTCTGAAAAGGTATAAAAAAAAGTCGTGGCGGGAAAAATGTAAAATAGCAGCACTGCGAAGAACACAAAACGTGTTGACTGAGCACAAAATAATCGGTTAACTCTAATTTCCGTCGTCACCATGCCGTCTGCAAACGAAAATGGCATCATATTGCACTCCAATAGAAATTTTATCAAAATTATAGTATCTTGCTCTGCTTTGGGCGCTGGCTAATTGCTTCCTGTTATTAGAATATTTGCTTTTTGGCATATATGTATGAATGAAGTGATACGGCTAAAGTGCTCATTGTTTGCAATGTAAATCACATTCTTAATGTCCCGAACAGATATCTGTATGCGTCTTCCCATCCATGCTCCCTGAGCAAGCGTTTGGGCCAAGACCATTTTTTTGTAACGATCCCAGTGCTCAGCTGAAACATATTTATCATTTTCCTCCTCCCGCCTAGACATTGTACAATAATGATTCAAATTTTCTCGTTTCTAATAAACAAACAGTGTTTGGTTTGAAATAAAAGTTAGGGTTTTAGAGTTTTCTTCTGCGGTTTTCATATTTTTACTTTTGAATTGTCAGATCGCAGAACTTTTTCCTAAATCTACTAGTTGTTGTTGTTGTTGTAACGGTTCGCGAACCACGCTAAGGCACAGGATTGATCAATCTGAGTCGCCGAGGTGATCTAATGAGAGGTCCAGGAAACGAGCTGTTTCGACGGGGCTGGACCAAAGGGTTTGAAATCTACTAATCATTTGTGTCAGCGAACACCGACACTATAAACAAAGCGACTACTCTATGCACGCCTGAAATATATACTCCACGCGGCCAAGGAGTAATCCAAAACTAACCACTATCCATTTTGTAATATTATACTTAAATCTTAGCTTTTGTTATGCTTGCATTTGCTTAAACTTATGCACGTCCCTACGTACCAACGAAATTAATCTGACTCAATTTCGGTTCATTTTCCGTATCCGAGCAAAATTATTAATACACGCCTTAATCTTCGTGTAATAATTTCGGAGAAGACAAATCTTTGTTATATTTGTACAACTTACTTGTGCGTGAGGTCTACCCATAAGGTTCATGAAAAATAGCTACTGTCTGGCAGCTCTTAAATATCGAGAAAAGCGGTTTTGAGTTTTGGACCATATTTACCATCTTTCTTTTGTTGCTTGATAGGCAAGGCGTAAAGAATGGTTAGTTTTTAATCTGCTTAAATTTTGTCCATCATTTTAAATTTGCATAATAGAGTTATTTAAATATGTTAACAAATTTTTGTTTCTTAGGCAGCACATAAATCTTTCAGGATTAAGCAAAAACTTGCTAAAAAACTGAAGCAAAATCGTTCAGTTCCTCAATGGATTCGCTTGCGAACAGGAAACACCATTAGGTAAATTAACATTTTTAATTAAACCATATCTTACTGAACTAATGGTGAGTTTTATATTCTTTATGTTTTAGATACAATGCTAAGAGACGTCACTGGAGACGTACCAAGTTGAAGTTGTAAACAGATTAGCCACTATACATGTTAGTCTTTTGAGCAAGCAGTGCAACTTCAATAAAATTGTAATAAAATAAAACTTCGTTTTTCTTTTAATTTTTACCAGCAGAGTTTTTGCTTGTGAGAAGAGTTTACAAAAGTTTCCTAGTAGTAAATTATAGTTTTTTGATAGAAAAAGGATATAAATCTCCCAACAATATGCAAAACAGTAATGTGTCCTTATTTCTACACACATCTTAAAACTATAGAACTTTAATTTTAAATAAAAAGTTACGAGTGTATTTTTGGTATAAATTTAGAATTAAAATAAGTCTATTTCATCCTCTGCTTCAAAAAGGAATATTGGAAGAAAAAAAATATATATATAATGGAATGTAGCAGAGAAACTGATCATTTTGGAAGAGTACCTCTAACTTTAGGAAGATAAAATTTTTTGAAAGTTTTATTTTCATTGAAAATAGTTTACGTGAGAAAACCCCGTACGACCTTTTAATAAAAAATTATTTTGTCAAGTTTGCTGTATATTCAATCGTTTTTCCATTAATTTAATATTTTCGTAAATACTACTTGGTTGGCCACAAAAATGTTACCATAAAATTACTACGAATTTTGCTCAACTTTTCGCTCACAATCGCCCACTGCACACCTTAAGGCAAGCTTACAATAATAGCAATACTACAAAAACAGAGAACATAGATTATTTATTCTAAATACTTTCTCTAATTATTCAGTCGAAATGTCAAAACCAAACAATGTTGCTCATCTATTGTGTTTGGGACATCGTTACGTTTTATAAATTGCCTTTGGCACACTACATCTTATTGATGAGGCGAATTGATAATCTTTGGAAAACCAAATAATAAGGAATAGTGACGTCACCAATGTATATTTGCATAATAACCACATCTCATTCATCTGTTCTCCTGTTATTCAATCAATATTGGGTAGTATGGCAACATAATAGGAATAAATGAAGATAAGAAAGGGGCACCAAAGTCATCCAAAACATATAAAAAGTTCTTAATTTGATAAACTATTATTAGTCGAATAAGTGTGAAGTGGAGTAAAAAAATTTTAATTAGATAATATTTTTTGAAAGGTGGTTAATTTTGCAGTGTCATTCTAATTACCAGCATGTTTTATTAATATATTTATGTATTGATTTATTACTCTAAGTTAAGATAGGTATACTTAAATGGTATTAACACATCTTTGATCGTACAATGCTTGTGGATGGTCTATTTGTAAGAAACTTTGTCAAAGATAATACTTTGTTAAAACGGATTGATACTAAAATATACATAGAGCTGAAATTGCGAAATTTTTCTTATCGGAGATGACTTCATTGTCAAGTTCAGAGAAATTGCAGCAAAAATTTAAGATTTCAAGTTATGTGAGAAGACGATATAAGTCGTTGTGGGCTAAAAAATCTTCTCATACATATGTATTTATTCAGCATATCATAAAATAATTAACAAGAAATATTTTTAGGTGCCACTAAAATGAATATCAAAGCGTTTTCTGCAATTTTGTGCGTCTTTCTTGGCTGTTGTAGTAATGTAGTGTTTTTGGAATATCTAGTAAAGTAAGTAACAGTATTTAAACCCAAAGTGAAAACTATTTCCTGTAAATACTAAATTACGGTATTCGTATATTTTTAGAGAGGATCCTGGTTCTGGAAATTTAGTAACATTTTCACAGTTTCTATTCATTGCTGTTGAAGGTCTCGTCCATACTATTATGACTCGGAATCTGACGCCGAAAATACCTTTGAAAAACTATTCCCTCCTTGTACTTATGTTTTTTGTAACGAGTGTGGCTAATAACTTTGCGTTTGATTTTAATATACCTATGCCGTTGCACATGATATTTAGAGCGGTAAGTTAACTCTTGGTAACAATTAAATAGGTGGGAATTATTATATTTATTTGTAGGGATCTCTAATTGCCAATATGGTAATGGGAATACTTATTTTAAATAAGAAATATGTATTATCAAAATATTTGTCAGTTCTAATGATAACGGCGGGTATTGTTTTGTGCACAATAATTTCGGGAAGTGACGTGGTGAGTATAACATAAATAAATCACTTATATACACAGCGCCCGGGGAATATTCAATAATAAATCACTAAAATTTTTAATATTTTTATTTATAACAGCAAAAAACAACCGTGGCCACATCAACCGAAAATATGAATATTGCATATTCTGATTTCTTTATATGGGTACTTGGAATTGGATTACTTTCCATTGCATTGTTCATATCGGCGTATATGGGCATTTGTCAGGAGACGCTTTATAAAAGATTTGGCAAACATCCTGAGGAAGCGCTTTTTTACACTGTAAATACATACATTGATATTTGCCGACATTTGCTCATATAAACTAGTTATATATATATATTTACTCTTTACAGCACTTAATTCCACTACCAGGTTTTGTTTTTATATACAAAAACATAAAGGAACATTTCAACATAGCCTTATCTAGTCAATCAATAACATTGCCAATGCTATCGATAATAGGATTAAAGATAGAAATTCCTCAAATGATATTTTATTTGATTTGCAATGTTATTACACAGTATCTCTGTATAAGTTCGGTGTATGTTTTAACAACCGAGTGTGCCTCTTTAACAGTTACACTCGTAGTAACATTGAGAAAATTCGTATCATTACTTTTTTCCATACTATATTTCAAAAACTCATTCACAATTTATCATTGGATTGGTACAGGGCTTGTGTTCTTTGGGACGATAATTTTTACAGAAGTACTTCCACGCATTACGGAGCACATGCAAATTCGAAAACACAAACAGGAATGAATAGACTCAAGATGTAGCTGTATATTTGCTATATAAGTTTATAAGTTAAATTGTAAATATCTTGTATATAAATTAGAAACGATTAACTTATACATAAATGTAATGTGTATTTTTTAATTCCATGAGAAGTACACAACTTTATATTCACCTACTGGGAGAGCTTTCGATATTCAATGTTTTAGCTGTGGAAATGCTTTTACATTTACATATCGGAGCAAATAAGGTGCCTAAATGTGTATGAAATATTGAAATTGAAAATAAAATAAAGAATTACAAATATCATATCCAATTTTAACATATTCCACAAGAACCTCATAAAACTTAAAAAAGAAGATTATATTAACGTATTGTTTTTATATTACTCATATCATGAAAATATTTTTCTTCAGAAGTTAATTTAACACGAAAAAATTGGATATAAGAAAGTCGGTGTAATAAAAAAATGATGTGTAGACGATCTGTTTATAAACAAAATAATACACAATGAAGTTAATATTTAGAAAAGGTAAAGTTTTCGGTCCTGCTCCTTTAATGATAAGATGTCTTCATCGAAATTCATGCAAAAAAAAGACGGTTAATGCAATTGTTTGTTTTATTTATTTTATTTCACAATCCACGTGAATCACATTTCTAATTTTAAACAAACCCTTTTTTTAATTTCAATTCTTAAGGATATTATACATTTTCATAGCGACTTGTAGACTAAGATGTGTAGCATTCCAATTTTCTGTTAAGTTTTGAATCCTGGTCCTCTAACGCTTACCATTTATTGAGAACGACCTCGGGAACTAAAATTGATTATTTTGCACACATTAATAAATTTATTTTGCATTGCATGCAAGTTAATATGGTATGCATAAGTACATATGTATGTAAGCATTGCATATACTCTTCCATAGTAAAAAAATCATAAAGGTTTAAAGCCTTCGGACAGGTTTCTTAAGTAGGAAAGCTGAAAAAGAACTTGTTGAATAAGTATAAACATCAGTGTAATTTTTGGGTATTTGATATTTGGATGTCGTTGAAATCGTGGCTTCTTACATGATAAAATTAACTCATAGTTTACAAATCAATATTTAATGCAAAGGGATATTTGTTACAACCATAGCAAGCATCTCAAAAATGACCAGGAATCATATAGGGTAATGCCTTTCATCCGAGATTGTTGTAGGACCAGTAAAGCAGATTTCATCACATGAATTTGTCATTATTCTTATTAGATCTATTAACAGCAGACTCTTGTTTTATTTATTTTTAGTGGAACGTGGGGTTGACTGTGTGAAAAGGGGAATTGAGAATTTAAAAGATATTTAAGTACCCAATAATCATGTGTTCCTTACTTTTGTATGAACAGCAAATACACATTAACGTGCAAACACAAAAGGCTCGCTTTTTATTAGCAAATCAAAAATGTTAAAATAAGAATGCAATAACTTAAAAAAGCGGTTAGCTCATAAAAAAATAACGGCTGGGTTATTAATGATCAATTTAGATAATGTGACTGCTAATATCGAATAATTATAATTTTTACAAACGAAAGGACTTAGCATATATTAATAAAATGTATATTTTGAAAAAAATTTGTTTATAAATCTATTTTGCATTTTTTTTTTTCAGCGAACCTTATGACCTTACTGTAAATATTAACAAGTTTGCTGAATAAGTCTACAAATTAAAGTTTTACGTGAACGTTGTTATTTAAGTAACGGAAAAATGGAATATATATGAAAGGTTAAGTCTGTGACTATGTAAAATCTATATGAGTGATTTATATTATAAATCTAATTATTTTGTTCTGTAGACTATTCTATTAGATCCCTTTCAACGAAAAATTTCACAACCCTAAAATTTAAACACATTTTTATTGGTATAAGTACATTGCTATTTAATCGGTAGAAACTTCGACTTGAACTTTGAGAACGATTTTCTCAAATATTGTAATTAAATCCATATTAAAAAAAATCTCTTAATAATAATTATCGCACATTTATGCGATTTCAAATCAATAATTTTGATGACTCTTTCAGACTATTGAAATGCAAAGTACGTAATATCAACTATAAAATTGATATACTTTGTACTTTCATACCTTATTGAATTTAAATTTACATTTGGAGATTCCGTAATGCCTTTATTAAACAAAAATCTCTATTTTGATTGATGACTTTATATACATATTAGTTGTAAGCAACAAGACAAAAAAATAATACAGAAGATATTGACTGTTATGCTTCTAGAAATTTCTTTTAAGCTAGGGAATTTTGTTAATTAAATATTAACTATTCGGAACTTGAATTTTAGTACTATACCTAACAACCTTTGAAATTAGTAAATATAAACACTGAAGGCATTACTATACTGTTATTGTTTAATTACCTTAAAATATTTAAAAATAACATTCTCCAAGCTCTTACTATTGTTTCAGCAGCATTATGCTAAAGCATTAAAGTTTATGTATGTCATTTGGGAATTAGTATAGAATTTTAATTAAATAGTTGGTTTTTAACTAATTTTGCTAGAAATATGTATGTACGTAAGTTATTTGAACAAACTCTTTAAAGCGTCATTGCATACAATAAGCCAAAGAAAACTGCCCACATTAACACAATCCCATGCATTTTTAGAATGGGGCTCTCACCGTCAGTAATTTTTCTAGCAACGAACTTCAACGTTTCATCTAATAAAACTACAGGAATTGAGAATTTCATCACAGTTAACCACTCCTCCCCGGACAGTGGGGTCACTTGGAAAACGGTCTAAAAAGAGATTACCAAATCATTTAAATTTATAAAAAATGGGGAAAATTTCAAACTATTAATTTAAACGTACAGAAAGGACATCCACATAAAGGATAACAAAATGAAGTGTGAATGAAAGAGCCATTGAACCGATTAGCCACATATTGCACCATGGTGGCATAGTAATGAGCGACTGATTTTCTGATAGACTGGAAAGAGAAAACCGTTATAACAAAAAAAAAAAAAATATTGTTATATCTTACCTGTTCATTGCATTCAACATTTCAATGGTTACGAGTACAGAGAGAGCCATAGTCATTGCATGAGGATCACTAAATATTTTACAGTCAACTCCTTTGAAGTCATCTCCAGGACCAATGCACGACAAATGATGAGTTAACTGCCAATAGGATAGGTGGGGACCTGTTTCAGCAAATATGAACCACCAAGCTGCAGCACCCACAGTTGCGGCACCAACATAACCTCCAATAGCCATGTACCTGAGGTCAAACAAAACTTTAAGTGTAATATGAATGTTTAGAAAATAAGCATTTATGTATATACCGGAAGAACAACCAGCCCGAAATAAGACCTTCATCAGCTTTACGTGGGGGTTTCTCCATTATATCCAAATCGGGTGGATTGAAACCGAGGGCAGTTGCTGGAAGACCATCTGTAACCTGTGTATATTAAAAATATACACGTTAATTTTCTGTGCGAAATTTTTAAATATTTGTACCAAACTTACCAAATTCACCCACAACAACTGTACAGGAATAAGCGCTTCTGGTAATCCCAAGGCAGCGGTTAAGAAGATGGAGACTACCTCTCCAATATTTGATGAAATGAGGTAACGAATAAACTGTTTCATGTTATTGTAAATAGCTCGACCTTCTTCAACGGCAGATACAATGGACGAAAAGTTGTCGTCGGCCAAAACCATTTCTGCGGCTGATTTAGCTACAGCAGTACCAGAGCCCATGGCAATACCAATCTCAGCCTTTTTAAGAGCTGGTGCATCGTTTACACCATCACCAGTCATAGCAGAGATTTCATTCATGCTTTGAAGATATTCAACAATTTTCGATTTATGTTGCGGCTCTACGCGCGAAAAGAGTCTGGCACGACCACATGCCGCCTTCTGTTCAGCGGGAGAAAGGTCATCAAATTCACGACCGGAATATGACTTATTGGTTGTATCTTCGTCTTCGCCGAAAACGCCTATGCGGCGGCAGATTGCTTCAGCGGTTGCTTTATTATCACCTGTGATTACAATTACACGAATGCCTGCAGCCCGACAGCGTACAATAGAATCGAAAACTTCTTTACGTGGGGGATCCAACATACCCACGACACCAACAAAAGTCAAATTAATTTCATATTGATAGAATTTAGAAGAGTCTCCCAGATCCATTTCATCAGGCCTCATTGGGCTATCAGCTACAGCTAAAGCCAGGCAACGTAAGGTATCGCGACCAGTGCCGTACTGTCCAGTAAGGGCCAAAATTTTGCTCTTGAGTGCGGAAGTTAATGGAACTTTACTTGTTCCAACACGTGCATGTGTACAGCGATCCAACACGCCTTCTGGAGCTCCTTTAACAAACAATTTCGGACCAGTACCCAACCGCGACGGTTTCAGTGGTGTACAATAAGAAGACATTGATTTACGATCGCGTGAAAATTCAAGGGTGAATTCTTTTTTCCACTTGGTTTCAATTTCTTGACGTACAACAATAGCAGCAGAACGACGATCAAGTCCACTTTTGTTAACATTGAAGGGATTCAATTTTTCGGCTAGTACAATTAATGCTGTTTCTGTGGCTTCACCAACCTTTTCAAAGCATTGTTTGAACTCATTGTAATCAATTGCAGAATCATTACACATGATGCATATAGTAGCCAATTCCTGAAGAGCTTCATATTCTGTAGCTTTTACACGTTGACCACCCAAAAACAGCTCACCTATAGGTTCATAGGTAGATCCTGTTAGCTCCAACTCAAGAAAACTACTATCACTGCCTTCGACTTTTTCGAAAATGAACATTCTTGATACTGACATTTGATTGGTTGTCAATGTACCTGTTTTATCAGAACAGATCACTGATGTACAACCCAAAGTTTCTACAGACGGTAAAGAACGAACAATGGCATTTTTCTTAGCCATTCGTCGAGTTCCCAAAGCTAAACATGTTGTGATTACAGCAGGCAGACCTTCTGGAATGGCTGCAACAGCCAAAGCTACAGCAATCTTAAAGTAATAGATAGCACCTTTTATCCAAGAGCCACCATGAGCAGGATCATTAAAGTGCCCAATATTTATTGCCCATACAGCAACACAAATTATTGAAATAACTTTTGAAAGCTGTTCACCAAACTCATCAAGTTTTTGTTGTAATGGAGTCTTGATTTCCTCTGTCTCTGACATTTCTGTACGAATTTTACCGATAGCTGTATTCAAGCCAGTACCAATGACTACGCCTCGAGCTTTCCCAGCTGCCACATTAGTACCGGAAAACAATATATTCTTTTTATCCTGATTAACGGCTCGGGGATCGGGTATAGGATCGGTATGCTTAATAACTGATACTGATTCACCAGTTAAAATTGATTGATCGATTCGGAGAGTAGTCGAATAGATGTGTGTTAATCTAATATCAGCAGGTATTTTATCTCCTACAGAGACCTCGACAATATCTCCAGGTACAATTTCCTTCGCTCTAATTTTCTGAATTCCAGACTTGTCCTGACGGACTACTTTACCCATTTCCGGCTCGTATTCTTTAAGGGCTTCAATAGCAGATTCAGCATTTCTTTCTTGCCATACACCTACAACGGCATTTGCTATCAAAATTAAAAGAATAACTAAAGGTTCTACAAATGCTGTGAATGTATCTTCGTGCTCTTCAAATAAAGCTAAGACCTGAAAAATATAAATGCAAATTGTCCGGTGCAATCAAATCATTGAAATTATAAAATTGATCTCTGAACTACATATACATACGGGTTAATACTAATATAATAAATACAATTTTTTATTTTTATACATATGCAGTGATTAAAATAGCTTTGAACTATGAGAACTAAAGTCTCCAAGTTTAACTTACAAAAGAAATGATAGCGGCCAATAATAGAATTTTTACAAGAAGGTCATCGAATTGTTCTAAGACTAGCTGCCATATAGTTTTCCCTGCAAAATAAGTTTCGTTCGTTATTTACTCCATATCATTGAAATATAGTTTAATACCTTCTTCCGTCGGCAGTTCTGGTAATAAAAAACAAAACAAATTATAGTTTAGAAATAACTTGCAACATATTTGATAATTTTAATGTAAATTACCATTTGGGCCATATTTCTTTTGATTGGCTTTAACTTGTTCTAACGTGAGTCCACGTTCCCCGTCTGTCCCAAAAAAGTTTAAGGCTTGTTCGACGGTTTTAGCGTGGCCGTCCTCCATTGTTACAGATTATCGCCGCAGGAATACTGAAAATCATAAAAGGTATTTGTAAATATGTATATACAATATATTATATATATGTATGTATGTATGTATATTGTATAAATATACATGAATAGATATGCACATAACAAAGAGAACACCTGAGAATTATTTTCCAGGAGTATAATATGTATATATAGGACTTGAAATATCTGATAATGCAACATTTGGCAATAATGATGAGTAATAGCTGAACTTTTATATATATATATACATATTACAATAAATTAAAAACTAACATTGGCTTCAAATGAGATTCAAAATAATGCGTACCCATTTCTTTAAATATGAAAAACTTTTATAATAAGTGTCTATATAGCGGCTTAAAGTTGTATGCCTAAAATCCAAAACTTTACAACACTGTATTATATTTACAGAAAATTCGTGAAATGCATACTTAGCATTTGATAACTCCAAGTATGTGGAATGACGTGGTCTTTCACACATTTGTTTTTTTTTTTTTAATATTTTAAAGTGGAATCCTTTGAGGGCGATTATTTGTAAAATAAAACAATATATATATTTGATGTTTCTACATCAAGTTTACCATAAATTCTTATGTCATGTGTTATCATGCTTCTGACCTTAAGGTTTGCATTAGTAATTTAGTTACTATATCACCCTTCCCTACACTTGATGCATGCAATTTTTCACAGTAAACAATTTTTAATAACATAAATTTAACCTTATAATTATTATTCTAAAATATATATTTTGATAGTTTAACATACCCACAAACTCTTCCTAAATGTATCCAATTTGCATTTACTTGGTTAGAAAAGAGAATCAGCTGCACTCGGGGTTTTTAAGAAATTCTCCAGCAGCCAGTAAATAAAACTTTTAGCTATGCACATTTACTTAATACTATTATATTCTTAAATTGTAGCAAATCTTTGTAATTCTTATAATTTCAATAATCGAGAAATTATAACAAAAGACAAACGCGACGACGAATTATAATTTCCTTAGAACGCAACGTTATACCAGTTATACCATTATCTTTTATGATATGAAGGAAGCATGGTCTGACAGCTGTCGTATAAAGTATTGCCATTTAAAAATAAAAAATTTGTGAGCACTCAGAAAAATTGCATTTACGTTAAACAAGTTATATGCTTTGTGAAAATCGAACCTAAATAATTGATAGCTTGGTAATTAATTTTTTTTTGTTAAAAATGTGAATTCATATTATATAAACGAGTCATATATTGGAGTGAAAAAATTTCATAAAATCTTTAAGTACCCTTTATTTAGTTAGTGAGATCTCAGAAATATTTCACGTTGGCTTAACACATTAACCCTTTAACGAGCTTCTATTTTAAAATTCTTACATATGTATATCCAATTATAATATATTGTACACATACATACATGTCTATACTTATATACATATATTCTGAGGACATACGTACATATATATATAGTTATAAATACATACCATTGTGAGTTCATTTATATCGGCTAAATGCATTTAGTATATGACCGTGATTGTATTAAAGCTAATATATATGTATTTCTTTTACGAAAAGCTAAAATAAATATGTATGCGTGATTTTATATTTGAAAAAACGTAACAGCTGATATTAGATTTTAAATTCAATTTATTGTATCTACATGTATTTTCTACGTCAAACACGAGTAATATTAGCTTGTAATTACCTATGAACATACATATGTATGTACACATTTTTCTCAAAACTTTATGAGAATTATTTTAATTCAGAAGGTATGTATGAGTATGTCATTTCCAGAGTTCGATTACTGCGCAAACTCTATAGGCAATTTAGCGATTGTAAAGAGATGAGAGTCAAACTATAACAAAAAAATTTATATATATATGTATATATATATATATAAGTTTGTATATGGCTAAAATATACATATATGAGAATCCAAAGGCATTATCATCGTTGCCCAGGAGACTGTCACATGGTGTGCTCCAATTCTATTCTGTGCTTAGCATTCTAAAAATAATTTATTTTATACTAGATGTGGAAATTCATCTTTTCTTGACATATACCATTACGGGAATCTTTTGTTGGTTTTATTTGATTTTAAAAATCCTTATTAATAGTTTAAACAACCTCGCCGAGTAATCTTCATTAAGCATTTGTATGTATAGGTATAGGTTCATATGAATACGATGTTACGCATGTTATTCAAAGTTTCCAAATAAACTATTTTGCACTTTACACTTTTTAATAATGCCACAAGCAATTCGTTTATTTTCTTATTTTAGACTGTTTTATATATTAAAAACTGTTATCGGTTTACTGTTTTATTAAAACGGATATCACTAAAAATATAATTTGTTTGCAAAATAAGTTATACTTTTGATTAAATATCACAAAAAATTTTCAATAAATTATTGAGAATTTTAAAAACTTACACAATTTTTTTATTTGGCGTCAATGCTTAACTTTTTTAACTTTCTTATTGCGAAACAATGTTTAGCCCAGCCGAAAATAAGAGCTAAGGAAAGATCGCGCTTTTGAAACGATCGACGGCGACTGAATAAAATGAGAACAAATGCCTGATGAGAGTGCCTTTCAAAATTACAGAAATCTTTGATTTTGGCAAAATTCCCAAATAGACAGACTCTCTATTACCCGGGAAAATACTTTTGGCACGTAAAATTTTCTAAACAATCTCATTTCATATATGATATTTATCAAACAAAAAAAAAATTAAATTCATAGTTTTTTATTTTCTCAATTTTACAGTGGTTTTGTTTTAAGAATTTTATCTTAAAGCAAGTTATTCTTGGCATTCAAACTCATAGGCAATCACAGTTTAAATTTTAATAATTTCATTGGATTTGTTTATTTGCAATGACAATGACTTCAATAATTATACATTTTGTTTTTAAAATTGATGATTAACTAAGCATTAGTTCTAAAACTTTCACAATATTCGATTTTGAACTTTTTATAAATGTGTAAACTATATAATTTTTACTCGTTTCAAACGACTAGACGTCCGTTTGTAAAACATTTGTTTTGGAATACTTTTCTATAGGGACCTTTTTTTGAAATTTTCGAAAATTTATTAATTTTGGTTTTACGTATAGTCCATTTACAGATGGACACATTTGAACTGATTTTGAATGCGGATACCTCTTTGGTGGAGTATCAGAAAAGTCCTGCGATATTGTGTGTCCAAGCTCAGTTTGCACTTCCTTAGAGACATTGTGATTTGAAGAGGATTTGTAGCAGATATCAATGAAGAATAAAATTGCTCCTATGGCTGATAGAGTACCAAGAACAAGAGCATTTTTTTCAATATCAACTGGTATGTACTCCAACGTTCCGAATACCAAACAAGCTGGAATATAATATATTCAAATATATACCTTACTTAAAAAATTCTAATATGTTATAGTTTAAAGTTTTTTTTTTTATAAATGCAAACATATATGTATGACTTACAGAGTATCTGAATAAATATGTATAATATAAATAAGAAGATATATGTAAACTAGATTGCGGTTTATACAAAACCTTTATATCAAACCTAAAAGTTCAATGCATTGAAAAAATAGTTAATATATGTATGTTAAAACACAAACGTGGCATAATAATAATAATACTATCAGCGACAACATTACTAATAATAACAATAAAAATTATTTATAATAGAAACATATAAATAGAAAATTAAATAATTCAACCAGTTTTAGTAATGAAGTCTTACCTTCGGTGAAAAAGAATATTACTCCACAGTATAACAATATTTGCTCACATCTCTCAAATTTGTCTGTTATTACTCTAGAAAAAAAAAATAAAACAGAAACCTTTAAAGTTCTTCGCCAAGTTTTTTAAAATTTAGTTAAAAAGTTTCACTGTATTTCAGTCTTCGGAAACTACATACTAGTTATTTATGTATGTACTAAAAACATATTATGTATGAATGTATGCATACCTGCAAATATGTACTCACATACATATGTGTTATTAAAAATAAAAATTGCTTGGGAGTAATGCGAAATAATTAAATAAGAAGTTGACGCTTTTACCTTGACAGCAAAAAAGCCCCAGATATAAAGGTGTATCCACCATACGTTAGTATGCTGAAGTCATTTCCAGCCTGGGACCAATTTAAGTTATTAAGCAAGCTCCATTCAGCTGATAATTTTTGGTTTCTTTTATTAACTTGCTCGCCTTGGCTGTCGGTGAGCTTTTTGACAATTAAGGCAGCCAAAGATACTACCTTAAATAAAAAACGATAATAAATACTTATTCACAATTTCAACCGCATTTACACACATAAGTGCGGGTGGAATAAACTTTCAGACAAAACTTATATGTACGTATGTATGTATGTATATGCATCCATGTGTCATAAAGTGCATCGCGCTATATATTATATGTATGTACATACATATGTAAGTAGTTACGAGTATTATTGTAATCGTACGAGAATAACAGAAAGTATAAGATTTAAACAAGTTATTTTCAAAATTATTTTCTAGTCTTTATTTCTTTTTCTGAACTTATATTCACATATGCATATAAGTAAGTGCATTGTGTGACAAGCAAATTTCAACTTACAATTTTATTTAATTAAGCCATATCTACCATCTGTTATATTATTTTTTTTTCTATACTTTAGTTGGAGATGGACGAAATCAATCAATATTTTATAAATAATAATTATCTACAATGTCTTTTTATAAAATCTTCCAAAAGAAAATGGATAGTTTACTGTGGAGTACTCGGATATTATGTTAAAAAGTTGATTTTAAAACCGATTTTTTTTAATACATACATACATTGCTTCAATTGGGAAAAAACTTGAAAGCCACCAAACTAGTCTTCATCTGAACGCAGATACCATAACCGTACATAATAAATTTTTTCAAGTATATATACTCGGTTTATTTGTAATTTCACAAAAAAAAAAAAAAAAAAACGTGAAAAACTTGCATATGTCTATGAAAGTAAAGAAACTCTAACTTTAAGCAAACTCCATTTATTTTATATATAAAAAACGATATCACAAACATATAAATTCGAATAAATTTTAATTTCAATGTAATTAGAAAATATGATTTAGCCATGAAATCTTCAATGTTCGTATATGAGCCCTATCTGTCTTTAAATAAAACTTTGTAGTTGAATTTAGTTAATTTACTTACTAACTCCAAAAAAGCGAGCAGACTTGAAACCGAATTACAACCCATTCTTACCGATTTTACTATATGAAATAAAGCTACAACTGAGAATGGAATCAAAAGAGCTCAGCTTTTACTTCTTGACAATAGATGTTTAGTTATTGCATGTATGTGTGTGTACATGTACACTTATGAACGCACTTGCATACATATCCCTGTCGGGAATCAGGTGGTAAAATTAATAAAATAATTTGCTTTTTGTATATTTTTGGTTTTGGTTTATATACAAAAAGTTTAACAACTAAAGAAGGATCGCTACTTGTTCTATATGCTGGGCCGTAGTGGTCTCTTATTTGAAGATACCTTAAATCCGAATCGCAATAGAAAAAAGTATTGCGCTACTCGTTTTCCAACTGGGAGCTCTTACTAATTAGACATATGTTTGAATCTGCATATATGTATGTATGTTCCTGCATACTCTTGGTATATATTTTTTAAAATGCAGTCGGATCTCCCGGTTGAGTATTCCGATTTAAAACACTTTAGTAGCATAATTTATATTATGCGCTGCCAAGAGCCGTTGGACAACTTGGATATTTAAATCGGCACATGTTTATATGTTTACCTAATATGCATTATGCAACATGCTAGCCACATTAAATTTAAATATAGACGTTTTTGTATTTAGATATATACGTTTAAATATGAAACAAAATGTGTACATACAAAAAAAAATACTCACACAAATATTTGTTTGCTTGTGTTAAGGTTCATATGCACACAATACATATACAAATAAGTGTGCAAGTTTGCGATAATTTTTGGGAACTAAAAAATACTATTTCGGATAGCCTACTTAAACATGCTTGATTCCTCTACAAATGCGACTCATTTTAGAAGCAAAAAGATATAATAAGCAAAGCTACAAAAAAAAGTTATAAATAATTTTACATGGCAAGGCAAAGAATGCACATTAATGAGCATACCTAGCTGTCACTTTCGTCTATTGTATACTTTTTTTCGTAGAACTCGTAAATTAAGTTTTGGTGTTGGAACCGAAAAAATAACATGCATAAAGGATCTGTTTAGCTGGTCGTATCATATGAGATATGTAGAATGCAATAACTTTTAGAAATTAGTCTTGAAATTATTAACATAGAAAATAAATTATATGATATTTGAGGAAAAAGTAAAATGATTATTGTCATAATTAGTGTTTGACTTTAAAATTTTGAAAAGTTCTAACATGCATGTATATTTTAAAACAAAACATAGATTTTTACAAATGTAAAGGCCTGCCAACTGTAAATGTGACGTCAACGGTTGTCGAAACCTTATTCTGTATCAATCATGACTGATTGATTAGTATGTAAGTACCAGGATATCTGCTTAATATGTATGCGCATATAATATCTATAATTGGCGCTTTGTATCCACTGAAGCGATTTCCGGCCGAGCTTCTCTTCCAATTTGTGGTTTTGTGTCTGGATGTCTTATCCAACAAATAGAGGGACCTACAGTGTATACTAAGCCGCATCCGAACGGCTGACGGTTTTTTATGAGGAGCGTGTATTTCATGTCAGAAACACACTCAGAGTTGATATTCTCTGCCAAGGGGAGATCGCGAGAAAATGTATCTTATTTTTTTATTTAAATTAATTTTCTATAATTTTTGGGTGCTGATCGGACCAGCATTCCGAAGGGCAGTTAACCCGGCCACATACATATTTAAAATCTAAAGAAAACTCAACCAAACCAAAAACTTTATATATAAATTAGTCCTGTTCGGTGCGCTGATCGACAGTAAATTCTCCAGACCACGGTAACGTCTCATAAGTTTGATTATGACAGTTGACACGGGACGTCCGTTTTCGTTTGTGGGTGTTTCTACTACCGTGTTACAGAATTAAGATAGCAAGATGTTCTACCCTCCCAAATAGAGAAAAGTACTGAGTTTTGCGCTAATAGTACCATTTTTCGCCAATGAAATTAATAAAACCAGAGGACTTCAAACTAAATGTCAAAATTTTGTTCTCTTGCTACAAATTCCATTGGCTTTTTGCGTAAACGAAACAATTGGTCTCGCCCAAACACATAGTTAATATAAACATTTTCAAAAAGTTGTTTACTAGCCTCTACAGCAACAATTTCAAAATAGTACAATAACTTAATCTAAGAGTTCCTTACGTTCCCGCACAGTAAGATTTTTCTTGCGTATGTAATTATGTTTCAGTATATATTAGTATATAGCATGGATTTGGAAAATCGATTTTTATGGGAGTTTACTAATATTTATTTAGAACGGCTAACTTTTAAGTTTAAATTGTTCACTCAATCAATTTAACGAAAATATAAGAATACAATCCAAACACAAAACCTTAATTAAAAAATTCAACTTTCTGTAGTAATAAAAACACTAGCTTAAAATATTTTTAGCAGTATTAAAATTTTTTAATATAACTTATATTTATTCTGCAACTACAAAATTTCAAGCACTTTATTATTTATAACATTACATGATTATATATATATAACGAAGTAATATACTAAATACATCCGCTTAAGTTTAGTTGTATATAATAATTTTACTTATTATTTTACACGTTTATAATATTGATATGATTTTGCTTAAAATAGTTAATATATATATATATATACATATATATATCAGCTCAATTCATCCATTTTCTGCAATTGGGAGCACTACACATACATGATATCTTATGCGCATCATCTTCTATATCAAATTTGTAATCATAAGACAGCTAAAAATACATATATTATTAAATACGGCTTTTGAAATATTACTCTTATATAAATAATTTACCTCTTCTCCTCTATTAATTCTTCGCTTGGCAAATATTATAATCCGAAGTTCACGGTCAACATCAACAGTTTCAGTTACACAGTTAGGATTGCAAGCGTGATTTATATAGCGGGCTAGTCCCCCAGACAAAGTGGCATCAACAACTCTATCTTCGTCCAGTCGGAACATGTAGATTCCTCGATTCTAATAGAGTAATAAAAATATGTGTTAACAAAATATGTAAAACAATATATAATTGTATAGTATAAGAATATAAAGCACAAATTCATCAATTGCAAATACCTTGGCTTCATATTGCTTTTCTCGAATTTCTGACACTTCGGTACGAATAACTTCTCCAATGTATTCTATAATCATTGTGTGTTTTTCTATATCCCGAGCTGCATACAAGCCGAGCCCCTGTATTTTAGATCTAAAAATTAATCGTAGATTAAGGAATAAAGTAGTAAACTATACTCAAATAATTATGTATATTTACATTATCTTACCTGGCTAAGTAAACATTATTTCTCCATTCCTGTTTCATTTTTTTATATTGCGAGCTTTTTGAGTGCACAAATTGTTTACTATAGGGACAAGCTATTTCCCCCGCAATAGACGCTGTGGAATTCGCCATACGTTGGTTTGCCGTAGAGCCAGTCCTTTGCGTATGAGGCTTTCTCCAAGGAACAATTTGTTTCTGTTTTGGCTCAGTTCGGGCAGATCCACTGGGATTGATGGCAAGTGGCAACTCCAATAATGGATTACGTCCATATTTAAAACGGTAATTTGTCAAAGTTTCTATACCCGGCAAGCTTTCTATTATCCGTACAACAGAATGCTCTGTTAAACCAAAGAGATCTTCCCCAGAAATGAATTGAGGAAAGAGTTGCACAACTTTATTATTCTTGCGCATAGTTGCGATTGGTGTCAAAATTTGTTTCCACACAGCATTAGGGGAGGAATCCCGCAATTCAATTTCATTTCCAGATTCCTGAACCTGAATTCGAAATTCAGGGCGACCGGCAATTTCAGCTATTGAGCAAACGTAACGGCAGCGACGATTTGGCTCTTTCATCGACCAATAAAATCTAATCTAAAAATTGTAATCAACACACTTTAATTTTTTTCTATAAACCACTGCAAATGGTTCTAATTATATACTTACGACTTTGTATCCTACAGGATAAATGTGATCTATGTTGTGGAACGCTTCTAATTGATGTGGAAGTAGTTGACCAATGTTCAATAATATCAAAGTGCCAACCCTAAGTAAATTTGTCAATTCTGAATGATGCATAACAGTAGCAACTTGTCTGTTTTCGTCTCTTTCAACAAATACACGCCTATGAACAATAAGGGATGTTAGTTCATTTTCCTTTTCTAATCGAGTAGCATGCTGTTGACAATGTATTGTTTTATTTTTATAAAAAACGCAATTCTCTCTTATTGCACACGGTAAGTGAAAAACTTGGGTGCATCGATTTTTGAAACATCGCACAGTGGCGCCCAGCTGTTGACATCCGCTGCAAGATTGGTTAAGTCCAAGTTGTAAAGCTGCTGGAAAGTTCATAAGGCCTCCACTTATTGTCTCATAAACTTCGCTGGACCAAAGAGCACAATTTAAATGCACCTAGAATCATGTAGAATGTATTGAATGTAAAAATACCATGTATCAGAGTTTTGAGTGGGTAAAGTTTTTATTATTTTTAACGGAAATATTTCGGCCAAATGAAACGATAAAGAATTAATTCGCTCTCAACTTTCTTTTTACAAACGTGCAGATCAAGTGAATTATTCGAAGAAAATACAATATGTGGAAATGTATTCCCTCTGTTATCGTTGGCGGCCCGATATGATATCGACGGCAACGAAAAATTGCTTTCGCAAGATTTCTATAAAAAAACATCATTTGTCAATTCTGCGTTAACTGTTTCATTTTGTTTTAAAATTTTTATTCATATTTTACGATATATGTATGTATGGATGTAATTGTCGTCTCAATTGAATATTTCTACGAAAAAATGTTCTTTTTTAATGATACATTAGCTCAATCGCGTAAGAAAGTAAAGAGCTTATGACGAAACAAATTATATATTCGCGGATATCTCTTCACTTAAGATTTATTTCATTTGAAATTTGTAGACTACTCTCGGGTCCACAAAACTAAACAAATCCACAAAATTAAACAAATGCGAAGGCTTAATGACATTTCAATTTTCACTAATTGACTTTGAAAGCATATTGCTAAACAAGGAGTTTTTTCTAACACAGTCACAAAAGCTTTGGAATGTTCAGTTATTTATATTATATTATTAATTATTTTATTTTACACGATTTTACACATTTCCAAAGGCTTTTTAGCAGGTATATATAAATATGGGTTAATCTGTTTCTATATAAAACAAGTAACAATTGTTACTGAATTTTATTTATTTATTTTCACGTTTAGTTTAGAGAGAGGGTTGAAAATTCTATCTGTGAAAATTTCGGCCAGCTGATTTGTGATCGTATGGTTGCTCTGTTAACAACAAAACAAAAACTGATTTAAAATAAAAATAATATTTATACTTTAAAAGACTTATGTACTAACAAAAAGTTACCTAATTTAATTTTGTTAAATTTAGATGAATGATAACAACGATTCAATTAAATAGTAAAGGTACTCGTTAAACGAAAATGTGATAGCAATGGACATCGCCCACACGCCACGCAGTTTGCATTAGGGAATTGGAAGTTAGGAATATTTAATGCATAAAATATTCTTATTTTTAGTATAATGTAAGCTGATCATCTTTAATTTACTGGAAAGCATTGAAAAGCAATTGAACCGCAACACCAATGACAATAATGCATTATTAAGCTTCCGGAAGCGAAGACGATGCACAAAATTAGATATTAGTCGCATTTTTAGGAAAAAAGAAAGCTCTGCGTGGATTATATTTAAACAGAACTCCATAATGATTTTCAGTTAAGATTGTTATTAACATATTCCAAACTCATTTTCGTATTTCAATCTTCTTCAAATTCTTGCAAAGCAGATATATAGCTATTATACAACTTGCTGGCTAATTTTTACTGAATTCTTTTCGGTGAAAGCTCTGTAAATTTCTTTCTTTGGAAGAGTAAAACATTTTACTATTTCAATATCAATACTGGATAATTTGTATAGACATTTCTCACCGAACAAAGCTATCATTTAATCATGCCTTTCCTTTTACATTACATCAAATGAGGTACTAGCTGTAGGAATCTACTTTAACATTTATAACTTGCTATTTTCAGTTTTTTAATAGTTGTTTCTTACTTTTCGACTTCAAATATTTTCTTTTCTGAATTATTATAATTTTCATTTTCAAACAGAAAGAAGTGATAAATAAATTTTATTTAAAAAATAAATTTATCCTTATTTAAATAAATACATAAAATACATGTATCTATATAATTGGCGAAATTTATGTAATTAACTATGAATGAAAATAAGTATCTCAACTAACTGATATTATATATACAGAAAAGAAAATTTCTTATTTCACTAAATTCAAATGGTTGCTTGTCTTAATTGTTGAGCCCATAGATATTGTCCTTGATGTTGAAAAAAAAAGTCCTTTAATGAAGCAGATCGATTATTGTTTGTTTCTTCTTTTATGGTTGTTCACTGATGTTATTAAAAGTGTTCCACAAACAAATTTTGAAAATTGCATACTTAACAATCAGTTGCATAAATCTTTGGCAATACACAAACACGTGCATATTTACATATACATATACGCATATTTTAAAAAGGTTAATTTTAAATAGTTTTCAAATAAAATCTTTATTTTTTTCTTTATTTAAGCAGTTTATATGATATATAAAACGGGATCGCCAATTGTATATATAAATGAAGATAAACTTATATTTTTTAAATAAATCGAGAATTCAGAAACATACAAATTAAAAAGTTGAAAACATCAAATTACAAATGTTAAATTAGATTAAAAAAATTTCGAAAATATATCGATGATCAACCACAATAGATGGGATTAATCGATTTCTTCCATTAGTCTCGAAAAAATGGTCCTTAAAACTTCAACGGACAGAAAGTATACGCAAAACTTACCCATTTATCAATATCGAAATTTAGTAAACGAGATGGCCCATTGGCTGCTCCATCCCCTCGCTGGTAACAAAACACACACTGGCGCACATCTTCACTCGAACTGTTTAAAATGCAACCAGCAAAATAGCTTTTCAAACTGTTTTGCTCCAGAAATGATTCGCGAATGTACATCGATCTGTCCTTTCTTTCATTTTCAGAAGCACGATTATTCTTCTTTGAATCGTTAAAGCAGTTAGCATTGTAGTGTTTATAAGTGCAACATTTACTTTCATTTTTTTTGGAAACAGTACTTTGCTTTCCAATATTTCTACCTCCACTTGCATTTTCATGCGAAAACTTTTGCTCTGTCGTCAATTGCGCATTTTTTACTTTGGAGTCTTCATTCGTGCTTTCCACTAGATTGGGATTATTAAAATGTTCATAACAATATTTGTCACAAAATTGCACCTTCATTGGTGACAAGTCAGAAGACAATTTTTTAGCATCACTGAAAGGTGTTTTAAACGACTGAAATCCTGCATTTGTTGTCAGAGAGGTACCACAATTATAACATATTTTTTTTTTACCGCTCATAACATCTTGTTGAAAACTTATCTGACCTTTAGCTACTAATTTATTATCGATCTTTGGTAAGAGGCCTCGAGATAAGCTGAATGAAGGTTTATCAATAATTTTATACATTGCAGGAGCAGGAATATGCAATAAATTGGCTAAGTCCTTAAGTACGCCGAATATATTGTTAACAGCAGATAATTGTACAGATAAGGTAACCAAGCGGTTGTTGTTATCCTCACGTTTGGTCCTAAAAATTATAATTCCTTAATGTAGTTTTTGCGTATGATAATATTTAACATTATATATTGAAGTGTGGGATTCACGTTTTCGTATAACTTATTTCCAAATATTAAATCATGTAGGAAAAAAATAATTATAGTTTTATAAAAAATTTACCTGATATCATTTGCAATAGTAAAAGACTGCTTCGCATTTTCAATATCAACGATTTGCTTCACCGGTTTCACCAGACAGTTCTTTTTTATGTGGTTTGCAGGATCGATATAGGGGACAATTGGTGACATTCGGTCTATATAATGGTCTTGATTTTTATTCATTATGACCAATCCGGGATAGGTGTGTTGTTGAAGCGACAAACGGTTATATATTTCTCCCACGGAATTTCCAATACTAACATTATTAACTTTATGATTATCTATCATATCAGAAGAGTCCACGTTGCGCTCTTTCATAATACTCCAAATTCGTAAATACCGATCGTAATAGTTATTTCGTATATTCGGCGAAAACTCTTGATCATAATAGTTATTTTGTATTGTAGACAACTGCTTCTCCTTGCTTTCAATTGAATGAAAAGAGCCCGTATCATAAAGTGTCTTTGCGTTGGACCGATGGGCATTACCATACACCCCTAAAAGAGGAGGAGTTAAAAAACTATCACCATTTTCCTTACTATTTACTCCGCGTTGGGGATTACTACTTAATCCATAAGTATTGCACACAATAAAGTTTCTATTTAATAAAGGTTCCAACACTTGCATTGGTTTCATTTGCTTCAAGTTGGTCATCAAATTGTCGATAAAATTATCATAATCCTCTTCAATCTTAGATATTTTTCTTGACCTCTTTTTTGGTCCAGGTACACTCGAAGTAGAGTTTATTACATTTACAGTTGACTCTTTACCACTAAGCAACAATCTACGTTGCTTCTGGTATTCTCTTTTTCTTTTTTTTCGGGACTCAACATCTTTATCTACAATTACTGTTCTCTGAAGGGACGACGCTGTATTACTCAATTCATTAGACTCAGGCGACAAACTCTTTTCATTTAAGCTGGTTTTATTTTCTAATTTTATGTTTACTAGAATATTTGAACTTCGCACTTCGTTATCATACGATACCTTTGATTTTACAGACGCGTCAGGCAAACTATTCTTATGAGCTTTTAGCAGTTTGCTAGTATTTTTTTGCCTATCGCTATTTTCTAAATTCTCTGTGATGCTTTTTGTAATCGGTATAGATGTTGAAAGAGTTGATAAACCGCCAGTGTTGGTCTCTTCTTTCTTATCCATGTTAACGGAATAATGGATTGTTGTCCCAGTCGACAAGTTTTGTTCATTTGAGCTTTCGGAACGAATTGATGCATGCCTGAAAAAATGAATTATGTAATAAAATCAGTTCTAGATTTATCTCTATGAAACTATATATATATATATATTTATCTGCTTACATTTTATTGGGCAGAGAAACATTTCCGTCAGAATTTCCAGAATCTTTAAATTCGTTGCCATTACTATTTTTGGGATGGTTATCCTTTAAAGTGGCTTCTTGCGTTTTGTTAAGGATATCATTATTATCACATATATTAGGGTTCATTTTATTAATCGAATCGAGCTCTTGACTCTGCCCAGTAACTGTTAAGTTGGTGCGGTGTGGCTCATCCAGTAATAATGTGTTAATAGTCGGGTTAGAAACAAAAGAAGTTTCCTTCGATATTACTTGAAGATGCTTCGTTTTCGGATCAGTTTGTGAACCTAAAGTTTCATTGTGGACTTTATTTAATAAGTCTTCTTGTGTGTTATTTTTCTGTAATATAGACTTGGATATATCCGTTTGTCCTGGTGTCGACGTAGTTGCTGGAACAGGAGGAATAACTGGACGTGCTAACTGAGCCTCAAGGGAACTAACCAAACCCAAGCTAGGTGCGCGTACGTTGATCACTTTACGAGCTGATAATACATGACTACAAATTGAAGTCGTTGAAGGGCTCGACAAGTTTGTAGACAAAATATTAATATTATGCGAGCTGCTGGAATTTTGAAGAAGTTTTTTAAGCAGAACATTGTTAGATTCCTCCGATTTAGGAACTATTATAGATGACTTATTGAGTTCAATGTTGTGATGTTTGTCTTGACTTATTATTGATTTTACATCGCCAAAGGAATGCAAACTGTCCCCGCTTTCTCTTTTACTGAAACTTTCAAATGTATCTGCAGTGGCGTCTGTATTGTCGTGTTTAATGCGCTTCTTGGGTAATATGTCTACATTAGTAACATTTGGACGATGATCTTGTTCATGTCCTTCAACAGATTTGCAACGCTTATCTAAATGTTGTCCCAGTGAAGATAATGTATAGGGTGTTACTTTGACAGTTTTGCGCGTTATTTGGTTTTGATCAGCTGAAGTTATTATACCAGGCGGTGGCACTGCAACAGAAATAACTGTAGATTTGTTAATGGGACTCACATCTTGCGAATGAGGCTGACTTGACCCAATCGAAGAATTACTGACATTAAAAGACTGACTCATATTCATGGAGCAGACAGATGCAACATTAAGGGCACTTGAAACAGTTAAATTGATTTTTTTAACCTTTTGATCTGTGGAATTTGCATTTCTAACAGTATTTGCTGACATAATAGTAGCTTTCGTTTGTTGATTAACGTTGTTTTTAGACAGAACTAATGAAATATTTTTCGGAATCGAAATTAACGATGAGGTATTTAGCTTTCCACACAGATTGCTCAAATTTGTTGCTTTTGCATTCTGAAAATCTGCCTGTATTATATTATCAGAGGCGCTTGTTGAAACAGATACACAAGTTGTCGTGGCTGATGTTGTAATTAATTGAGGTGCACTTTGTCTAATTATGCTTACTGCTGGATATATATTTGAATTTCCTTGCTGGTCAAAACTCTTTGATAGTGGTGTTAGTAAAGGTAAGATGTTAACATTTGGATTTAACACTTTTTTGATGCTGGCTGTTGTTTTGTTTAACGTAATTTCATCGTTCACTGGTGACACAATCTTTAATGGAATTTCTGATGAACACACCTTTTGCGAAATATTTGTTTCGGCCATGGTAAGCTCGCTGACAGGTTTTTCGATTTGTTCGTTTGTAAATTCCAAATTCTCTGAAACAATTTTATCAGACTGAGATGGTCCATCTTCTGAAATGGTGTTATTTTGTATTATACCACCAGGATCTTGTTTATGAGTAAATTTCTTTGAACCAGATTGTGTAATTGCTATGTTTTGTTTAGATTTTGATACAGCAATAGTGACAAGACTTGCGTTGGTATTAGACGAATTTGTTGTTACAGAACACTGAAGTTGTGGTAGCTTCTTACTGAAAACTTTTGTTTGGACAAGTTTCGTCGTTGATACAGGCTTGATTTGAAGCTGTGAGAGCGAAACTATTGTTGGGTGGCCTGCCTTATATCCTTGCTTTGCCGTTAAAATTTTACTCAAATTAATTTGAGTTTGTGAAGAAAGCGGTTGAGAAGTTGTTGTCGTAGCTGTTTGCGTTTGTTTTTGTAAATCACAGTGTCCCGAGCTCCCTGGATGCATGTGTTGCGAAGAATTGAGAGGCTTTAATAATGGCACGGATATAGTAGTATTACCAATCGAAACTTTTGCTGTGGTTTGTGTAACTTCCGACGGGAGTTTTTTAGTTGTTACCATTACTTGCTGATTTTTCATATTTGGTGAAATATTCCTCCGATTTAAAACAGTGGTATTAGCTTGCAAACCGGAGGATATTGTACTTGCAGTTGTTATTCGAGTATAGGTCACTGTGCTCTGCCGCATAACACTGGCATTGGAAGCTATGATGCGTGTTGGAGGTGGTGGGTGACAATTATTATCAGAATTTTGGGACGATTGTTGTGCTGACTTCTGCTCCTGAATAGAAGACAACATCACAACATCCATTTCGTTAATATTACATTCTTGGTTTATTGACAATAAGGTTCCCTCAGTAGGTTCTGCCTGAGCAGTGCATTTGGAATTAGCATCCTTTCGTCCACTTGCATTGACATTCACTAGGGCATTGCCAGCATCTGAATTTGATTTCTTTTTATTGTGTTTATCACTTTCTTTTTCTTCATTACCGTCTGTTAATTTGGAAGAAATCACAATATATTCTTCCGTATTCAACGGACTCGAAGGGCATGAACTATTAATAGACCTGCCCAAATTTCGAATAGTGTTGAAAGTCAATTTTCCTCTCTCCGTTGAAATTTCCCCCTCCTGATTTTGGAAATTTTGAAAAGGTTTTGAAATAGATTCCCTTTTGAAGCCTTTTTTAACTAGCTCATCTTTACTACAGTCACTGGAAGGTTTCTTAATTAGGGTACCTTCCGTGTGCCAAACAGAGTTATTTGGTTTATCTAATTTAATTTTTTTTGTCGAACTGATACTTATTTCTGATGCACTAGTTCGTTTTACGGAAATAGTATTATTTACGGGGAATGAAGGCTGATTGGGGTTTTCTGTGCTTCCAATATTTTTTATTTGATTCATACTTGTTATATTGCGTGGGTCCACTCATCAATATAAGAACAGTTATATTCAAGAAAAAATCTGAAAAAATACATAAATTTCAATGATTTTAAAATATGTATACATTTAAACCACTTTTAATTTATTTCTTATTATACAGAATATGAGCATACTTATATTCAGAACAAGATTTTGAATAGACGTTTCAATATCAAGACGTGATTTGTACGATGTTTAGTATTTAAATGAGTTTATAGTGAGTGACTAGCAGTGAGTGCTACGAGCTCCTTTACACCAGGTGATTCCGGCCAGCGCTTTGCGAGCTTTGCTTCAATTACGTCAGAAGCGGGATGAAGGAGTGCAAGTTGTGAAATGCGACTCCCAGTAACTTTGGGTTGTTTTATGTCGTAATTTTGGCGCCATCGACCTTGAGATAAAGTATGAACCTTATATTCTTTCGTACAGCTGGTGAAAAGTTATCCGAAGATTTTATCGGTTGTATTTATAGTCGTCATGCGGCGAAGTGTGATATGTCTGGTGAAGAAAGGAGCTTGGAGATATAGAAGTTAAACAGTAATGGGGTAGGGCACTACCCTCTCACGTCAGCCGGTTCTACGCTCCGGAGTTGGTAAGATATCAACAATTATATTAAAAACATTTTTTTATGCTAATACTTGTTTTATTCAATGCGATTACATCGTCAACTGGTGGCATGTGTTTTAAGAAGACCATAGGTGCCTCTTAATAGACATTCACCTATATATAGCGAAAATTATACCATTTATTTCGAGCTATTTTAAAAGTATAAACGCTGGTAACCAATAATATTTCAATTTCTTTAAATTAATTACTCAGATCAACTTTTACCCACCTTATGGTATTCACAAACTTCATTCCATAGACAATACCAAAAGCTCTTGCTGATTTAATATTGGTGTTTATTTACACTAGAGCAACTTGAAAGTGCACTTTATCATTCTTTTATAACTTTAATATTACAGTTTATTAATGAAAGAATATTTTAAACATCAAAATTGAAAATTTTTATATAGTATTGTCTACATTGAAAAATATTTTAGATGATTTAACCATCAAACGAATATCAAATGAAACGTTTTAGGAAGAAGAGCGGTACAGAGTGTTTCTTTTTGAGGGCACGATATGTATAGGGCGTATGCATTTTTTCGAGTGCCGGTAAAAATTTAAGTTGTTAATAACAGGCCTACTCTCACTGTTACGGTGAAGTAAGTTTTTGTTACTTTTTTTTAACACCCGTTATTTAATTTGGTATTCTGGCCAACTGGTTACAAAAGTTACAGAATAATAGTGAACACAGAATACGAAATAGTAACAAAATTTACTTACTATTTTAACACCCAAAATTTAATTTAGTATTCTGGTGAGCTGGTTACAATGTTTGAAAAGATTTTGGCAGTACTGTTTTTTTTTCGTCCTTGTCAAATTACATTTGCCAGTTGGTAAAGTAAAAAAAAATAAAGAGTATTCACAATGGAAATGGAAAACGGTGAACAATAATATAAAAAAGTTTTATTTATTTGTTTATTAAATCATAAATATTTGAATCTAATTTTGGAAAATATGCCTAAGCGACAAAAAAACCTGAAAGAATACGCTTTCTTTCAAATTAAAAGGGAAATTTTTTTCCCGCAAACTTCTTCGCATACGCCTTCTTACACTTTTTTCTTCATCTTCAATGAATTCCAGGCCTAAAATATGCCTACCCATTTTGGTTTTTATTTTTCTGAAACTAACAACATAAAATCAAACAGCAACTAACAAAATTTACAGGATAACAGTGAGCTCAGAATACGAAATGGTAACAAAATTTACTGAATAGTAAATTTTAGTACCTAGGTAAATTTTGTTACCTCGACAGAATAGGCCTGTTAGAGTAACAGGGAACTTGAATGACGATTTGATTTGTCAGCTTGGTAACTATCTAGTTGCGAACCGTAATAACGCGTGAGAAATTCACAAACTTTTAAGTTTCTCATTCATAACTGGCTGCACCATTCTTGCTATTCAGTAAATTTTTCAACACAATTTGTCGGTTTGCAAAATACGAATTTGTCGCTAGTACTAACGATTATGCGATTCTCTAATGAAGCTACTGCCCGTCTTACACACCCTCCGTCCATAGCAACATATCTTATGAGAGCGCCATGTAAGCACAAAATTTTTACCGATTGACGGTTGTCATGCAGAAACCAGTAGCGATTTGATTTTTTCCGTAAAACCGACTCGGCTCATTTCTCTTTGCTAATCAAGGCAGCCAGTATTGACTTTTTTAACTAGTATCGATAACTCGTGTATGCATCTCGCTCTTCCAGTCGGCTGTTAAGAACGGATGGTAAGTAAAATGGGTAGTTGAAGGATAACTCAACCTTAGCGATAACCGACAACGGATATTTTCATCGATTGGGCTTTCGGGCTCACCATCTCCGGATTCTCAATTTTCACTACTGTTCAGCAGGTTGGAGAAGTGTTCCGTCCATAAATTCAATATACTTTGGGCATCGGTGGCTAGATCACCACCGTCCCACAGGTCCCGGATACCGAGTTACTGATGAGTGCTCTCAGAGAGCAGGAGTGGAAGTCGAGTAGAAAGTCGTTCTTGCAGTCTGTTGTAACTGCAACTTTTCAACGTCGAAATTTCCTTGTGTTTGTTGACGGGCGTTCTTCGATACACAGAGGCGCATGCGTATCTTTGCTGCTAAAAGAGACATGTCTCCCGTCTGATCTATTTTTTTGTACTGGAATCTAGTACTACGGACAACCATATTTCAGGCCCCGACGAAGTTGATCAGCCTCAACCCATTAGGGAATGTTACGTTGTAAGGCTAAATTTTCCAACAGTCTTACTAAAAATACCTTCTTTGACCACCGTGGCTTATTAAAAGCATCTTTGGCCAAATCGTCTTTCTCTTCCGTCGGATCGTGGGCGCAAATCAGCGATATGTTGAAAAATTTCGCTTTGATGCGGATTGTGGCGAGGCGCTCATCCACCGGGGTGAATGCCAGTACTCGACGACGGAGTCTCTCTCCCGCCACAAAACCTACACCAAATTTGCCCTCCTTTATATGGCCGCTGTAGTAAATGTCACAAGAACTTACTCGATTTCGTCCCTGTCCCGTCCATAACACTACTCGGACGGCGGTGATGTCAGCCTTTATTCTTACGATGACTTCCACCAGCTGGGCAGCGGCATCTTCTCAATTAAGAGTCCGGACATTCCAGGTGCATACCCTCAAATCGTGCAGGGATCGTCAACAGAAAGGAGGTACCTCTCTCAGCCGCACCTCTGCAATTAAACCGAATAAGTCGGAGTGGTCCCACTGAAGCTTCCTCTCTCATTAGCAATGACCCGAGGCCCCACACGGGCTGGTTACCCCTTCTTGCACAAGGGTTGCTCACGTTTCTAGGGTGCGCGACGTGGAAACAAGAGTATGAATTGAGTATAGCCTCGCAACTGTAACAGCATACCCAGAAGCTTGACTACACCCCTAACACCGAATATTAAAATCGTTAAATTGTCGCTAAAAGACTTTTTTAATTATATTAAAAAATATTTTATTTTGGGGATAAGTGTATTCTCACTTTTTAGTTATCTTACATTATCTGGTAAATGCTTTAGGTTTATACTTTTCCGAAAGATGTACATACATATATACGTAGAAATTCTTGTAATGATTATCAAAAGTATTGCTCTGAATATTTTCCTTCATTACAAAAACTTCAACCAAGAAAAGAGAGTATGAGTTGTGCATTTGATGGTTATTAAAAATTTATTATTTATTATCTTTTAAATAGTGGGGATTACGAAGAAATTGCAATTCATTTTAATAGGTACAATTGGAAGTAATAAGATGAATAGCATTATTTACTTATTAATTCGCAGATGTGTACCCTCGACACATCCTGTCACCCGGTAAACCCAATTTGGTGAAAGAGTGTTCCTTAACGCTGCTTTCTTCTTCCTGAGTTCTTGCGAAGCGCACCCGTTTGTTGCAAAATTTGCTTTCGAAAATACCTTTGCTACTGTTGATTGGCTTATCGCTGAAGCATTTCCATTTCAAACGGATTTCTGATAGCTTCCGGGTGCAAGAAAACTGAGAAAAGTAGCCAACTTCAATTGGGGTGGCAGGTGAGTATTTCGGAATGTGTGCTTCATATTCATTTTTGTTTCTTGAAAAATGTAAGAACCCTTCTTCGCCCATTCGAAAGTTCGTCACAAACCTACATATGTATATATTCAAAAAAGTGAACACTTTTCCCTGTAATAAATTCATATTTACTCAGCCTCCGGCAGTTCCAGCACATTTGTTGCATCAATTACATTTCGTCTTTGGATGCTTAATTCCACTTCATCTGAACGTTCATTTTATAAGTATGCAATTGCTGAATACATTTTGATTTTGAATATATATTTTTGACAATTTACAAACACCGTATTTTAAAAAAACAAACACAATTATCAACGAACGAGAATATAAAGAAGGATGGATAGAAAGATAGAAATATAGAAATTAGAAAAAAAGTGTTTTTAATTTAATTATTATATAAATGACATATAGCAACATGTTATTTGACAAATGATTCCTTCTCGCATTTCTCTATTACGTAGGCAACGTAACGGTTGACGAACAATATAGGGAATGTCAATGCTGTACGAAATCGTCGGGAGACGATTCGTTCGTCAGACCTTTCGTTCGCAATACATAATAAGATTAATTAATTAAACAATCTTGCTTGACAAACAGAAGACAGCTGTCTGTATGTATGTATGTATACATATACATATATTATTAATATTCAGTAATTTTTCCAAAATTTTTGCATAGATCAAGTACATACAATAGCTGCTATGGTACAGAAAACAAAAAATAAATCAGCAATAACATCATTTACGAGAAAATGCGGAAAATATATTAAGCAAAACAGTCTCTAATGTTGTCAGACAGTGGTGGCGCAGCTCGTCGGCTTCCTTGAAGTTGATAGACGTCTAAGTAAAATAAGAAATGGCTGTTCGAATTGGAATGTTATTAATATCTAATTGCATTTGTACCTCGCAAAGAAAGTTTTGTTAATAATTTCAGATGCTTTTCCCATTAGCTTAATTTTCCCAATGATATAGGGTGCACTACCCGATATTACTTTCGCGAGGTTGCGAATAGGTTCTGCTCAAATAAAAAATGAAAAAAAAAAAAAAATGAAGTATCCATATTTTACACTTTTACATATTTTGAAGATAATCATTATTAAATTCACTTAAAATTATGTTTTCGGATATTTAATAACTCCATTAATCCCTTATTTTCGTAGTGTGGCGCCAGTTGGAAATACCAAGTGAAACCAGGTCGATCTCCATCAGCGGGTACTGAACTTATTATCTCATTGGAAAAATCACACGATAAAGAGCCACGCCACGGCTCGGAGAGCTCCTTCCCAGTTCTGACTGCACTTTTGGTGCTGCCCAGCGTTAGTCTACACTTTTTTATGGATTGAACCAGTTTTAAATAGCTTTGCCGGTAGGCTATCAGCTCTCGCTGCTGTATCCTGCAAAAGTTTGCTACGGCCTTGAAATATTCTGTAAGACGCCGTATCTTTTTGTTGAATTTTCTAGAATTAGCCTTTTCGACCAGCTTCTCAAGCTCTTGCTTCCCTCTTCAGCTCTCGATATCTTTCCCACCCCGCAAAGGTGCGAGGTAGACAGTCTCTCTACTGCATATCCAAAGTGCTCATCGAAGAAGATATTTGGGACTGGGAGTTTGAGATGCAACTCGTTCACATCTCCCTTATATCGAGTTGTCGATGAGTGCTCGTGTGCAAGGCGAGTGGAAACCCGTTCGGCTGTCACTTCTGATTGCAGTTTTTGACGTTCAACCTTTCTTTGAGTTTGTTGACAGAATAACTTGCTTATGTGTTAGTGTTGCCCAAAATTGTGTGAGCGTATTGGTAAACCCATCATCCCGTTCTTGCAGGGTAGAATGGTGGGGTTTGAATCCCGGTTTGACCAAGCATACAAAATTATAGAAAAAAAATATATATTATATACAAAGAAACGATTTCTTAACGTCATTTGACTAGTTTACAAAAAAAAATACTGAATTAAAATCGTGCTTTGGCACTATAGATGAAAAATTCAGTCTAAATGACGAAGCCTTCCTAAAGAAAGAGACGATAATTAGCTTCGCCAGGCCCGTAATCAAAGACTCAAAACGAAACGTTGGTAAACTTCACTTCAAGGCGGATTGAAGAGAGACGTTCGTCCACAGGGGTGAAACAAATTTATATAGCGAATATAAGGTCTTACCTAGCGTATTGTTGGAAAAATTTTATCTGATCTGATTCGTCATTATCACTATGGCATTGAAAAGACGCCCGAGGAAGTAAGGACTTAAAAAGAAGAAGAATATTTTAGTCGAACTCTATAAGTAACATATGTATGAAGGATGAGTATATTTATTAAAAAAATAATAATACAGCTAAATGCTACAATAATAAAAAATAAATAAATACATATGAAATAATACATTGCAAAACCTTAAAACGGCAAATAGGACTGAATGTCTGGTGAATCCTTTGGCGAGCTCAAATTCGAAACAGGACTGGGAGAACGAGCTTGCGCCTGAAGCTGCTCTGTTTCAATCGCTCTCTGCTGCTCGATTGCAAGAGCTTTTTGGGAATTTCCTGCAATTTATGGTAATCTTCTAAATATATGCAGAAGTACAAATAAATATATCTATATATATACATATATATATATATGCATATGAGTATTTCCACAAAACGGTCTACCGGGGTTAAAAACTAACATGTTAATAAACTAGTGATTTTTCTTTACTTTTTCTTTTAAATGTGTTAATTTTTATATTATAATGAATTTGTTGCATTTGCAATTATTATAAAAAAACCGGACTTGAAAGTTAAAAATATTTCGAATTCTTAGTCTTAATTCATCGCAAGAACTACCATTAGAAAGGCAATTCAATCCGCTTTCGATTAAAGTTAACCGTTTAAAATACTTAATATTTCTAAATACAGACTAAATTTTTGTCGTGTTCTTTATCTCATAATCCTTTCTTAAATATTGGAAATAAAAACTTGACTTGATATAAGATTTTATCGAAACATAAAAAACCTATAATTGGAGGTTGCTTCAATTGTCTGCACCTCAAAGATGTACAAATGTCCCATTCTTGAAGATGAAAATGCACATATATATATATTTATTAAAATTAATGAAAGTATCTTACCATTTTGGGAATTAATTGCCTGCCGCGCCGCTGTGTGGGGTGTAAGTGAGGACTGGCGTATAATGAAAGACTGATTGCTGATCTGATCAGCTGTTTCTATGGTGGTAGGAAGATCTAAGAGACGTTGATTTTGTATTCCATCTCCTGGTCCCATATGTGAGATGTGATTAAAATTTGTTGGAGCTGATATCATTTTAGATCTTCTGTCGCTAGTACTGAAAAGGAAGAAAATATAGGGGATATGAAAGTGTGTGCATGATTGAACTTTTTGAATCAAGTGTTTACCTTTTAAATGATTTGTTTACTTCACGAATAGAAAATCGGCGGCGAGTATTTTTAGTCCCCGTCTTTTCAACAGAATTGATGTGAATTAGTTCTTCTAAATAAAAATGTATTTATATACGTATATGTATTGTTAACTGAATATATTCAATAAAAAGTTTTATATTTATACTTGTGTGTATATTAGCTAAATATACTATTATTGGTGCGTCGTTAACAAAAGTCAAAACGAAATTCCCCTGCGGTCCTAATGGTTGCGCTCGCTTTAGCCCAATGGATTGCACCCACTCTGCAGTTTGAGTATTGAATATATCCACATGTGTTTCTGAGAAAACCAGTAAATGGCCGTCTAGATATGCTAAAATAAAAAATCACATAATAAAAAATCCTAGGTGTTTACTTATAAAAAGGTAATTTACTTATGTGAGAAGGGTTAGCTGGATAAGTTATTTCTCGGTCTCGTGATTTTCTGCCTTGTAGATCCACATAAATAGCTAAGGTTTGAAACACTAGTAAATATTCTCCGAAAATTCCTCCGGGACACTGTATTTCAATAACACGTACAGCATCAACGCCCGAGTAATTTAAAAAGGCACACAATTGATTTTCTGGATGTATCAAAGCTACGGAACAAATATAATGTTGTTTTACATAAATATATCTTTCCTTAAGAAAACTTCCAAATATCTTACAAGTAGTCGTTGCCTCGCCCTGCAAATAGTAAGCGGTGAAGCCGCTTTGATGGCCAATTACGAGCCTAATGTCAGACAAAATTTGAAGACTCTGAACTGGATACGCTACAGTGAATTCGCACATTTTTTGATGTCTCAAATGATTTCGGTTTATCTCATACACCACCACCTGCGTTTGATTTGTTGGACGCTTCAATGCCACAACAAACGCATAAACATTGGCAGGTGATCTACGAATCACCCCAGTGCATGCCGCAATACAATTTTTTGAATCTGCAACCTTAATCCATTCCACGTCGCTTACCTCTAAAGCTCTTATTGGAAGTAATCGAATGTGCCTTTGTTTTCCACACAAAATGACTAGAATATGCTCTTCCTCCACGTACCACATCTGAATAATTTTTTTACTCTCGCCAATGCGATTTATCTCTAAAACATAAAGAATAACAATAAATTTTTCGCAATATATGGATATGTTTAATATACATATTCTTTTATTTTATTGTATAATGAATCACTTCGCAATATATTAAAATTACTTACCGTATTCTTCAATGTTAACACAATATAAGCCATCCTCTGTACCCAATAAAAACTGGTCAGAATATACTATAACAGAGCTCAAAGCACTCCTTGCTATTGTGAGGGAACTGTCAAGTATTTCGTGTACTTTAAATATAGCTGTATTGGGAAGATTATTGCGTTTGAGTATGCGGTGCAATTCCCCTAAAGCGACTACCCATTTTCTTTTCTCAGTTTCATTGTCTGCCAACATAAGTGTATTACATGTGGGACCTCCTTCAATCAAAGAAGTCTTAATCTAAGCACATAAAAATACATATATTAGTAATTCCTGTATATTTACTACATGCTAGTGAAATTAAACAAATCGATTGATCCCGATCCTCGTTACAAATATTTTCCTTTTCCATTTACGAGTATAACAGTTCTTATATGCTTACGCCATAAAATAAAAAATAAAAAAAGCTCACCCTAAATATGCATGGCACATCCTTTTTAGTAGCATGGATGACATCACTTTCCCGTACACTGGCAACAGCAAACTCCGGGTCTCTCATATCTAGAACTTGAGAGACATTCACACTGGGCAAAGCACTCCTTTCAGCCGATATATCATACAAGAACAACTTGAAATCGCAAACGACCACGAATTGTCGCACCCAACCGCGTTTAATGGTACCCATTTTTGGCACTTTTACATAACCTTCATAAGCTGTTCCGATACCTCTAGTCGGATCGATGCCTAACGGCCTCTTCGTTTGATCTATTGGTACGGGACATATTGTAGGAACCTTCTGACAGCAAATCGTGTGGCAAGCAAAGCCACAGAATTCGCATACCACACCTTGCCTGGTCAAACCAACCATGAGTGAGGTGCAATGATTGCATTTGGTTGGGCTGCTGAAAGTCCGAACTAAAAATTGGTGCACTTTTGCAGTTGGCACATTCGTAGAATGCAAATCGAGAGGCTTAACACTAATGCTGCTTTTTGAACTTGATTTGCTATGGTGACCATGTACATCATCCAAATCAATATTATCTTGATCATTTTTATAGTCTGTAGATAAAAAATGTTTCTTTTCGACCATATAATATGGATATAATGAATCAAGTTTGGAATTCTGGGGATATCGAATTGCATAAGAGCTACCTGAAGTGACGGATGAATTTGGATTTTGTTTTAAGTTTACAAGTGATAAGTTGTTATTAAATGAACTACCCTGTGATGGAATAAATAAATATTATTTAAGTGTCTTACAAAACCCGATTAACTTATAAATTTACCATCACATCTCTGGAAATATTGCTGTCAGCATCAATATCCGTAATTTCAAGATTCCCCGTAGATTCTTTAAAGAAATAATTACAGGATGCTTGCGAAGAAGGCCTTTCCAAAACTGTTTAGGACGTCATATATAATTTTGGCACATAATCGAAGAAAAAACGAAGATTTAGCCAAACATACATTTACATATATACATACAAATATGTAACCAATGCAATTAGTTTTGTTATTAGGCAGTGAACCAGGCAAATTGGAAAATACGTTTTAACACGTATCGTTGCAGGAACAATACAAAGCGATATGAAATGAGAAGATGTAAATTGTAAGCGTGAAACTTAGATAACTCAGTTATAATCCAGCATATAAAAAAATATATTACATACACTAAATAACAACAAACAAAACCGGTTAAAACTGTGTGTAAATGTAATGTAAAATATAATCAAGTTTTTCCGTAATACTAATAATTTTACAATTGTCACATCATATGATTACTTGTTCTTCACCCTTTCATTTCAACAATTGACACAAATAAAATACATGGGCCATTTGTTTTTGTATTCTTGCTACTACCGACATCTAATTCTCGAATATTTACAATAAGTTCTTGCGATCGTTAGATTTTATTTCTTAAGTGTAAAAATTACATTTTGTACCACTGATAATCCACTTTTTATCAAAAAATTAGGTGTAAAAAACTATGTATTATAGCTTTATTATATTTTAATAATCATTTTTAATTTAAAGTCCTATAGTGAAAGAGTATGAATAACTGATAAAAATTTAAGACCAACCAAAAAAAAAAGTCGAAAAAGGTAATGTAATTTTAGTCTAAATATTGCTAGTATTTAAATTTTTTTTTTTCAAACTAGGAACTTCCCTAGTGAATTTATTGTAAAATTCTTTGTAAAAAAAAATTTATTGTTTTTGACTGATCTGATAGTTTCTTGTGAAAACTGATAAAGTGCCACTCGTATGGTACTTCACCAACATATGTATTTCTGGAATAACAAAAAAAGCTATTATTTGAGCTTAAAAATTCTCCAGGTATTTAGTCGCCTTCCCTGCTAAGGGTTTATATCTTGACAGTCTTGCAACTAATGTGACCTTATGCTGTAGCGTGTGTCAATAACGGTTAGAAGTAACTGTATTTTGAGCTCGTAACAAAAAATTAACTAATTGTTAGTTTTAATAGACAAACTTTCATAAGTTATACACGAATTAATTGAATTTTCACCAAATGAAATATTCATGCCAAACTTATTTAGTGACTATTTAAGTATCATAATCTTAAAATTGTTAATATAATATTTTTGTTTGTATGCTTACAATTCTCTATTTTTAGCGTGTCTTTTTTTTAAATCCAATATATGTAAACACTTACTTCGAAAGAAAATATTTCGTTCAAAACAGCATAAAGAATAAAAAACGTGAAATGCGTAGTATTTTTTCGAGACATCAAAATATAATAATATTTATTACAGAAGTATGGTTTAATAGGTTAGGTCTTATGAGTTTTGGACTGTCAATAAATGTGAAAAATTATAATCCCGTAATAAAAACAAAACTATTCCTACAAAGCACGATGTCACTCCAACCCATAGTGAGATGCTAAATCGTTTTATAATTTTTTTAGCTAAACTGCATACACTTTGATGGACAGATCGCGACTCTTCGTGCATTGAATCTTGTTGACAATGTTGAATCTGCAATGAAAACTTCAACAGATTTAGAATATTAGCTGTCCCCGGCATTTCGTTGACCTCTAAGTTTTCATTGACTTGTTTTGAAATCTGAATCAAGTCATTAAGAGAGTCTGCAAAAGCAATGCCTCTGTCTTGGTTAACTTTTATTGTCGAGTTTTCGAAGAATTCTGTCGATTTGCTTTTTCCACTTCTTCTCCCCCGAACTTGGCATATATTCTTACTATTATCCAATAATTTATTTAGTATATCTTGCATATATAATTTATCTATAAATCATGAATTAAGAACAAATATAAAATTGTCAATACAAAAAAAAAAAATTGATTAACTTAATGCATAATACGCTTTAGATTAATTGGAATGAAATATTAAATATGTAATATTTAAATAACTTATTCAGTTGTATAAATAGAGCGGCAACTATGGACCTAAGCAGTTTTGCTCGGAACTTTTCAATAGTTTAATAAATACATATATATATCGAATGTAGCCGCGTTAGGTCGATTCGTGCATAAACTGGACCTAAGCATATTTGCTCGGAGCTTTTCAAAAGTTTAATAAATGAATATGTATTTCGAATGAAGCCGCGTTAGGTAAGTAGTTTGCGGAATTTAATTTTCTATCCTAAGCTGAGTGAGGCAATATAAGTTCAAATTTCGTATTTGTGTTACTCTCACTATTACTAAATGTATATTTAAACAGTTATGTCAATTGCATAATTGTTTATTAAATTATCGCGATTTTAAAATTTTCAAGCAGATAAGCGTGTAGAAAGAATCCGATTTCAACGTTATTTACAAGTATACGCGGAGCGTCAAAATTTTAAATAAAAAAATTTGCACTTTAATAAATATAATACGGTATAGGGCTCATTGAACTAAAATAAACTTAACTATATCAAAGACTCCTAAACTTCCAATATTTCATGGTTATTTTTCATTACTAGCAATAAGCTTAACAGTACATACAATATTTAGAAAGTGATTTTATAACACTTACATCCTTCCGATGATTCTAAAGTTTTTTGTATATCGCGAATCTCGTTTTCCTTGTGATGAAGTTCATGTAAAGCAGAATCACACCTGTTACGGCTTTCACGTAGATCTCTAAGGAGTCATTCAAACAAATTAATATTGTTAAATTTTCATTACGCAATTACTAATAAATATATTAACGAACAATTAAATACATTTGCATGTATATGCATAATGTTTGCGATGAAATTTGCCAAATTAAACTTATTGAGCAATATTATTATGCATTAAAAAGTCTCCGCGTATTGAAAGCGATAATTTTCCTAAACACAGTTCGGTAAATCGTCATTCGTGTGAAAAGTTATTTTAATAATGGACCAGTTTGCTCGGCTTCTCATCATATATGTTTCATTGTTTGTATTCCACATGATGCAACTCCTCACAGGCGTTAAACGTAATTTAAACAAGAGAATATAAAACGAAAAGGTCAAACCTTCAAGCCCTGAATAGGCGGCTACCAAGATGAAGCTGAGTTTTTAATTGAATTGTCCATTATGAGCTGCTATAACCTGACTAAACGATCAATTCTGACCCAATATTGATGTCAATAATTAACAATATAGCTTGCCAATAGAAAAGTTATTGTGTTTCATCGTTCATTATCATTATCATACCACATACGCTCTTAATCGCAGAAGTCCTACACTGAAGGAAATATGAAGATAAACGAAAAGTGGCAAAAAGTCATAGACAATAATATCCAATATGTAATTGTCTAAAATGAATTGTACAGGAAGTAAAATTGTGTATAGAATTTTAATTAAAAAAAAGCCGCGGAGACTTTATATATTTAACACAGTAAGACTCGCCTGCCGTAAATGACGACAATTATCGGCACTTTTTTTTAATATACTTGTACTATTCGTAATTAATAAATTTTAATTATGGACGTATACACACTTTTGAGTTGCAATTAATTCCGCACGAGTTCGACTAAGTTCTTCCGAAATCAATGTTTTTGCTTGAATTTCAGCCTGAAGAGAGCTTTGTAAATTTAATAACTCCATTTTGTCGAGTTTTTGAGAACGTCTATTTCGCCAATTTTTGGTGTCATAGTTTTGCTGAAATGATCCTATATGTAAAATAATCAGAAGAGGTATTAATATTTCTGAGTATCCAAATGTAAAGTAAACCAATAAGAAAAATTATAAGAGAATTTGCTATTTCAAGCTAAATATTTAAACGCAAATTTTAATAATACACCAAGATTCACCTGAATGTTTCAAATATTCAACCTCCTCCGTCATTTTTGTTGCTAAGGCTTGTAAGTAACTTCTAGCGTCTTTTTCATCAGACACCCACTGTATTATTTCTGACATTTGTCGTTCCCATTGTATTATTGCTTGTCGTTTTGTCCTTTTTAATGAGGTAAAAGTTATACCGAACAAAAAATTTTAATATAACTATAAAAAAAAACATAAATATAATAATATTACCTTAACTCTTCGCAATTACTTTGATCTTCGATTTGTTTTGTTTGAAGCTGTCTTATAGTGTCACTTAGATTTTCCATCTCTGATAAAAGTCTCCTCTTTTCTTCAATCCACATACTTTTCTCTTGCTCATACATTTTCTTTTGTTCACTTAAGGTATCAACAGTGTCATTTTGAGATTCTAATCTACTTAAGTCGCACTTTTCTCGTGTTTTCTGGAGCTCCATTATTAAGAAGTCACGATTCTTTTCAGATTCCATAAGCTGTTCGCGCAATTCAGATATTTCCATGTTATATCGTGTCTGCTGTTGATTGAGTTTTTCAGAATATTGGACCTCGATTCTTTCAATTTCATATCGCGAAGGTTCATTTGCTGGAAAAGCCGAACTCATGTCAGAATTACTTTTACTACGAAGTTCCGATTGTAGCTGACGACAAAATTCTTCAGAGCGTTCCCTTTGTTTCTTTTCCTTTGCCATATCCGTAATTGCATCCTCCACCCGTAACTCAAGTTCCCGTCTATTTTTATCAGCTTTTCGAAGATCATTTCGTAAGTTATCAATTTTTTTCATAACAGCTTCGAGCTCTTCTTCTTTATCACGTACCTAAGAGTGTTAGAAATTTGGATTTTTGGTTAAGAAAACAGGATGAACCGCACTATACCTCGGTTTTCTTTATTTTCCATGTTCTTGTGCAATATTTTTAATTGGGTTTATTAGAACTTCTCTACATGAACGTCTATTCTATTAACCGCTTAAAATTGGTTATTTCTCAAATACAGAAATGTACATATGGCTACCTAGTTATTAAGAAGGAAGTGAAAATAAAAACCTTGGGTTAATCAGAAGTATCAAAAACTTCAGTTTCTTTTTAGTAAAGAAGTGAAGTATGTTGCGACCGGTTCTGGCAAATCATTAATACATTACAAACCTAATCCAGCATCATAATCATGTTACTGTTGTATTAACTTAACCAAAAACCTTTGCCAAATGATTAATGGTATTCCATTTAAATATTACCATAACAAAACCCGACTTGATTTATGCAAACTAGTTCTTCAATATCATAACTACCCTAGCGCTACACCCCGCCTACTAAGGATTACTTAAAATTCAACCTTGGAAAAAAAAACAATAAACAGATTTTACTTATTACAAAACTTACTTGTCGTGATAATTTTTGCTTTTGAGAACGTAATTCGGATAATTTGTCGGTAACTTCTGCATATTCCATCATTGCCAATTTTCGTTGACAAATAGCATCTTTTAACTCCGCTTCCTGAGCTTTTATTCTATCCAATGCTTCACTGTACTCTTTTGTTGCGTGACATTTTTCCCGCTTAACATCGCTTAATTCTTGTTCTAATTCTTTTAGACGTGCCACATAAGCAGCATTGTTGCATTCATCGGATGGTGACTTTTCGATGAGGTCAATGTTTTTCAGTTTATTTTCAAGATCATAGTTTTTCCTTTTTAGCGTATTTACTTCTTCTATGAGATTTAATTTGTCTTCAGATATTTCCGAGCTAATAGCCCAGTCCGAGTCATTTTTAAAGAGACTATTTTTATTTTCAACTTTCCCCAAGTCTGATAAAGAGCTACATTGTGTAAAAGTGAATCCAATAAATGGTAAATGTAGGCCTGAAAATGCAAGATTTGCCGCTGGTGGTACAGTGTCTGATAAATGCATATCCGTATCATCCACATCGAAGTTAGATGTATCTGTTGGACTCGATACTTCAGGGACATAGGGTGCTTGGCTATATCTAACACTATCCCATTCCAATCCAGCAAACCAAGGATGATTTTTAAAATCGTCAGTTCCATTTTGTCCGAGGCGATTCTCAGGGGCACAAATCAGTTTTTGCATCAAATCTTTTGCAGCTTCTGATATAACGTAATCTAACGTCTCCTGTGGAGGAAAATCGAAGCAGTTTTGATGGTTCATTATCTTTCCGTATGTTTCCACAAGACTTTCTGCATAAAATGGTGTCTCGCCATACAACATTTCATACATGCAAACGCCTAGTGACCACCAGTCACATTCAGCCCCATATCTGCCCTGACCGTCTTCCATTGCTCGTAGAATTTCAGGTGAAATGTAATCGGGGGTGCCTACCGCAACGTTAGATTGAACCATGCCATCTGATCCAATACGCAAACAAGATCCAAAATCAGCTAAACGGATATGGCCTTTCATATCAAGCACCAAATTATCCGGTTTTATATCACGATGTACATACTTTAATTTGTGTATGCTATCAATTGCCAAAATTGTCTCAGCAATATAAAATTTGGCCATATCTTCAGGCAAACGATCTTCAAACTTACTTAAAAGAGTTAACAAATCTCCTCCGCAATAATAGTCCATAACAAGATACTGTTGAATATTCAAATTAGAAATCGATATGAAATTGCAATCCAATATTTTGTGAGGAAGATACTCACCAGGTTGCTGTCATCCTGAAATGCATAATGTAAATTTGTTATCCACTGTCTATCACCATAAACTAAAACATCCCGTTCCTCTCGAAAACACGCTGTTTCCGCTCGTTTAAGCATTTCCCATTTATTTAATGTTTTCATTGCGAATATCTGCTGTGTTGCAAGCATTCGAACCACACATACCTCACCAAAGGCGCCGCGACCAATGATTTTAATAGTTTCAAAATCATCTCGAGATAAACGGAGTTGTTTGAACAACGTCGCAACGGGTTTCACTTCAAAAATGAAAGAATAAATTACATTATTATCGTATTTTTAAAGGATCCTTATGTAAAGAGCAATGAATAAAGTTGTAACTGACTTTTATAGGAACAGTTATGTACATTTCTCCTCATTTGACCCGCTCGAGTAAAATTCTGACTAATAGTAATATTGTTGTTTTTGTTATAATCACAAAATATTCTCTAAATTAGCTTTCGGGGAAAATTTCGGCAGCGACTGTCTATTGGTTTTAGTCGCCCCTAACGACAGACATGCCTTACCACTTGTAAATTCCGGAACCCCTAACCCGCAGACTGGATAATTAGTGAATCAAATTGTCTTGCACCATTAATTGATTTATACCTTCCCTCGGTATGGGAGCATTCATCATTTTTTTAGCTTTATGAAATCTTTTGAATTTGATAGTCAAGCCACAATCATTTGAATACATACCCAATTTGATGAAATCAGCTAAAGTTTTTTCCCGTCGTAGTGACGAATTGCAGCATTCATCATAAAGTACAAGCAAGGCGTCTAACAGTGTCTCAATCGATATAGCTTTCCCATCAACGTTTGAAAGAAGCTCCGTCTTTTCTTGTAAATAACTTTTAGCCGTCAACAATCCATTGGTTACTCCCTTTTGAAAAATTAGGGATTCCAATATTTTTATCCGTTTGGTAAATATATTACCGCTATATTCTTAAAAAATAGAAAAAAATTTAAATATTAAATACTTACACACACATGTATGCTGCAATTTTTTTTATATAATTAATGTACATACACACAAGCTTTATGTACATGTGTAGTAGCTATTATTAAAAATTTTAATCTTAATGTCTTCATATGTATTTCACCTCAGTATTACAACAATGTTAATATTAGAGCTAAAATTGGCACAATTAACTTTCTATAGTCGCCAACAAAATTATATTTTGTATCCAAATCTGTATCTTTATTCATATCGTAAAATGCTATTACAAATTTTTCTTTTTTTATAATATTGTCAAATAAGTATATTTTAACATTAAGATCCAGCTTGAAGTACATAATTTTGATATTTGTAAAAAAAGATATATTTATATACATATATGAATGAAGTTATAGACCAAAAATACAAATGTAGGAGTAAATAGCATTTCGGTATGTCTAAAAGTTAATGCACCTCAACCCATACACTAGTATATATTATATATATATATATGTGTGTGTATGTGTATGTGTGTGCGTGTGTAAATATCGTTTATATTTAACATAGGAATTTTAGAACAAGTAATTAGCTTGAAGCGTCCACAATAAATCTCAGAAATATATCTTTTAATAATATTTACCGACGGATTCCGAGTTTTCTGTTTTAAAACTCATGCTAAACTTATTAATATTCCGTTAACTATCATAGAATCATTTTTCGTTTAATTACAATTCAACCATTAAATTTACTTCAAATCACAACAATCTGTCGGTGTGGAAAATTTAGCAAATGACGCACCTAATGCAACCTGAATATAGAAGTTTTATATGCAGAGCTGCCAAGCTTCTCAGCTGAGAACGAGAACTATCGATAGCTTTAATTTAAATTTTTTATGTTGAAAACACATTTTATGTTCTTGACGTTTATTCTGCGCTCTCGTTACTATTTGAAAAATGAAACATATTGTGGTGATAATGCCAAATGGAAATGTTAGGTGAAAGAGAAGGACGGTAACTACAGCGATTTCCTTTGATCTATGTCAGAAATACACTTGGAGAGGCTGACATTTCGAGAATATTTAAATTCATTTTCTAAGTCTTTTGGATGTTGGTCGTTATAAGATTTGAACTCTGGACTTCTGAATGCCAGCTCGTAATGTTAACCACTCGGTTACCGCGGCCGCCTGCCGATTATAATTTCAATAGCGAACTCGTTGGTGACAACACTGAATTAATAAACTGTGCCCCTCAGGACGTGCGCTGAGTACAATGAAAACTTTAAACTAGTTTTCCTCAAAATCATCCGTATCCGTACATAATACCAAAGACCATAGTTTATAGGTCATACAAATATCTCAAAAAAATAATGGAATTTATCACCGCCCTTTTGCAACAAAATAATAATAAAGAATATATTTTTATACTTCAAGATATGTTCAATGAAATGGATATATGAAAATGCAATCCTATTTTCATATTCCTACAATAAAATTAAAAAAAATGATTCTATGTTTTAACATTTAGAGTGACGTTACCGCTTAATCCATGTTTAAATCAAATGCTTATTCGAGGATCTTATTATCTTCCATCACTCTTATACAGCATTTCCACGACAACCCAATTACGTATTTCGCTCTCTCAATCGTTGTACGGAATTTCCACGAAACGAGTTATTCAATTCGCCATACAAATTTTCGTTAGCGAATTGCAGTAAAATTGGGTAATTCGTTTTCAATTGCCATGCAAATTACGACCAAATCGATGCCTTCTCTACATCTCGAAAACAGAAAATTGGAAATTAACACATTAAAACATTACCAATTCAATTCAAGATTTTGTTAACTTCTACTAAAACTTTCTTTTTCCATACGCTTCCAAATGGATCTAGCAAGCGAAACCGAAAACTGTCAAACTGCGTGCCGTGGGGTAATTCATATTCGTAATTGAAAGAGCGAAACACGCTATTGGGCTGAAGTGGAGATTCCGTATTACATGAATTTTGTAATTCAAATTAGGATTATAATGCACATAGTCGATAACCACTTAAACGATATTTACATATCAACATCCTTATGTGGAAAGTTTGTTTTCCCTATGTTACAGAAGCAAATAAATGCGGTATCCCGAATGGCTTACTGTAAAGCAAATACAAATATGTTAGATTCCGGCATTTATTTATACAAAGGTTAAATTGTATTTCGATTTATCATTGAAAATGTGCCTTACAAAATGTATACGCTAACAAATGTATACATTATTATATTAAGTTATTGATAACTAAAGTTAATTCATCATTTACTTTTAGATAATAGCATCAAATAAATACATGCGTGCCATCATTTCTATTTAACTTTATTTACAGTTTCGGCGATGAAGCGACAACGGAGTCTGCAGGTAAAGCTGTTGTTCCAGAATTTGGTTCTATTGTTTGCTTATTGTCGTCTGGCATTACTCTATCTACTACGTGTTTGTGTATAAGTCCATCAGGCGCCAAATAACAAATTGAAAATCCATCATACCATGCTTCCTGCTCCTCAAAAATTTCCTTCATTTGCCAAAGTTTATATTTCCAAAATGAAAACATAACTTTTAGTCCAGATATTCCTCGAACCCGCCACCGAATTTTTACTGTAAAGTCTTCAGTATGTTTTGTAATTTTAAGAACTTCAAATTTGACGTATGCATATTTCAGATGGCCTACCGTCCGTAGAAGGGCAATTTGTTTTACATAGTGATACAATCCAATTGTTTGTTTTCCAGTAATGTTATTTTCAAATATTAAATTAGGGCTGTAGATTGAATAGTCAAGAGGTTCTACAAATAATTTGGGCAAAGTTTCCTGGAGAACGTTATATGCGCGATCTAGATCTTCTAGTCTCGGTCGAGTTGTATTCTTTGTATACGATCTATTTTCACTGTGGAAATCGCGAATATTTTGATAATTACAGCCCACAACACAAAAGTCTGATTTGTTGTTCATATATTTCGTTCTATTACTTTTCTCATCAATGTTACTCTGACTACAATTAATGCAACGATCATTCAATGCAGAGAGAACCTGTAGTGGTCGTTTGTAGTCAAGTCTCTGAACAGGACGCCACTTTATGCAATTGGAAACGTGAGAAAAAATTGCAAATGCCATCACGCTTCAATAAGATCGGCAGAAACTATTAAAGAAAAAGCTTTTAAATGTAAGTGACAACTGATATGAATATGCCAGATAATTACTTTATTCAATTCCTACAATATTTCTCCAATCCTGCATTACAAATAATTTCCGTGCCTTTATTATATATTAGACATTGTAAAAAAATAAAAAAAATCGATTCACTTAGAAATCGTTTGTGCCCCCAGAATCGATTCTTTAAAACCTTTTTTAGATAGTTTCACTAACTTTTTTTTTTTAATCTTAACTATTTAACAAATTGATTTTGACTATTTAATAAGAAATATTATTTATTGAAAAGGAAACCCGTCATATTTTATAAAAAAAATGTATTATATATTTTAAAGTTGCGATGTATTTAGGAAAATTATAAGTAAGATAAATTAAACATATGTATAAGGTGATACAAACTTACTTTTAAGTGAAGAAATGCAAATTTATATTCTATTTTCATAATCTCAGTTTATTAGGTAACTGAAAAGCAATGCCCTCTCTCGCAGACGATGGAACGCTGAGCCGCACGAGCTATATGATGACATTGACAAAGTTCAGCGAATGAAGACACAGTGTCTGCGCTGGCTACGTCATCTCATGCGAATGAATGAAAGCACTCAAGCTTTGAAAGTATTCGATGCAGTACCAGCTAGAAGAAGCAGAGGAAGAAGAATCCCTCACTCCGTTTAAAAGATCAGCTGCAGAGCGATAGGTATTTCCCTATAGCGGAATAAACTATTTGAGTCGTAAAGTAAACGCTTTGGAGATTACATTGAAGTAAAGTAAATTGTGAAAGTCTATACAAGTGATTATAGCTTGTAAAGTGCATTGTAATTGAATTGTGAATTACTGAGTAAATAAAGGACATTAGATAAATTCCTTATAACGAAAGAAACTGCAAATAAAGTTGGCGATATTTTATTTAACAATCCAGAGATCGTACCTGAAGGATTCAGAAAATCATCGAGGTTGATTCAGCAAAATCGTAACAATTGGTGTCAGAAGTGGGATTGTTAAATAAATCCCAAAGGATAATATTTGCAAAGTGGTAAAGATTTAGGATTTGACGATACCTCCTTTCAAGAGGGAGTTGGCAAAGCGAGGATTGTCGACAACTGGAAATAAGGCAGAGCTGCAATCGAGACTTAGAATCACCATCAAGAAAGATTCAAGAAAAGGCTCCTGGCTCATCTAAAGGTATTGACATGAACATGTTATTGACTGCGGTTTCACAAAATATGTCTGAAATGAGAGCCAGCATCTCACAAAAGATGGATGCACAGGAAGCCAGCATTACATCACAAATGGTTGAGCAGAGAGAGCAGATATCATCCTTGGAAGGAATAATAGCGCAAATACAGCAAAATCTGGAAAGGAACAATGAGTAACATAAGGAAAGGCAAGATCTAANTTTAAATGTGGAAAGCCTGGTCACTTCGCACGCGAATGCAAAACAAGTTTCAGCAAACAGGAGGTACCGCGAAAACGGAAGGCAGAGGAAGATGAACCATCAACTTCTCAAAGTTATGACTTCACAATCGAGCACCGCAAGGGTAGTGCGCACGGAAATGCTGACGCTATGTCCAATCGATCATGTAATATGGAATGGAAACATTGTTCAAAAGCTGAGTGTAAAGCAGACATAATTGACGTCCGGCAAATGAAAGTTACGCAAGCAGAAGAGTGGGAGGCAAGTAACTTGAGGAAATGTCAGCAAGAAGATCCAGATTTAAAATTATTAATGCACGGGTTGGAGGTAAATAGAAGACCAAGTAAGGAGCAAATGGCTGCGGAAAGTCCTATCGCGAAGGCATACTGGGCACAATAGAACAGCTTAGAGCTGATATCCGGCTGTTTGCATAGAGTATGGGAAAATGAAAATGGCCAGTGCTCCCGGAAGCTAATAGTAGTTCCGAAGTTAAGAATTCCGAATGTTCTTAAGAAATTCCATAACGGTCCTAGTGGAGGGCACCTAGGCATTACAAAAGGATACTGTTTGGTAGTGAACTACGGTTGCCCAGCGATTTAAAATTTGGAATAACTGGCGATGCGAGAAGGATTGGAAAGGTAACGTCTACCGATCTCGAGGAAGAGCTAAAAGAGGTGCATGCTCTTGTGAGACAGCGAACTCAAATTGTGAGTGACAAAATGAAGGCCAGGTATGACAAGGCGATGAACTCCGACGGTTTCCAAAATGGAGATTTGGTGTTGCTGTACAATCAACAAAGGAAGAGGGGTTTGTCCACAAAACTTCAATGTAATTGGGAAGATCCATACAAGATAATAAAACGACTAAACGACGTAGTGTATCGAATCCAAGCCGTTGGGAGTCCAAGAAACAAGATGAAGGTGGTCCACCTTGAGAGGCCTGCTGAGTTTGGAACAGCGAATGTGACTGATCGGGACGATTCGCAGTGTTGCGAAAATGCGAGGCGAATGTCAGATTAAAGAGAGAAGCCGATAACTAGTACATTCTAGAACGATAAAACGAGAACCTTCGATAGCGAGCAACTCGATTATTCTACACTTTCGTCTACGAGCAGCCGACTGTTATATAAGGGCGACACTTACAAAGTGAACTCGTTAGCGAAAACATCAATAGAGTCGTAAAGTAAACGTGATTGTGTATTACTGATTAAAAAAAGGACATTAGATAAATCCTTTATAACGAAAGAAACTGCAAATTAAGTTGGCGATTTTTTTAACAATCCAGAGATCGTACCCGAAGGATTCAGAAAATCCTCGAGGTTTATTCAGCAAAATCGTAACAATATACTTATGTAGTTAGAAGTTACCACAAGAAAAGTCGCAGTGTGCGAACTCAGATATAAAATACTGCAAACAAAGCTGCAGTTTGCGCACAAATGTGCTTGCTGGTTTATTTATCTTGAACAGCAACTAAGCTAACACTGTTAAGGTTCTTTCCTTTCTCTGTTTCCTGTTGAAAAAGACAAGTGCTAAAAATATGGTGCGTAACATAAGCAATATCAACTAGTTTTATTGTTTTATAATGTGAAAAAACTGCTTATATCCCAGTAGGCATTCATAGAGTTTAGTGAATTTATTGTTGGGGCAAAGCTTTAGATACTTGGATATATAGAAAATTGAATTTAATTCTCACGAAATTTGATTGAATATGTATTATTTTTTTTTATTGTTCAGACGAAGAAACGCCGTAATGGAGGTCGTTGCAAGCACAATCGTGGCCATGTGAAGCCTGTACGCTGCACCAATTGTGCGCGTTGCGTTCCCAAGGACAAAGCAATAAAGAAGTTCGTCATTCGCAATATTGTGGAAGCAGCAGCTGTCAGAGATATTTCTGAAGCTTCCATCTGGGAAAGTAAGTGTTCTTTACTATATAATTAATTATATTTTTTTAATAATTTGATTGTGTTTTAGCTTACATTTTACCGAAGTTGTACGCTAAGCTTCATTACTGCGTTTCATGTGCTATCCATTCAAAAGTTGTTAGAAATCGTTCGAAGGAAGCCCGTCGCATTCGCACACCTCCAGCTCGAACCTTCCCTAAGGATATGGCTCGCAATCAACCAAGAAAGTAGAGCAAATAAATATTTTAGTGTGTGACAAACTATGTAACAGTATTTTTATTTGGGTTTGTTTACTTCACATACTCAATGCAGTTGATAACTTCTACCATTTCTTTACTGGAAGTGCAATAGCTGCAGATTTGTCCGAGGATATCGGGGAAATGTGTAGCATATAGATTATAACCTTGGATTGCATCTCACAACTAAGGTTTCTCGGTCGTACGTAGGTAATTTCTTGATTGGAATCTTCAGATAGAATGACAGGTTCCGAAGTTTAGTGAAGGATATAGAGAAAAAAGCTGGAAAAGAAGAAAGGATGTCACAATTGGATTTGGCACTTTCAAAATTTTTATGTATCAAACAGTTCACTCGCGTGTAACCATGATCTTTATACAGTCCGCCTGGTAGAAGCTTGTACGCCAACGGGCGCTTTCCTAACATTCGAAGGAACAGCAGGAGCGCACACAAGGTGATTAACACCGAAATCATCATCAGAATAACATATTCCCCCACCGCGTTGGAATGATGCAGATGCGCCGAATTTATCACTTTTTTAACTACTTTGGGGAATATTTTTGTGGTTACAGCAACAACTTACTGAAGTGAATATTTTAGGGAGAGTCGCTTTGCTTAAGATGACCCATTCTTGTTTTACTGATATTGAGACTTATAAAATAAAAATTATTTTGTTGATTGATTTCAATGCATTTTATAAGCCTATAAATCCACCCCGGCATCAAGCGATTAAAAACATCTGATTTCAATTTCTTTTTTTTTCATTTTTCGAAATAACGAGAGGGTTAGCACCCAGTTAGCATCTCATCGGCAGAATATGGCGCTGGACGTATTTCTTCGATCCCTATATATTTTGGCATTCACTGAATATTTGTATTGACTGGAAATTAGGCCAAAAGCCGGATCACATGAAGAATTTTTGTTTGCATCTTGGTGGAATTTCATCTAACCTATCCTTAGCTATTTTGGGGTTTCTGGTCACCATTTCAGACGGTCGTATAAGAAAGGAAGACTATTAGTGAAATTGCAAAGGATTTGGTAAAATTTAGATTTAACAAAAACACACTGAAAGTCACCAACTAATCAAACTTTTGTCAATCACTACGTATGTATATGATTTTATTAATAACACAACAGCAAAATTTTACAAACATTTCTGCGTGTGATGTCCCACGAAGGAGTGTCGTTAATACCTGCGTTGAGCAGCCACAGCCACACTAGTCAAAAAGTCATTGCAGCTGCAACAAAAGATATTCATCTTTCAATCAGACAGCGAGAATAATTCGCTATCAAAAACTAGGACTGCAAGTAGTTTCCTCTTATTGATCGTCTTGGCTAAGACCAATCATTGACTGCTATCCTTCAATCAAGAACTAGTTGTGTTTGTTGTAAATAAAAACATGTTCTTTTACGGGCAATATATTTATTGGCGTTTACGCATTTCACCCTTCTGGGCACCACTATTAGTGTAATTGATACTTTTAGCTTCAAAAAAACTTGTTTAATTATCTTCAAATAACCATTTCAAAAATTTGAAAACAGTATTCTTGCAAGCTATGCCAACATTTTCAAATTCACACCCGGTACCCTCACATGTGATGTATCGATTACCTTTCACTTAGGTATTTGGTAGCAGATACGTTGTTGTGATTATCTTATTCACTGTCTCATTACTTTACGATATCAGGAAAATATACTTTTCTGCTGATTCTTAGTTTCTGATTCGGTATTTGTTTGGCTATCCTTCGGTTAACTAAAATTCGACATTTTAAATATGTCATACGGAAGGTTATTATTTCGGATACCAATTTTATTATATTTTTTATTTACCTGTTTCCCTTAAAAACCAAAATATATATTTTAATGTATTCGTTATTGATAAACATATATAATATAAAGGTACATATCGGTACAATAACGGCGTATTTTAAAATTTTACAAATACATCTATTATATGTATGTATGTATGTATATATACACTTTTACAATCATACAATTTTTCGCACTTATAATTACATCTTTAAAAAATCTTGTAATATTATACAAACAAGGCATATTTATATATTTTCATACCTACTATGTTTAAATACATTTATACATGAATATGAAATATTTATAAATTAACAAAATATTTGATATATATACAATTTTACATTTACAAATAATTTTCATAACCTTTTTGGCTGAATTTAGATACGAGTATGTATAAACATTAAAGAATGTTTTAAAAGAAACTGTAATAGTTCAAAAGCTTACGATAATGATGGAGGTTCCTTATAACCTTTGGCTCCAAGAGGGAAAGCTTCTTCATCTGCTGGCATGTATATTATTCAATTGACCGTCTTCAATTTTTAGCTGAAAATATATTTTTTGTTGATATATTTATTTATGTACGAAACGCATGTGTTTTAAGCTAACATATGAATTTTTAACATTCTGTAAGGGATTATGTAAATAATAATAGTTGTGTATGTTATAACCATACAAATGGTTTTATGCTAGATGTCATGTAATTTTTAATATAACCAAACCCCCACCCGATATGTATGTAAGTACATATATTCATATATACATACGCTTACCTTTATTTCTTTGCATTTTATAATGAAAATGCAAGCACATCAGATGTACGATGAACATAACACGAGCTTGCATCAAGCGAAACACTTTTTATGGCCGAAATGTTCTTTCAAGATGCGGTGACGTGTGGGCCATATTCGGTCTTTCGCCATAGACAACGACGGCAAAACCTGAGATAGACAAAGAACATTGTTATTTGCATACATAAAAACTATCAACTTACTTAAATTTTAATTTTTTGATATAAGTATTAAGTAAACTATGAGGCCTGGTTGTTTGTATGAATTGAATACTTGTTATACAACAAAGAAAAATGGAAAATGGAATGGAAATGTTTCAGAGATCACCACATCTCCTCATCAGACTCCTTATGGCAGGGATCGACCAACGGATCCTGACTTAACAGTGAGTTGTGTTGGAATCCTCTATACTAAATTTTATTTTAAAAAGATTTTGTTATTTGCAATGATAAGTACTAAATATATTTACACCTTAATCTACGTACATAAATTATAACGTAAAATATCTATAGTTTCATTTTATAAAATAACAACACTTACCTCTTACAGGCCTATTCTGTCGAGGTAACAAAATTTACTTTGTCGGTAACAATGAGAATAGGTCTGTTAGTGTCTTCAATTGAAAAAGTAAATGGCGTAAAATTTTAAAAAACCATATTTGAATTAATGTGTATACGCACATCTCTTTCTATCACAAATTTGATAAATGTTACTCCTCTTGCTACAGAAATTATCCATTAGGAACGAAAAAGCAGTTTTGTGTTTCGATTGTAGTAGTGAAATGGTTACCTCCGTCTTGTAGGGTAGTTGCAAGAATACAAAAACAAAGAGCGTATGTATTTTGTTTGTGTAATCGTAGTTTTGAAAAGTTAAAAACGAAATTCGTTCAATTTAATTTGTTGGTGTAATAAAAAGTTCGTAATGTCGAGTGGTTAGCATTGCGTACTGCCATTCGGAAGGCACATGTTCAAATCCCCGTGTGACCAACATTCAAAAGTTATAGAAAATGAATTTAAATAAAAAATTAAGTTAAATTTTATAATTGCGGTCGCCCCTGACATGAATAAAACCTCAGTGGGCTTAGTATAAACTGTAGGTCCCTCCATTTGTTGAATAAACACCAAGACGCAGAATCGCTAATTGGAGGAGAAGCCAATTACAAAAATAGTGTTGCTCCTACATTGCACTGAATAACTATGAGCAATTTAAAATTTAACTGTGGAAATCAGATTGCACACAAATGAGTGTAAACAGACTGTAATTTTTATATCTGCAATTATGCGAAATTTAATTGCAAAACCTACTTGCATGATAGTCACCCGCCGAAATTGAAGATTTTTGAATCAAACGAAAATTGTAAGAAAATTGCCACGCTGCGGTTACACGATGAAGAACTCGCTGTCAAGCTGATCGCATTAGTTAATAATCGATCTCAGTTTAAAGATTTAAAGCTAAAGGAGACCATTTAATACTCTTGTTTTTATCACAGTTATGTGTATACTCAGTTATGAAGTTCTCATTATTTTTTTCGCACTGTAAACTGTTCAAAGCAATTTTATTATTTATTTTATATCAGAAAAAATGATCATTCCACTGAACACACGTAATATTCGCTATTATTAAAATAAGAACATTTGTTGGCATTTTTTCGATTGGCGACAAAATTTTTATGTGCATATGTATGTAGATACTTTGGATCATTATTAAAACACAATACTCAACATGTAACGGGAGTTTCGCTAGCTACCGGAAGATATTTGAGACGGAAATATATCTAAACAAATAAACTAAACAAGTAATATATAATATAATATTTGTAACCGCTGAGCTCCTCCTCCAATTTGTGGTTTATGTCTTCATTTTTTTCCAAATGGAGGGACCTACAGTTTATACTAAGCCGCCTCCAAGGAGGACCTTTTAATATTCATGTCATAACTTCACTCGAAGAGGTTGACATTCTCTGCCGAAGGGCGACCGCAATTAGAAAATTTAAATTAGTTTTTTATATAAATTAATTTTCTATAACTCTGGGATGTTGGTCGAACCAAGACTCAAACCCTGTCCTACCGAAAGGCTGTACGCAAAGCTAACTATTCGGCTATGGCGGCCGACAAGTATATAAACGTCAACAAAATATATACTATATGTTATGAATATTTAAGAATGACTTATAAAAATATATGTAACTTTATAATCCCTGACATGATTAGTTATTTAAAACATTGATACCCATTCAGAAATAACTGAGTTTTATATATAGCTGTTGCAATAGCAGAGTGGATAGCATTGCGTACTCCTGTGTTCACCAGCATCAAAAATTATTGAAAATTAATATTTCTAACTTCTTTCGTCCCTCGGCACGGAATATCAAGCCCTCCGTATATTTTTGACATGAAATAAAGGCTTCTCATAAAAATCCATCGACTGTTTGGAGCCGGCTGAGAATAAATTGTAGGTCGCTCCATTTATTGGTAAAACATCAAAAAGCATCTCAAAAATTGGAGGAGGAGCCGAAATATCGCTTCAAGGATTGAAGTTGTTTAATCATTACTTTTATGTAAAAGAAAACATATTCAAAAAACCTAAAATAACCGTAGGAAGGATGCATAGTTTAGCATATAATAAGAAACGATTGCAAAAGTATTTGATTTCAGGTTATAAAATCTATAAAATACATAAATAATAATATATACAGGTTATTTAACATATGGTAGAATAATTTGTGGCATTAGAACTGCAACAATGCGTATACACCCATATGTACTTCACCAATATGATGTTATCTACAGTCTTTCTGTTGCCATAGCGACTCATGCTTCCAACAAAATAATATTTCTTTTAACTATACAGGGTAAGCAACCACTTTACACTCTAATACCGAATACAATACCAGCGAAGGAACAAAGTTACTGTCATTTTCTCTCTGATTAGTATGGTTGAGACCAATGTCATTTGCTAAATTCTTTCCAAAAAGAGTGTCCTTAAGGGGCTACAACTAGTTAGAATTTTCGTATGTATTCAAGTAAATACTCTGAAAATTTCAAGTCCTTCCGACGAGTCAGAGCATTTGAAAGCGGTAAACATCGTTTTAACCTCATTTTTTTCAATACTATATTTTATATGAAAAGTTGTTTTCAATGTGCAATTCAAAACCAAAATTATGGAGAAAATTTGAATTTTTTGTAGAAGCCGCCATTTTGTGAAAAAAAATGTTGGCTTAATCTTTCGATTAATGACAAGACCATACATTGTTCACTTCTACCATTTTTCTTTGTTGTATAGCAAATATTATATTCAATTCATACAAACAACCAGGCCTCGTAGTTTACTCAATTATTATATCAAGAAATCCGTTTGATTTTGTCATTTTAGATAATTCACTTCAAAAATACAATGGTCACCGCAAAATGGAGCGGTCTCTAGAGATCTGCTGTAGCCGTTTCAAAAACTGTTATTTTTATAAATGAAAAATTAATAACTACTCTTGAAATGTGCCATAATATGCGTACAAATGCGCAAAATAATAAACCTAAAAGTTTCCTCATGAAAAATGTCCGAACACCTTAATTTTTTGGGCCCCTATCCAGATGTATGAATATAACGTGGTGAAAGATTTGATCTTCATAACAAATTTAATGAATATCACCCTATATATTGAGTTAATTTTGTGTATAAATATGATGGCAGGAAAATTCTAGTCAGCAGTTAAAGTTGAGAAGCATTTACAGTTGGAACCAAAACTCTATTAAATATAATTCTTGACTTTCACTAAAATGAAAGTTATTTTTCCACTGTCGGTGGTAGTTTGCGTTGCCTATGCAATGGCCTTACCATCAAAGGTAAGTTTTTTTTTTTAAATTTCAAGCTATTATAAATATTAAAATATATTTTGTAGTACTGCGGCCAAAATAGCCGAGTAGTTAGTAGAGGTCCAATATCCAACATTATGGAAAATTAATTAAACTACTATTTTATCTAATTGCGATCGGCTCCTCGGAAAGGAAACGGCTTAGAATAAACTGTAGGTCCTTCCATTTGTTTGCAAAATATCGGCACGCATACCACAAATTGGTGGGAACTCGTTCGAAAATCGCGTCAGCGATTACAAGGCGCCAATTATATACTCTTATATATATTTATATATGTATATACATACATACAAGTTATGGTTTTAAATTCAAGTTAATAGTTTAAAGAATGAAAATTAATTTTTGATAATCAAAATTAATTTATTTCAGGTCTCAACAACTTATAGCGATAACTATCCAGCTTTCAAAGGTAATTGGAATAACTTTAAAAACTATCTAAAACTATCTAAAACAATTGTGAAACTAAAAATTACTATCATTATAAATTATTATTATTACTATAAATCTTACAATAATATTAACAATTATTGTTAATAATAATGAATAATAATAAACATAACCGCCCAAATCTGATTTCAAATAGGCAGTTATGTTTTAGAAACATACATATTACATAGGTAATTCAATTCAATTCATTTTATAACAAGTTTTCTTTCAACTCTTAGATGAACTGTGCAACGACTACGACTACCGTACAGACAACTACAATCTGTTTGGGCAATTAGTTTATATACTTTTGACATTACCAAACGAAGAAAATAACTTAGAAACCAATTGTAATAAATATATGAGTATTTCAAAACGCGCCTTTGCTGTTCTTCTTCGTCTTAAAAATATTAATAGACCGAAGAATGAAAAATTCGAGTCATATCCCAAAAGAACCTTAGACAGTATTGGTGGTGGTCACTTAATAAAAAGAAGCGACAAAATCGACTTTTAAAATTTTATGTTTCGTTTTTTATAATTAACCATGTATATAACGTATGCATTTCTTTAAACTTATTTATTTGTAAATGCATGCACATAATAAAACTACTTTTTATCTTTACCAAGCTGACTTTACAAACTTAAATCCGGATAATATTTATATAAGGTATTTTCAATTTATGATAAAAGAAACAAAATGTATATATGTACATGTATTTAATATTCTTTATGTAAATATGTATAAGCAAAATATAAATGTTTTTATTTAATCAAGTATGATTTTTATTCGGAATGAATTAAAAAATATTATGTGTATACTACGAAAATACTTGTCAGCAAGCAAATGTATGTGCATATGAATGTATTTATTGTTCGTATTCATTAAAGAAAATAATAGATATGGCTTTCTACATCTATGTATGTACATTTCATTTTCATTCAAAAAACTATTAAAATTTTACTTTTAACGTTTTTAAGTACTGAGCATAAGAACTTCACGAAATTCGATGTGAGCAAGGCTAATTCATAAAATTCATAAAGGCGGCAGCACGAGAGCAAATACAACAATTACCGTGTAACTTGTTACTGCCTTTAACGCAGCGTCTGTCAAAATCATCAAAATTGGTTCTTAAAAATGCACAAATTCTCCGTTTATCGCCTTTTTCGCGCAAACTGCAATTACAAAATCGCAATACTCACGCTATCAAATAGAAAATCTATGAAACAAAAAATAAACTGAAAAATAATTTTGACGATCACCACGTTAGATGTATGAAAAAACTTTAGTGCGCTGCCATATTATCTTCACTTTGTTAAATTCGATTTGGTTTCATTGAGCTCGCGCATCTCACAATCTAAACATTTTGGAACTGGAGCAGTTTTTTTAATTCATTGAGAATTTTTATTCTAATTTTAATTGCATGATCAGTAATCTTGTGTTAACTGTCAATTTGATGTCGTCAGAACGGCATGTCAGACAAATTTTTCCACTAGATATATGTACAAAAATCATGGTATTAGCATTCGAAAGTCGGGTCATACTTAAACCAAATTTTACGGCAGAAAGTGAGGCGACCGCGTGTAAAGGAAAATATTTCAAAATATATATTTACATATGTTTTCTATATAATACTTTCAGAAATTTATAAAAAAAAGCAAAATTGCTTTCTGCTTACAAATAATTCAAAAAATGTATTTTGTTCGAATTTGCTGTATTAGATAAACATTAACAAAGCATTGAACAAAATCAAAAGCATATTTGGATTATATAAAAATATACAAAGAATAATATAACAAAACATTACTAGCCTTGGGACATCCTTTGCATAGCCATTTCAATGTTCCAAATTTAACTTTTGCTGAATATTTTTATATGTATGTAGTATTTAGAATACAAAAATTTTCAAGTTATATTCTGCTATAAAGTTATTTTGGCTTGAAATATACATACATACATATAATAATATACATATATATGTATGTATGTAAATTCAACTATTTACACTGTTTAACTTCATTGGGTTATTTAGAATTCTCATGGACTTGGACAACAGAATCCGGAGATGCATATACCCCAACTCCATTGAAAACATTCTGACTATTCTTCAAAACACATGTGTTCCTCCAAAATGTGATTTCAAAAAGCTATTATGGTATATGGATACCATGTACAACAATGCCGCTACAATGGCTGATGACAGCTGGAATAACAACAAAGTTAAGAAGAATTTTGACGAAATCGACAAAACCTCTGCATCTTTTAGCACTCTAAACCAACTGATTTAATAAAAGAAAGCAATATGTACTTTTTCATCAATGATTAATAGCATACTTGCTTTAACATAAACATACATACGTACATAAAGGAATGCAGTAAATATGAATAAAATGGGCTTGATTCTCGATGAAACCTTCTGATATAGTATTTACTTTATAAATAGTTTTAATAAACCAATACAATTTTACATTATGTATATTTAAGTATTAATACACTAAATATTAATAAAAAATACTGGAAGATATAAAATGGTGAAAATTTTCTACCAACCTATTTTAAAAAAAGGGAAGTTTAAACATGACAAAAAATTAGCTCTGTTCGGTGAGAAATTAGCTAAAATCACAAATACGAAATTTAGAAGATTTTTAGTTTTATATATGTATGGCGTTTTATAACCTGTGAAACGATTTTCATCCGAGCTAGTCTTCTAATTTGTGCCTCCACCGAACGGCCGATGGGTTTTTATGAGCAGTTTTTATTTCGTGTTAGAAATAAGCTCGGTGCAGTTGAACATTCAAACAATTTTCTTTCAAAAAGGTTTAAATCTTTAGTATTAAGTATAAAGATGGGAGTTTACTAAAACAGTATACTGCTTTAGAGGCTTAAAAATTTCATTTTTTCTTAAATTTATTCTAAAACCCTACAACATGTCTTCAAAACATCAGTGTCCAGTTCGATGTGTTTTAGAAGCTATAGCAGTTTTAGCGGTCAACCGTCGAGCAGGTTCGAATACCTGCAAGCCTTAATCATTTAGCTTCAGTAGTAAATTATTTTCTATTTGAACTAAAATTTGGTGAAAAGTCTTATTTTTTGTAGATACAGGCCAGAAGTTATATGAGCGTGGAATAATGATGTTGCCGGAAGGATGGCGATGGCAACAAAATGGTAATTACACAATTGATTAAAGTTCATTATAAAAAAAAACGTATTTTTTTTTCTTTTGGAGCAACCCAATATTTGTTTGCAAACAAGTTAATTTTTTTTCATACCTCGAAAAAATTTGGAATTTTCCATTCTCTTCGATATTTTTTTTAGTTCATATAGAAGAGACATTCATAAAAATTAAAAAAAAAGTGGCTAGATTGCTTCAGATGCATCACCGACGGCGTTTCACACGCTCGGACTGGAGCTGCTTCAGAAAACTCTTCATAACATAGAAAAACTCCAATATTTTTTTATATTAAAAACTTTGTTTGAAGCTTAATTGTAGTGCATTATTGTGTAAAAATTTATTTTTAGGGCTCTAAAGAAGACTTAATCTTACACGTCAGGGTCAATCTGCCATGTAACGTAGCGAATGAATTTTGTGGTTAACGAGGAGCAGAGGTATTACTAATACCGTCAAAGAAATAGGCTGCAACTACCCAACGCGCTTACCAGCCGTCCATAGTAACCTATTGTTGCGAAAATGCGAGGCGAATGTCAGATGAAAGAGAGAAGCCGATAACTAGTACATTCTAGAAACGATAAAACAAGAACCTTCCATAGCGAACAATTCGATGCTTCTACGCTTTCGTCTGCGAGCAGCCGACTGCTATATAAGGGCGACACTCAGCTGCAAGTCAAGTTAGTGACAAAGTGAACTGGTTGGCGTTAACATCAGCAAAGTCGTAAAGTAAACGCGTTGAAGATTACATTTAAGTAGAGTAAATTGTGAAGGTTGATGTTAGTGATTGTAAATAGTAAATTGCCTTGTAATTGAATTGTGAATTACGGAGTAAATAAAGAACATTAGATAAAATCTTTATAACGAAAGAAACAGCAAATTAAGTTGGCGAGCTTTTATTCAACAATCCAGAGATCGTACCCGAAGGATTCAGAAAATCATCGAGGTTGAATTAGTAAAATCGTAACACTATCTTATGAGAGCACCATGTAAGCCCAAAGTTGTCACCGCTTACCCGTGCCGTTAGTGACGGTTGTCCCGCAGAAACCAACGGCCATTTGATTTTATCCGTAAAACCGACTCGGCTCATTTCTCGTTGCTATACAAGGTTGCCAGTATAGGCTTTTTTAATGTAATATTAAATAATTGAAGATAATGCGTATTTTTTTCAAAAGAAATGAAAACTAAATGCGTAACTAATTATTTGTTACCATATAGATCATGTATATTTGTTTGGCGTTTATATTCAAACACATAAATTATGAAATTTGTTGACGAAAATTATATATTTGTTTAGCAGCTGGTAACATTTCGCCGCTCTCAGCTACGACAACTATTTCGTATGTATCTTGCTCTTGACGCCGCCTGCAGTGCAATTCTGTAACTTTTATCGACACGATTTGTCGGATCGCAAAGTTACGAATTTTGTCGCTTGCGCTAACGATTATGCGATTCTCTAATGCAGTTGTTACGATAATCGACATCGCAAATTTCCATTTTATTAAAATGTAGGAAAGGTGGCACCACAGCTCAACGAAACGTCAAAATGTACAAAAAGCACAAAGAGGAATGACAAAAACAAATAAATTTGTTATTGAAATTATTTTAATTAAAAGAATAGCAATGCATTACAAAGTTTTTCAATAGCATGTTATGGTTTGCACTTTCTTGCATGACTATACACTCTATAGGGGAGCTCCAAATAAAATAATTGTGCCGCGCTCTTGGGTACTTGGCATTTGCCAGTATAATCTTGCGATAAGGACCACATACCTATGTTAAAATATAATTAACTTTGTTACTACAATAGTAATCGGAAACAAATTTACTCTCACCATCTGCACATTGATGGAATGGTATCCATGGTGGTTTATATACGCTTCTTCATGATTTTTAACTCATGTGCAAACGATAGCTCCAATAGTGCCTCCAACATATGGTGACGATAACGGAGCAAAAATTTGGAAAACTAACAGAAACCTTGATCGGTTGATTGCGTCTGTTACGCGATGAACACAACGGTTTACTGACGACTGACTCATGGACATCCCCATTGCAAAAAATCGCGAGGCGGGTAGAACCTTTAAACATTATAATAGCGTTAAGACTAAAAAAAATATTGAAAATATATATTATTACCTGTTTCTCCGTAGACAATGCTGTTATTCTTCTTCCTTTTAGTTGACAATGTTGTCAGAAACGATTTCTTCAACTAAATCCGGCGAAACTCGGTAGCATCCAAATGAAAAGGATCTTCCGCTTCTCGACGCAAACTTCTATCCGATGGGTAGGATACCTCTTCATCTTGTGATAAATCCTATGCCAAATATTCAAAAGCCATTTATTTTATTATTTTATTTTTATTTTTGTATAACTTAGACAATTTCCCGGACACTACTCTCTTAAATGAAATAACAAAATTTTGTCGATATCGCTAACAACTTAAAAATATTCGTCGCTTAGTTAGCGATTTTTCGAGTAGTTTACGACAGCGAATATCGTTAAAACAAGTACACCGAATATTAAAATCGTTAGAATTTTCGCAAAGTCTTCTTTGCGATCCGAAAATCGTTATACCATTTTAGAGAATAGCGATTATCGTTAAAAATATCGCTAAGTCTAATTTGCGATCCGAAAATCGTTATACTGTGCTTAGAGAATAGCAAAATCGTTAAAATTATCGTTAAGTCTAATTTGCGATCCGAAAATCGTTATACTGTGCTTAGAGAATAGCAAAATCGTTAAAATTATCGTTAAGTCATTATAACGATGCGAAAATCGTTATAATACGATAGAGAATTGCCCTGCTGTTATGGACGACTGGTAGGTAAAATGGGGGGTTGCAACAATAGTTCGTGTCGCGGCACTCATGATTTTATTAGCCGTAGCCAATTGGTTAGCATTACGTCCTGCCATTCGGAAAGCCCGGGTTCAAATCTTAGTACGACCAACATCCAAAAGTTATAGAAAATTAATTTAAAAAAAACCATCACCCGTACGGTAAGAACGGAATTGAATGAAAATGATTTTTTTATACGAGTATAAGTTTTGTCAGATTTTAGTTATTACATATGCATATCATCTGCCCACGTCGTTGAGTGTTAGCGGTTTTATGTTATCGTTGAAATACCTTTTCGAAACACTTCCTTTTTAAAAAATAATTATAAGGAACACCTTGTTCAAAGTTTTTTATTGTTGGTATTGTTGACGATAAAACAGAAATATATAGTCGTATTAACGTGTTATTAAGAAATACAAACGACAAAATGAGTCTTGATGAAAATAGTAAAACGCGCATGAACTTAGCAGCTATTAAAAAGGTCGATCCATACGCCAAAGATATTGTCGACAGTTCGTCACATGTAGCTTTTTACACGTTTAATGCTGAGCATAACGAATGGGAGAAGACTGACGTCGAAGGAGCTTTTTTCATATATAGCAGAAATGCACAACCTTTCCATAGTATTTTTATTAATAATCGTATCAACACCACCCCATTTGTGGAACCAATTACAAGCCAGTTGGAGCTACAATCGCAACCACCATTTTTACTGTATCGTAATGAGAGGTCTCGGATCCGTGGTTTCTGGTTTTACAATAGCGAAGAGTGTGATCGTATTGGTACTATTGTTGGAAGTTTGTTACAAAAGGTTGATACGCGGGCGTTATCTAATGAAAATGAAGATAAGCCACAAATAAAACAAGAAAATGTAAATATTTTCAAAATGCTTTCGAAGGCTCAACAGGAATACAATACGCAACAAAAAATGGCTTCTTGTAATGTGCTGCAGTTTTTCGCAGCTGCTAAGCCAAGGTCGACAGAAGTGCCTTTTATGCAAAGAGCCATACCGAACTCATTGTCTGTTGAGCAATTAGAAAAACAACAACGTGCTAAAACTCCTAAGAGTGACATCCAATCATCAGAAAACAGTTGCAAATATGACGTTAAATCAGAAACTAAATCAAGTAATAAAGGGACGACAGCAATGAATATGACTTTTCTTTCTGAACTAGAAAGTTTATCGAATGTGCCCACACCATTAGGGCAATCCACTGGAAGGTTATCCAGTTCTGGCGCCCCTCTACTATTAACAGAAGAAGAACGTCTACGCCAACTTCTTGTTAAGGAATCATCAAAACCGATAAAACCAGCATTGCTGTTACCAAATATGTTCGATAAGCCGACGGATGTAAATACAAGTTCACCTAGAAAAGAACCCCTGAATCAGACTCAGTTAATACAAGCGTTCAACTTTCTTATTCAAAATGACAAAGACTTTGTACAAAAGTTGCATGAGGCATACATTCAAGCTTACAATAAGGACTTACCTGGGGCATACCATTAATTAAATATCTGTTATATTCGAAATAAAAATTACAATTAATTGTAATTGAAAAATCAAGCTTTTAATTATAAATAACGGTTCTAGCAGTTGACATTAACGCCGATAGTCTAATGCTTGTAATTGCAATTTTGGTACCAACAGAGGACAAAATATGAATTTAGGTTTTTAGATTCAGGAATTACATATGATTGTGCAATTTATAAAAACAGGAATAGATAAATTTTCCAAAAATAAGTGTCGATATTATTGATAACCGTAGTGCTTCATTTACAAAATTTTTATAAAAAAAAATTTAAATTTGAGTTATTTAATGGGAGTAGTTGCCAACATTATGTTATTGGTTTTTACAATCATCTATTGATTTTATAGGTTTTTCTTTTTGAACAGCTTCGTCGTCAGATTCATCTTCATCTTCATCTTCATCCTCACCGTCATCATCATATTCACCGTCATCATCATCTTCGTCATCAATTATATCCCCAGTATAATAAAGAACAGCTTTAGGAATGATTCTTGCTCTCAAGAAATGACCTATTTCAAAGTCTGTAGCTAGAATCTAAAATGATAATATATTTTTAATAAACAGTTCTGATATACATTTTGATATGTACTCACTCCTTGAGTTTCCTCATCCATTTCATCTTTATCTTCTTGAACTTCCGGAGGATTAAAGAAGTTGAAAAATGAATCATTTGGCACTTGTTTAATAATATTACGAACTGTGCCGCGCTCCTTATGCTTTTGTTTCTTTCTGATTGTTTTTATGGTAAGGTTCATTTTCTTTTGCCAGTTGATATTACAACCCTAAAAGAAAACTATTATTTTCTACTTCATTTAAAATACTGCATATGCACCTTGCACTTGTAAATTTCAGGACCTTCAAATCCGAATGGATTGTCTTCATCGACCATCGCTTTTAAGAAATATTGTTTGGTTAGAACTTCATTCGAGAAGTATTCGTTCTTATCAAAATAAAACTCCAATGTATAAGAGTGCTAGAAATTTAAAAAAAATGAGTGTACTCTTATAAAATATGCATATACATTTTTCTGATAGTACCTCATCATCGTATTTAATTTTGATATCAGTGAGTTTTTTTAAAACAGGTTCATCGTGTTCTTGAACCATGTCACCTAATAGTTCAGTGTTTCGGAATATTGTAAACCAAAAGTTTGGAATTCCTTCTGTATCGTTAGGAATTTCTCTAATTTTTCTGCTATAAAGAAAATTTGAGAATTCAAGAAAAAATTATTTTATTTATTAATTTGCTCTTACGTAATCATGTCTTGAAACTCAGGTGATATTTCAGAATCATCAACATCTTCGGATTTCCACTGAGGCTTTTGCTCAGAAGGTTCTACATGACCTATTACAATTTCTTTCCTTCGGTCAAATAGCGGCTGATACTTTTCTTGATATTTTCGTTCAAGTTTATAAACTTCTTCAAAGAACTCAGCCTCCAATTTTAGGTGCTCTAATTGAATATTTTTTAAAGCAACAACTCGATTTTGTATTGGTGCTGGAAGATTTTTAACCATTTCTTGTAAAAACTGACGTCGAAATAAAGCACCCATGCAACCAAATGGTCTAAAAAGTAATCGAAAAATGAAATGATGTTAGCAAATTGCGATGTTTATTATTAACAAAAAAATCATTTGCGTTTAGTAAATCCATTTTAAATATATATGTTTATTTTCATATTTACATCATTTTTGCATTTTCAGAGTCCTTTCTCCCATCATCTGATTCGTTGCAAGAATCTACTTCAACATTTTTATTTGCTGGAAGATCCATTATTGTTAATGATTGGAATCTGAAAAATTTTAAGTTATAACAATATAAAAGCATTTAATTTAGTCCAACGTTCCTCGGACTCAAAAATTCATATCTAAGCGGTACCGACAAGTTGCACACAAAAAACACGTGTTCGAAACGAGAATTTATTTTATAAAATAAAATTATACGATTACAAATAAAGAAGTTTTACAAACCTTAATCAATAATTTTCTGTATCAAACGACGTATTTAAATTAAATAATACTGCGCATAAGATTTTTATTCCACACTTCTTTTGGAAAGATTTTACTTTAAAAAGAATATTTTAGCACAAACAGGGTGTATTCAATACAGTATACTTAAAAATATAGGTAATGTTGCCATCTCTTACTATTATAAATTTTGCTATACACTCATTTAAATGCGTAAATTTTCGATAGCACAACTCATAAAAAAAAAAAATATTGATACGATTTTCCTATATCAACCTCGATTATTTCCTGAATCCTTCGGGTACGATCTCTGGATTGGTAAATAAAAACTCGTCAACTTAATTTGCAGTTTCTTTCGTTATAAAGAATTAATCTAATGTCCTTTATTTACTCAGTAATTCACAATTCAATCACAATGCACTTTACTATTTACAATCACTTGGATCAACTTTCACAATTTACTTTACTTAAATGTAATTTCCAAAGCGTTTACCTTACGACTCTACACCGATGTTGTCGCAAACGAGTTCACTTTGTAACTAACTTCTTGGCAGCTGAGTGTCGCCCTTATATAGCAGTCGGCTGCTCGCAGACGAAAGCGTAGAAGCATCGAGTTTTTCGCTATCGAAGGTTCTTCTTTTATCGTTTCTAGAATGTACTAGTTATCGGCTTCTCTCTTTCATCGAACATTCGCCTCGCATTTTCGCAACACTGCCCTCCACCTAAGTCTGATCGTCCCGATCAGACACATTCGCTGTTCCAAACTCGGCAAGCCTCTCCAGGTGGACCACTTTCATCTTGTTTCTTTTACTCCCAACGGTTTGGATCCGATACACTACGTCGTTAGCCGTTTGATTACCTTATATGGACTTTCCCAATTATATTGAAGTTTTGGGGACAAACCCCTCTTCCGTTGTGGATTGTACAGCAACACCGAATCTCCATTTTAGAAACCTTCGGAGTTCATCGCCTTGTCATATCTGGCTCTAATTTTGTCACTCATAATTTGAGTTCGCTGTCTCACAAGAGCATGCACCTCTCTTAGCTCTTCCTCGAGATCGGTAGACGTTACCTTTCCAATCCTTCTCGCATCGCCAGTTATTCCAAATTTTAAATCCTTGCGGGTGTTTGCCCTGTAGTTACATGCAAGGCGGACCGGTATCCCAATCATCCTAACGCACTGCAAGTGCTTTTCCAGGGTCCGGCTTAATCGCTCTACCATACCATCTGATTGAGGATGTAGGGCTGTCGTTCGGTTTTTTCGAATACCAAGTATTTGGCACATCTCAGACCTGAGTGCAATTCTATAGGCGCACCGTATCTGGTAACCGAATTGTTACTGAATGCATCCGCAACTGTTTTTGCTTCTTGGTTTGGGATTGGGTAAACTTCAGGCCATTTACTGAAATAGTCCATAACCACAAGAACGTATTTGTTTCCTTGTTTGCTCATAGGGAATGGACCGGCTACATCCATGGCCACCCGCTCAAATGGTGCCCCTGCGTTATACTGCTT